GCCGGCATGCAAGCAGGTAAGGGTGGATAATGTTCTTAGCACCACAGCGTCAATGCCTCCACGGTCAGCAAAAACACATTTTTTGAATGCTCTTTTTGCGTTAAGTATTGTGCAGACCTTATGTTTACTATAAGAACCACAATAAAACCACTTTCCTCCGCAGGTAATGTGCATTCAACGTTCTACCGGATCTGTCCATAGGACGAGCTGATAGTGTAGCAGATGCCATTGAGCGGATGTGCCGCAAAAGGGTGTCGGGCATTTTCCAAGTGTGTGAACTGACCTAGATCTAAGAACATTTGTACACACATTGCTACCATTGCCAAGCAGGTCCAGATATTGTTGGAGATCTGCTGTTTGCTGAGGAATGTGTTCACAACATTCACACTTTCATCAATGCAAGCACATCTTTTTTTCAGTAATATTGAGGAACATTTCAGCAATCAAGGAAGTTGACACCGAAATGTTAAAAGCAATAAAGAAATTAAAGCGAGGCTGTTCTTGGGTGCAGATTTTATATCTTGTTTTATTGTTAAGGGCAGCACTGATTTGTTTGCCCCATTATTGAAGCATGCATATCACCTAAGGAATCATGCTCTTCCATCGTTGTGGAGAAAGTCTACTGTAGTACCGGTATACATGAACTCAGCTCTCCTACGTCACGCCACGGTGGTGGCGCGTCGGGCACACTTCCGGTCTGGGGTGGTGGGCAGAAGTCGCGGTGCGAGACATGCATTCCTGCGTTCTTTTGGGAGAAACCAAACAAAAAACCTGCCTTCTCGTCAAAATGCTGCGACGGAACTGTACCAAGAGACTCTGGAAAGGTTTGAAGATCAGTTTTCATGTGTTTCTGCCCCTCCATTCGTCCAAAAACGTGGATAGTATTCGTGACAAGGGCTAACCAGACGCTGTCGAACTACGATTGCTTATGCTGGCAACACTTTGTGCTCGACAGATGTAGTTGTGTTCCAACATGAACGAGAGAAAACCGCCAAGTTGTCCGGACCACCCGGGGGTTCAGCGAGTCTTCAAATTGACACGGCCGCCTGATCGTTCAAACTTGTCTGCTTTTAGAGCGCAGCTCTTAGGGGCCCGTTCCCGGCTTGAGCGGCGTCGGCGTAACCAAGGTCACCCCAAGGTCATTCTAAGGTCACATGACCCCTCCCCCAGGGTCACGTGACCCCCCCAATGACGTCACCGGCATCCGCATCGTCGTCATCGCTGATGACGATGCGATGACGCCATCATCACTGATGACGTCACCGGCATCGTCTTCATCACCCCCCCCCCCCCCCCCCCCCCCCCCCGCCCCCAGTACCCTTCCCTCCTCCTCAAGAGCTGCGCTCTAATTCGGCGTTACAGGGAGTTAGTTGTAAACGGCTTTCACTTTTTTGTCGTCTGCTCGTTCAAACAAAAGCGGCCCGCAGACCAAACTTTGACCCGGTGATTGTAATAAGAAGTAATTGCAAGCCTCAAAAGATTTAAGTTGGCTCGGTGAAAACAGTAGATAAAAGATGTTGATCATTGGTACCAGTGGCCATCGCCGACTTGTTACGCTCGCTGTGTTCCAGCTTCCTATTTTCAGTATTGACGTCGATCATCGCCGCTACCTTTTACACGTTTGCAGCACGAACGTTGCGACCAAAAATAGCTAGAAGAATCTCATCATGGTTTCGGCGTCCATTCTACGGCGTTCATGCGAATGAATCTCTGCACGTCAAATTATTTACGCAAAGTTCAGCGTCGTAACAAACCTTGATAATTTCGCTCAGGCGATTAAAGTGGTAAGGCATTGTTATGAGGACGTAGAATTGACAATTCCAACACGAAAAAGAGTATGCAAACTCACACAGAAGCTGACGCGACATTCCAATGGTTTGTTGACGCGGGACGCGGTGCTTCTTGCCAGCACTCCATTGCGCATCCGTTCGAACTGTCGTCGGCTCTTTCAAACGACAGCTGCCCGTAAACCAAGTTTTGACCTGGTAATTGTGATAAGAAGTAAGTGCAGGCCTCAAAACACTTTTGAGGGTTGGTTGGGGTAAGTAGGCCAAGTGTAAGTAGATACAAGATATTGATCATTGCTACCAGCGGCCGTCACCGACTTGTAATGCCCGATTCTACTTGCCGTTTTCAATATTGACGTCCACCATCTCAGCTACGGTCCACGCTTTTACAGCCCGAGCGACGTCGCGACTGAAAACAGCGAGATGACTCATCGTGGGAGTCGGGCTTTTGCGCTCATTCTGCGGCGTCCACGTGAAATGAATCGCCGCACGTCGCATTATTTATGCAGTTTTGCGGTGCAACGAGCCTCATTAATTTTGCTGAAGCCGCTCAAGTAGTCGACATCGTTAGGAGGACGTAGAATAAACAATTCCAATGGAAAAAGAGCACGGGGTCTCACACCGACGCCGACAGCAACGCAATTCAATGGTTTGATTATGGGCGACGGCGAGCTTCTTGCCTACCAACCACCGCGCGGCGTCCGTTAGGGGCACTCTGGTTTGTTTTTAAACATGAGTTGGTGTGTAGGAGGTGGGTGACATGTCTAGGGTAGACAATCACTGCCCCATTTCCTTTCTGTATGTTCGTTTGAAAGTGTTTGAGATAGTTATACACAGACATGGGTCTTTTTACTCCAGTTTTGAACAGAGCACCATTGAACGCAATTTTTTTTAGAAAGTTGCTCAGTAAAAATTGGATTTTGTAAGCTTGAATACACAGTGCCATTTGTTCTCTCTTGGAAGCAAGTTAATATTATTCATTTTGATTTATAACGAGCTTTTGATAAGATGAACCACAAATTACTTTTGTAAAAACCGTTATTGTATGGTGTAGCATTGCCACATTTAAAATGGATTAATAACTAGCAACTTGCAAGATGAGGACGGCAGGGTGAAGCTTCAGTTGCCCTCACTTTAGCACGATTTTCCTACCTTCGGCAATGCTTTGAGCCCGAGCATTTGCAAGACACGCCTGTACGTTCTCATTCCGTTAGGGACTATATCTAGCATATTGCCCGAATCATGTACAGGTGTTGAATAGACTATCGCATGTTTTTCTACCAACCTGGGGTGTGCCTTGAGGATCAAATGTAGGACAACAAGAATTGCAGGGAGGAGCCTCCTACATTTGGCAATGCTTTGGCGTCTTGCAAGCCTCAACAATGCATGCGCAGACAAAGCATGAGAAAAGGCAACAAGTGCTTGCTGGAGGCCGGGCATTAAGAGATGCCCTGCGTTTCCCACCTTGTCGGCGATTATTAGCACCGAGATGTTCTGGTGGCATCTTTTTTTGCTCGCAACATCAGAGGCAGTTTGAAACTTCAGCACCATGTTCCAGATAAAAAGAAAAAGAAAAAAAAGAAAATGTTTAGCCTTTCCACTTTGGTGAAGAAGGAAGAGCAGCGGAGCTGTAGCTTCTGTTTTCGGTGGTGGCTTTTCAGGCGAGCGATCTGCTCTTCTTTCGTAAAGGAATCTGAAGCGCTTGACGCAGTGGAACTTTAGGTAATAGCAGAACCATTCGCGCTGCTGCGCACATCGCTGCTCGTTCCGTTCCCGCTCTTCTTCCTCCCAAGAAATGTTGCCGCCATCTATCAGCGATGGCAGCAACCAGTTCTCTGGTTGCCAAGGCTGGAAAGGCTGCCTGCCGCGATCTATAAGCGACGGCGGCAAACAGTGTTGTGTCGACCACAGGTGTTGACATTTGTTTGGTACCGGACATGATTCTGGGGAAACCAGCCCTTAACAGCTCTGCTGTAAGAAACTCCTTTCATGCAAGGCTTGTCAAAATATTAGGTGCTGGAAAATATTGGCCATACACATTCAGTCCTTTTCATGTCCTGCAGCCACATTGAAAAGCACTGCAAACAAGTACAATCATGCTCCTGATCTCGTCACAACTGTCTCTCCTCCTGTACAATAAATTCTGCATGCTATGGTCACCAAATGTCAATAGATGCATATGCCAATGCAGCAACTGAAGCCAGCTACAGCCACATCATCTTCCTAATGCCAAATTCCTACCAATGCAACAGTAGCTAGGGCTCGAGCTAGGCAGTCCCCCCTGCAAATGGCTTTATGTTATCCCTTCAATTTATTTCTAAAATTCTATAGACCTTTTCGCCCTCCGTCGCATGGGTGCTGCGATCTTGAAATCACGTGACACAGCGGTCATTAGGTGGCTTCAAATTGTCACTCGTTTCTCCCCTTCGCGTTCTATTCGTTTTTTCGTCGCATTTTACTGCAATTTTACAGTGAAGCTGTATATGACTCCGTTGGTCAGGTTTTTTTTCCGTCTGTTAACAGAACAGTAGTGGACAGAAAAGCATTGTGCGGCGCACCTTGTCTTCTATCGCATAGTTTTGACACTTGTAGTTTTCAACAAGAAAACCACAAGTGTCAAAACCACAAGATAGATGACAAGCCATGCACAAACAATGTGAAGTACATAGCTCCCCGCATGCGTCTCGGTAAAAATTGCGGTTGCGTAAGCTGCCGTGGCAACGGCAACGTACAGCCGTTTATCTAGACCCTTTTGCTGTTTACAAACATGAACTGCCGCTTGTGTCCCAAGTGACTTCCGGTCGCTCAGTCTTTGCAAGCCTGTTGAGCTTGTTCATGTCACCAGTGCTAGAAAGCATAATCTCCAACATACATCAAAGTTGGAGATTTAATGAGGGCATTTGCCTGTACAATTTAATGTCTTGGAGGAGGCAAGTTGGTGTACAAAATATTTGACATTTTAACATATCTGCCGTTTCTTCATTCTTTTGGCGCTCACCTGGAGAATTGGTGGTTACACGTTTTATCGACATTTTAGGCAGCAGTGTCAAAGTGGGTTTTGTTCATTCTTGTTATGAATCAGAAGTTTGCTGAGACATCAAACAAACTGAAGCACCGCCTGGTGGCGCTTGCAAAGAAAGGGGTCTATATAAAAAGTTTCGGTACACTGCGTTTCGACTGTAAAACGTGGTCCGCAGGTAACGTGCACTGTCATAAAAGAAATACCAACAATTTACTTATATGAAAGACACGAGGGAATGGGGTACAAGACTTGATCCATCAAGAGGCGCTGGGCCTAAAGAGAACTTCCATCTTGCAAGGCTTGATCCACGATTCAGGGTGGTTTGAAACCTATGGTGTATATGCAGAGAACGAAAGTGCCTATTAGGTAAACAGAAACAGTACCTTACCCGAACATGTAGGGCAACGCACAGTAGTCGGGTGCAATAAACTCGCACTTGAGCAAATGTTGGTTTAACAAGTATTTCAGAATAACAAACTTTCAAAAATCTATGGTGGTTTTCCTTTGCATTCTATGCAAAAATGTTTGCTCTACGAAAAACGAATTTCGGAATAGCGAATATTTCAGTTCAACGAACTTGATCGGTGGACCCAGGATTACTGTTGTGATCAGTTCAACAAAGTTTTGTGCTCTGCAGTGCTGGCGTAGCTGATGGCCGCCGCCGCCTTTGCAGCAGCGATGCGATAGACAAAAACGAACCATGCGGTGCATATTTTCTTTTCTTTATTATTGGTTCCTTTCGGCCATCTTAGTTTTGGGTAACAACGGCAGTTTGTGCGCCCACTTACGTAATAAGTATAACGAAATGGAAGCGGTTGTCTCTCAGACAAATTGAAATACTTTCAGCGTCTGGGCAACGGTCAAAGGCAAGTGAATGTTGCGAAGGACTATCGGATGCTACCGTCGACGTTGTCAACGTTAGTGAAGCAAAAGTCGAAGCTTGAAAGAGAAACTGCGTTCAATCCCAACAGGGAACGGCTCTGCACTGAATATTTCAAGCCAGTGGACAGTGCCGTTGCGGTACGACTTCCTCACAGCAACTAGCTGTGCCAGAGGATATGCAAAAAAAAAAAAAAGATACTCTCTGGGCAACTTTGTTACTTCATGCGCTTTCAGAGCGCCGGTGCAAATGAAAATTATTGATTATTTTCAAAATGAGAAAGGCAGCAGCGTAACTGCAATACACTTTGTATATATCAATGTACATGACTCCATAAATTGCATTTCACCCTTTTGACTCAATGTATGCTGTGCCCTATGCTGTTCCATAATCCAGTGAATATATTCAGTTTAGTGGACTCCTAGTTAAGGGAACTATTTCTTTGAGTCCCTAGAAGTTTGCTCAAGTGGGAGTTTACTGTATAGAGTTCTAGAACTTAAACGATACTGGCTATTGAAGAATATAACAGGCAGCAAAACATTCACCACAACAGAGATCTTGAAACATGCATTGGTAGTCCAGCAAGTTATGTTTCAAAACAAATTTGTGCGCACAAACAAGAAAATTGCCCTTTTACCACACTATTGAGGCAAAGGCACTGGTAAGGCCTCATTCATACAAAAATTGATCACTAACCCGTAAGAATGTCCAGCAATAGGTTTCGTGGCACTTTAGATTCCGATCGTTGTATACACTTCTGATTTTATCCCTTATGGGAGGGGTGAGGATGAGAGCTTTCTCAAACAAAATATAATGGTGCAAGGTAACTAGTGTAGGTAAATGTTAAAGGGGTCATGAATCGATTCTTCAACTTCCTTCTTAGCTTTCCTCAACTTACAAATTGCGCAGTGTTACCAAAGGTACAGGGGCATAAGTATACCTCTAGCAGTTCAAGAGGAGGAAAAGGAGGAACTCCCCTCTTGCTCATGGCGCTTGGATCCTCATTTTTGTACTCGCACGTCACCATTCTCCCCTAGGAAATTGGCCCTTGATGCTCGTCGCTCAACATTCAGACAAAAGTTGCTAATCCCCCCCTCCCCAGCCTGTGGCTTCCACAGTACTATGCACAACTAGCATATAAACCGGAATATAAGTCGAATTTATTCTTGAAATTGGACCTGAAAAAGTCGACCCTCGTCTTATATGACGGTCATTAGCGGAAAAACAAAAATAATCTCGCAACACTCAGTGCCTGAAGACGCCATTTTGTTTTATATTGCAATGGCCTAGCACTCGTCCACTTGTCACGATGGTCACGATTAACTTTTACTTGTGCTCCTTGGTTTGTTACATCTACCGCAGCAATAATGAGCGGAAGTAGAAGACAGTTCACAGTAGCCTTTTAGAACAAGGCAATCGCCTATGCAGAGATCCACCGGAATCTTGCAGCGCAGCGAGAGTTCAGTGTATCGGAGAAAAGCATATGCTACTGGCAAAACCAGAGACAAAAACCGGCGGCGTGCAGCAAGGCGAGGAAAACTTAATTTCGTGGAAGGACTGCAGTGTACCCCGAATTGGAAACAAAGGCGGCAAACTTTATTCGGGATCTGTGCGCCAGATCGATACCTGTGATGTCGGAGAGCATCCATATAAAAGGCGTTGAGGTTGCTCGTGCCTCCGAGCTTTCGAGGGCGCAATTCAAAGGGACGGCATCGTCCCTTTAAATTGTGTTAGTGAACTCGTCGTCGGAAGAAGGCTCTGAGGAATCTGAGTAGTAACACTCGCATACTTCCTGTTTTATTGAGTGCAAAACAATTAAATAAATCTGCCGTGTTTTCTCGTCCTTTCATATACTTGGACAATTTTGTCACCAAGGTAAGGTTGCGTTTTCTTGCCATAAAAACTTCTTTTGCATCTTGCAACTTGTAAATTAAGGGGTCGACCTATATTCCAGTTTATACAGTATCTTCCGTGCACCCCTAAGCCGACAGTGCTGTGGAAACTATGTGCTCGTTGGGCCGGTCACACTTGTATCTTCAGCCACATGATCACGCTCCCTTGCACATACCCACATATGCAGAATGGGGTCAGGTGATGATGGACAGGAGGGCGGGCGAGGTTTGTCCCAATTTTTCAACCCCGCAAGGATGGTGAGAGATCTCACGGTAGCTGATGTTGGTTCTGAACCTTACTTTATCCCATTGATGTATTTCAATGTCTGTGTGGCAACAAGCTGAAAGAAAAATTGAAAATGAAGCACAGGTTGTCGATTGCTTGCTTCACAGAATAAATAGCCCAGCTCGCGTCCGATTTTGCTGCCCGTGGGACGCAGTTTCTTAGCAGAAAATCCCCTTTTTTTCGGTTCTCGTTCTTTATGGCGGAAAAACCCCAGTCGTCTGCTCTTGTTCCTCTCCCGAGTGATGCATGACGGGAGTGCATTCTGGTGCACACTTGATTCTCAAGGTGCAGCGAGTGCATAGACGTGTGGAGTGGCGACGCCGAAATGAACGCGTGGAGTGTCGGCCGAAACAAACATGCTCCATGTTGCGAGTGGGTACGCATGGGCACGAGTGCCCATGCATACATGTAGTCATACACTGTGCACAAGCATGTGGCTTCGACTTTTATCTTGTTTGCGTGCAGAAGTGGCTTCAACGGCATTGCAGAAATTACACTAGCCTTGACAATGAAGTACAAAAAGGTTTACGCCAAGTCTAGACACTGTTGCAAGATCACCGAGCCAGGAAACCTAAACCGAGCCACCACTAAATGTGTTCCGTTTCAAAATGGTGTAATTGGCAAGACTGAACCGCCACCAAATGTGCTCTGCGGTAGAGCACAAAAGTACATCACCAGACATGAGTGTCCAAAATGTACTTACAATGGCTAGCGGCGCCTCATAAAAGTCATGCAATGACCCTCTGCTTGGCCACTTAAGCCACACGCAGTGCCGTGCAGGGTACAGGACGGCATCCATGGTGCAGTGATCCAGGGTCCCGCCCGTAGTGTTCCGCTGCTGCCTTGGACAAGGTGAAAGCCAGCTCACTGATGTCATGGTCCCCGGTACCTGTGGTGTGTAACCATTGTGTTTAAAGGTTATACAGCCACCGACCGATATTGCAGACCCGATGGGGATCGTGCAGAATTCCGAATAATTGAGCAGTATGAAAAAATGATTTTAGCCTAAAAATCACTTTATTATTACGACTTAAAACGCAAAGTTGCTGCAGCAAGTGATCGATGGTTTGCTGTACGGCATGGTACTGTATGGTACTTCGCATTTCAGGGAGTCATTTTGTCAATGTATACAGACGAAAGCATTCGGACAAGTTACGCGCTCACGGCTGCACAATGCTCGCCAACTGTAGGGCCAGTCGGTAGACTTTCCCCTCGGTGAAGGGCAAAGTCCGGTTTGTAAACGCTGTGCCGCTGGAATAAATGCGCAGATTGATCGCTACTTCCTTGGCGATACAATCGCTGCCTTCTCACGTCGACACACGGGAAATACCGCAAACAAAAGCAGACGCCGTCATGACTTTGCAAAGTAAAACCGGAGAGGCCAAGAGCAGAAGAATTGCTTAGAGTGCTGACGTGCTACGAGGCATCAGCAACCAAAACCTGCCATTTAAAAAAAATATATACTAGTTTCTTAGCAGGACGTGACGTCACGACAACTGACAGCAGTGATTGGCAGGCGGTGTGCATTCTTGCCACTGAATTCATAACCTGTCACCGAATGTAGTTTTTAAACATGGCAGATATAATCTGGCCTGTTTTCGTCCACAATGCTGCCGCCTAGTCTGTCGCATAAATTATTTTTGTTGCTAAGGGGCAATTGGGGCTTTACGTAAACATAGGCTGGACGTGCGTGTGGGAAAAATAACACGAATGACGGCCCCCAACATTGGCTCTTCAAACAAACTGCCAGAAAACAAAAAGGCCAATATGTCAACACTTTTGTCCTTTCCCCATTTTTGGTGGCTGTCGTGTCAGATTGAAGTATAAGTAACTAGTAAAATAAAAATAAATAAAAAAGTACATAACAAAAGGTGTAAATAAACTCTGTAGATATAATACCAGTCCCAATGGTTTAACAAAGAGGCTGGCTTTCTCAGAATGTCCCCCTCTCACTCGAGTCCGTATTGAATCTTAATATGAAGTTGCCCCGAAAAAGCTGCAGAAAATGCACATAGTGACAGAGCCCATAAAGACCACACCTGCCTTTCACATGGCCTTTCGAACTAGATGCAGTACAGGACGCAGAACGGTACCCATGGGCTAGCTGCAGCTGTAGCCCAGTGCTTGTAGTATCTCGCAGCTGATGGAAGGGAGGGAGGCCAGCTCCTTCATGCCGTGGTACCGGGAAAAACAATACAGATGAGCCACAGACGTCAAGCGCCTTGAGTATTTCTGTGCATCCACGAAGCCAATCTGGGACAGCAACGACAGAAAACTTCAGTAACACAGTGAACAAAAGAGTAGGCATGCAGGCGAGCTGTGAATTCTGAACACAGCTAAAACCCAAGGCACAAGAAAGCAGAAAGGAAGAGGCCTTTCCACTTCCTTGCATGTCGGGTTTGAGTCTCGCACGGGGTAGCAAAAAAGCAACAATACTGGCTCCCTAGTCTTTTTCTGCGTCAAGAAGCCTTGGAACAAAGAAATCCTACTGGTTATTCATCTTGTTTTCTCTTCTCGGGCGGATTATAGTGCACGGTGCGGAAGCAAACTGCCTCGAAAGGGCTCAACTCACACTTCCAAGAAAATGATTGGCAAGCAACCTCTCCATTGTGTGCTATGTGCACTGTACGTTTTAAGCAGGTCTGTTTTCTGCTAACACAACAGCGGTAGGAATGTTACTTGTGTCGAGCTGGAGAAGCCATAGTGGGGGCTACCCCAGCTACGCCCACGCTGGCTCTAATGGCGGTTATGTGCAACGCAGACAGCTTTCCCCATTTCAACCGAGTGCCTAGGCAGACACAGAAGCAGCCACATAAGACGATCGAGGGAAGACGCAGAGTTGTACAGGCGAAGAGGGAACGACATAGTGTAGCGAGCTTTTTAGTCCAGGCTATTCCTCCGAGAAATGCAGTCGGTGGAAATGTATGTCAGTTGTTCTTGCCATTAATTTAGGTAACGAATGCAAACATTATACTATTTTGCATCTTTTTCTACTGCAATGCTGGTCACCCGCAACGAAAAAACGCCACAAACTGAAAGAAAGTCTGGTTGCAATGTTAACACGGACACCAAGTCCACCAGGAAAAGCCATCTGTGCCATCCACCTGTTCATAAGCGAGCTGGAGTTTATCAAAGCACAACCGAGACTCTCTCGGGAGTATTTGGTTCCTTGTCACTAGTTATTGAATGAAAACACAGTGCAGTGTTGATTACTGTCAGCGCAGCCTTGCCACTAGCACTGCTGTCACTCGGGTGGCACATATTTCGCTGGCACGACATGGCCTGCGAGCCACATATATCCCTAAAAGGAAGCTGCATAGAATGCACTTACCGTGGCTAGCGTCGCCGCCCAGAGAGCTTGCACAAAACCTCCGCATGACACGCAGTGCAATTCAGAACAGAGCAGCACTGGCTAGCCAGTTGCTGCGAAGGCTTGCAGTGCCTTGCTGCTGCAAGTCACCTCCTTCATGCCTTGTGGTACCCATCAGTTTCAAAACAAACGCTGATGAACCACGACCAGCCATCACCTGTAGCACAAGGGGGAAAAACATATGAATGTGCAGTCTCCTATCTGTTTGCTTTTGTCTAACGTCTCTGAGTTTTCTTTGAGAAGAAAACAGCAATGACACTTCTTTCACAGTAATGTGCAAAAGAAACAAAAACGGCTCGGTTATTATACTGCCTCGTAAGTTGTGTGCAGCAAAGGCACGGGTGCGAGGGCACAGCTCTGCAGAATGTCCTTTTGCGCGGGTACTCGTGCAAAAAAGGCGCTTTTTACTGTCATGTGCTCGGGCCTGCGCCTCTGCTGCACACAACTTATGATACAGAGTGTATAGCACGCCTCCGTGAGCACTCGCGTACGGCGAGAAATCCATGATATCCAGGGTACGATAGCAGGAAACCTCGCAAGCGTGCACGAGGCTGCAAGTGCGCCAGAATGTGCAACTGGAGGTGGTGACAGAATGACATAGTTTGAGAACATGAGCTTACTTGGGTCAAAATATAGAAGCGAAAAACGTAACTTCCTTGCCGGCTGATGTTTGGAGCCATCGGAGCACGATCAACTATTTGTTGTGATCGGGGTATTACGATCGGACGCGGGTTGGTAAAGATTTGAAAAACCCGGAAGAATAAAACCTGTTGGGGGCGAAGACAGACAGCGCAGTTCCTTGTTGACATGGGATGTAATATCAAACACATTATTCCGCCGGATCAAACGTTTTTGTTTAATCAGGCTTAGCTCGGAAGTCTGCCGGCAGGTCTGGGATGCGGTTTTTAGAGCTCTTTTGGCGGGCTTTCAGGTTTCTGCGATGCGTGTTTTCATCGTGAGCACAGGCTCAAACAATAGGCAGCGGCGCCAAATGTATTTGAAACGAAGAAGCAGCTCGGACACGTGGAACGAACACATCGAAATCACATCACGGGAAAACGCAAATCACTCACCTTTTGTTCGACGATGGTTCGCACGACACGATTCAAATCGACGACACTCGATTCGGTCACGATATTCAGGTAAAGGACGCAACAACGTAGGCCTTGCCGTTCCTAATAACTACATAAATACGACGATACGACACGATATCAAACAAAGGAGTCGGAAAAACGCAATCTGAAGCGCAGAAACGCGGTCCCGCGGTTGCAAAAAGCAAGAAAATAAACAAAATAAAAAAAAAAATAATACGTCAACAAAGTAAAAATAAAAAAAAAGTTTCCTCGCTAAAAACCGTGACGTCACAGAAAACAAAACAAACAAAAACAAGCAAAACAAAATTTCTTTGTCACGTGACGTTATATTTGTGACGTCACTTCCGGTGACGTCGGGTCACGTGACCTGCCATTATTCCTCCTCCGAATCGCTCGTCATTGTAGCCGTTGTAGCCTTGCTGTTGCCGTACCAGGGATTTTGAAACTGGAGCTCACTTTTGATCGTTCGCCCATAAAATAGTATTGAGAAATATTCCTGTCCTTGTGCTTTTTTTTTTCTTTTTTCACACGCTGACGTGCGTTTCGATGCAGTAATTTTTTAATCGCGCTACGGATTATCATGTTTTTATTTTTCGACGACACAAGCTCACGTTTAGTTCTCAGCAGTATTAACAATGGAAGTTATTATAAAACGCTAGACAGCGAATCAGAACTCTTGTTCAGGCATGTTCAGGTGATTTAGTACTTAATTGCAGTTCGTGGCAGTGGTAGTGGCACTCACCAGCTCTAGCACTCACATTACAGTACTGTACACATTGTGTACCCACCGGTTTACGAATCGCAGCAACAAATTATCGAATATCTTTTTCCTTTCCTGTCGTTTGCTTATAATAATAATAATCTCTGGACCAATTAAACCAACTGTTATGGAGAAAAGAAATATAGAAAAACGTTTGGGGATATTATGTAGGCAGTGGGAAGTTAATCAGTCCCAAGGGCGTGTCTTCTTTGTAGACATAGTTGTAGACTGAACATTTAGCCCGTACAGCGCGACTGCTACGGTGGGGACTTTAACGTGCACCAAGCACTAGCACGCCGGTACGATGCTCATCCAATTTGCTCATCCATATCGAAGGGTTATGACGCGAGCTCATCATCACTAGAACCGGGAAAACATATTTTTTGTGTTACTTTGTTTCACCTGACTCGTGCTCTTACGTGATGAAATGCTACCGACTTGACTGCCACTTTAATGCAGACGAACGATGGTTTCGATTTCGTTTTGTATTACTTCCGCCGTTTCGCTAGTTTCGCTTTCGTTGTGGTGAGAGTTCCAAGTTTTGCTGAAGTTTTAATACAGCTTACGCCATCTGTCGCATCCCTACTCAACTAACGCCGTTGCCGGGTTGGCCGCTGCCCGCGGTCAGCGGAACACGCGCATTCGCGAAATCGCCGTCCGTCCCTCGACGCCGTCAAACGAACCGACGAGTCCGAAAAACGCGGTGAAATAAGCGTTCGCTCAAGCTCGCCCCCCGAATTTACGGGGTTCGAGATGGTTAGCACGACACGCTCAAGATAAACGCCGCGGGAACTCTTTTCACGCCGAAGGAAAACGCCGAGCGCGTCTTCCTAAAAACGAAAGTAAGTACGCTGCATCCTTGTATCAATATCGACGGAGGAGAAAAAAAAAAAAAAACTCTTCATGGAGGCGGATTCGTGGAGCAGGGCTGCTTGTTGAATAATGGAGGATGGAGGATGAAATCGGAGGCCGCCCGCGGTTTGCGGGCCGTTATGCTTTGCCGGACTGCTCGAAATGATGTCCCGATTTCACGCGTTTCGAATATCGTCTGCTTCGCGGATGAGTTTCGTTTTCTCCTTTGATCATCCGCATCAAATTGATCCTCTTCGATCGGATCAAAAATGGTGTTCGCTCGTTTCATTTCCTTTTAGCCGTGTTTCGTTAACGTGCTACAAGAACTTCGGGTTAATTTGGACAATCGTGGGATTTGGATCGTCGTCGAACAATCAATTCACGGGAAATTATTATATGCGTACCTCCGACTTATTGTGGCACAACTTTGTTGCTTTTTTCCAGAAAACCGAAATTAGAATAGGTAATCATGGGAACCAGAGCAGCAGCCTGTAAGTACGCTCGATCGTCGATTGATCCTTGAAATAATTTTCTATACAATTGAGTTTCTAGAAATATGACTGTCGTTTTGAAATATACAGGGTGTCTCCCCACCAAAAATATTTACAGGGTATTTTTCACCGCAAAAATAAACTACGCATCGCCAAGCAAAGGTAGCGTTAGAGGTCCGATCCAGTTGCCACGGTTTCAGCACGAGCCGATGTTTTATTCAAAAGTTATAAGTGATTTCTTCAAAAAAATTTTGTGGGAAAATGGCGACTGACGGAGCACTCGAATACATGCTCTGTGGCACCAGAAACCGAAAACGAGCAAAAATAGTCCTATTTTCTAATTGAAATTTTCAGAAAATCACTGAAATTTTTAACAAGATATCTGTTCGTGCGGGAACTTTGGCTCTGGTTGTGACCTCTAGTGCTACCTTTGGGCGGAGAATGAGCGCTCGGGGATGCGCAGTTCATTTTTTGCAGAAGAAAGCTTTGTAAATTTTTTGTGGGGCACTCTGTATTTTTTTTTTTTTTACTCCCCCAGATTTACATTATCATCTAGAGGATAAATTATCCGTTTTTGCTTTTTTTCATTACCAATCGCGATAAAATTTTATAGTTTAAGCATTAAATAAAAAAAAAAGAGTATGCATGTTTTTTTTTTTGTTTTTTTTTGTAAGCATACATTTGTTTTATTGGCACGTTGATCGATGCAGTATTCATGACGTAATGCGATGTCAAAACGTTGATTAAAAAAACGTGTTTTTATTTAGATTTATTACTGACGCGCCTCGTTTCTTTTTTTTTTTCCTTTTTTTACTAATTTTTTTAATAAACATTCTTTTTCTTTTTTGTTTCATTAATAGATTTATTTGTGAAGTTTTTGACGGCTTACAATACAGCTTTGAGTTCAATTTCTCGTGAAGCTTGAACACCAAACTTTAAAACAATAACCTATACTCTAATCTAAAACCAATTTTCGCTTTAATGTCGAAAACAAAAACAAACAAAAAAACAATAAGAATGGGTGTTTTTCAGATATATTTATCTCCGTAACAAATTCAAATACTTTTTTCACTAGAATAAACACAGTTGTTTCACGCCGTGTACATGTAACTACCGTAAAATACCGGGGGAGTGCCCTGCCCACCTTCACCGAGAACTGAGTTAATCTAGACTTGGACGCCTGTTTGGTCAAATCGGGCACTTGATGCACAATTTGCAGAATTCCCAAGTTTGTGAAATGTTAACAGTAGGCATTTGATTGAAGGGGGTACTTCTGCGGTATTTTACGGTAGTATATCTATGTTGTTAGCATTTTCCGTGCGAAATGAACATACAACCAGAACCAATAAAAGAACTGAGCAAACTCAACATGTCTTGAATGTCCGTATTTGACTCGCAGTCACGGCCAAGATTCGCAACCTGCATGACTACCACACCCGAATCCTGCATGGTCTCCCGCCTCTACCATCTGGCGTGGACGTGGCGAACACACTGAAATACTTCTCCCAGACCCTGCTCAGGTGAGTTCCCCAAGAACATGGCGATCAACTTCGTCGTCACACCTCCAAAATGAAAAGTACAGTTGTGGACGTCTGGTGACAAGCTAGAATGCACAAACGGCCACTGACAATGGTACGATTGGGCCGTGTTGGGTAAAACGGGCGTGTACAAGTGATGAAGAGGCATTTAAGAAATCACTTGGGCAGCCACACTTGCGCGCTTAAAGGGCTAGACACCTCGAGTGAAAGACGCTTTGTGAGGGCACCAGCCTGGTAACCGTGGGCATGCCTTAGCCCGCAGCAAAGCTTGGCTATCAGACGGTCTACCCACACCAGCAGCATGACGTCAACGCCCAGAGGTTGTACTCGCAGATGTACATAATCCACAGTCTGGTCCTAGAAACTGCGGTAAAAAATGAAATGGCAGTCGACAACCTTGACAATCTATGCGTATTAAAAGCAAGAAATATTCCCGGTTCCTTGCCATGTCCTGCGAATGAACTGCAGCGACAGCTGAGGTACTGTGCACGTTGCTGCACACAGACTCCATACAATCACACTGCACACTAATCATGATGTAATACAACGTCGAAGTGTAACTTACCACAATATTTTGAAAGATAACCCTCTCCTGTTTTCGGCCCAATTTGCTTCTTTTTTTTTTTTCAAAAACACAGGAAGATAGCTTATTTCTAATAATTCCAGGGCCCTGGCCAATGGTGACCTCGTCAGAAATGGTGTTACTTAGCCACGACAGGAGATAATTAAATATTACCAACTGGGAAGGAAAGTCGTTTTTGGTTCATTGTCCCCCCCCCTGCAATCAGAAGTTTCATGGGCCACAGTATCTAAAACTAGCATTTTTTCAACTTCTTTCATCGCACACCGAAAAATCAGCCCACTCTTTATATTCGCCTGATCTGCTTTCGATTTTGGATAGGCTATATTCCGGGATATTACGGTAGTGTCATGGTGTCAGATGATGTCATGGCGTCATCTGACATAACTGTATCACCTGCCTCGTCATCACAATGTCATGTCATGTTGTCACATTACATCATATGGTGTCACATAGTGTCACAGTGTAAAACTTAACGGAGAAATTTTCCCGCTGAATCTAGCAGAAAAATTTCCTAGCCACGACCCACACAAAACATTCCTCTTACTGCCAATAACAGCCGTTGGCATAAAAAAAAAAAAAAAAAAAAAAAGAAATCTATATTTTTTGCAGTGTTTTGAAGGACGTGCCGAGCATTCCCCTGGACATGATCCGCTGCCACGAGAAGGACCATGCGAGGACGACGCTGTTTCCGAGCCTCGACTACAAGGCCCTCTACCATGCCATTGTGCAGCTGGTGGACGCTGTGCCCATCATCCAATCGGGGGCACATGGTATGTGGCCTCGGAAACAGGATGGTTGGAGATTCATAGCCCTCCAATTGGTTACATCATCTGTTAATTTAGGTTTAAAGTGCAGTTGAAATTAATCACCCGTTTCTATTAAAAACCTTAGCAGCTATGTAGCAAATAAACTGCAACTATTTAAAATAAGCAGTACTAAAACAGTTATGTCCTTTTACTTTGTTGGCCCTCTTATAATTATAACTGTGTACATATGGAGAGGATCAAAGACCAGTTCCCAACGCAGTCACTTTGGCTGAACAATTATAGTAGTAGAGCGAATCAAAGACAACTGGCATCCCCACTGTCTTATTGTTTTTTGAAGAAAAAATAGCTGAGTGGCCCACAAGGAACCAATATGGAGTGCAAGTTTGTCTGCTTCTTTTGCATGGGTTGTGGTGACGTCATAACGCCGAGGTCCGATTGGTTCCGATTGAAAAATAGCGAGTAGGCCTCAAGGCAGCTTGCTTCGAGGTCTACCCTCTATCATTCAATCAGAGCTAATCAGAACTCAACATTCTGACATCACCACAACCCATGGAAGATAAGCAGACAAACATGCGCTCCTCATAGATCTCATCTGAAAAACTGATGGCACGGTACAATTAATCACTAGCTTGTATGCAGCTGACAAAACATGAAAGAGGATCATAGTCAGAAGAACTTGACATGGGACCTCCTGGAAGCCTCAGATTGGCAGCCGACATTTTGCTGAGCGTCCTGGACCAGCCTGGACGTTTCCAGGACATCTATTGTCCACTTGATGCTCTAAAGACAGCAGTCAGACCATGTGTCTTGTCGGCCGGGCTATATAGGTCTCCGAGTAATACGTCGTCTGCCACTCTGAGGCTTCCAGAAGATTCTTCTTGAAGCCTTGGCTGCACACAAGAATCTGCAGACGTCCCAGGATGTCCCTGCATTCTGTCTTTGCCGTGTGGACATTCATTGGTATCTGTGCCGCATGGAAGAACAAACAACATAGCAGCAGCACAAGGTGTACCATCCAATGTTCATCTTCACCCCTAGCACTGGGCCACACCATACTCAACACCCTGGCCTGCCTGGTTCCATTTCTGGAGCACGAGTACATGGACACGCTGCCATACATCGTGGCGTCGTCGATGGCACTCTTTCCGAACTCTCTCCACAAGGACATTGTAGACATGCTCTGCAACCATCTCCTACCTTACACCATCTGTGAGTTTCTATGACTGATTATCCAGTGACCGATCGGTAAATTGCACACTTGAGTCCGCAGTCTTTTTGCAAGTGAGGGCACCACAAAGGGCCAATGGACACATCTCTAACCGGTGCATTTGCCGTGCAAAAATTTTATGAATGAATGATGGCTTTTAGAATAAAAGGTTTGAAACATTATAACAGTGCACAATGATAAAGACAGTCCTGTGGATCACTGTCACCCAAACGGGGTTTTGAGGAACCTAAATTTCAAATAATAACCTGCAGGCGTTTTTTTAAGTGCTTTACTTGTTTCAACCATCCGTAACCCCAATTAAAGGGTCTTCCAGGTAAAGCATACTATTTCAACATAGATGAACTGTGCATTGGTGCACTGCAACAAGTTGCAGACTCCCATCTTTCCTTCCAGTCTGTGCAACATCGTTAACACAGTTTGTTATTAGCTTTTGAACTGAACATTAAAAAGGAAAGGGACCCTATTGCTTGGTGTAGTGTGGGGCTTCTTTGATATCGGAACATTTCCGAAGTGGTGTTGTGGATGATGCTAGATGTAGGTATATTAAAAAAATCACCATTTCTTTCTCTTGAAAAAGACCACCATATGTCAATGGGAACTTTTGGAAATTGCAGCAGGTGGCTTCTTTGAGAACTGTTTTAACTGCTACTTTAACTTTTTGGTTTGTAGCAAATCCAGTAGATGCTGATGCACTCAACTATGCCAACATGTCAACATCTGCTGTAATCATGATGGTCTTTCAGTACACAGAAAACATGGGTGAGCGCATTGAGCTTTCTAACCGATATTAATAATTAATGAGTTAATTATAGCAACAACTAAGTGACATAACCTTTATTTTGCATCAACAGCATACCAGACGCAGTTACTGGAGTGCCTCATGAGCCTTAAACGAGACATTGTGAAGGTGAGGCAATTGCTCGTTATTTATGCAATAGCTGATCAATCTAAGAAATTACAAGGAAGCAATCTAGATATAAAATATGAATCACGATACTGTGTATAAAATTCTCTATACAATTTGGACCAGTATAGAAAATTAAATAGGAATACCTCTGGTCTGCGTACTATGATGTTTTCATCTGTCTACCATGCAACGCCACTAAAAGGAACCGTTGTACTGTCCCACAGGCAAGGACTTTTGGTTGTCTATGGGGTCCCAGATACAATAAAAACTCAATGTGTTTGGTCAATGGCTCTCTTTACACTACAGAATGTGACCTCAGTAAAGAAGTGTGTCTTCTCTGCAAGCACTCTCGCTATGTGGAGAAGCTAGTTTTTCGGAAATGGAAAAATATTTTTTTAGTGGTTACACACCAATTTAGGTCACACAATGTTTGAGCGTCCAGCTCTTGGGCTAGTATGATGCACACGAGAATGTTTTGTGAGTGCCGACGTGAAATCCTGCCAGGTTGTAGCGGTGGTTCTGTACTCACTCAGGACTTGCTGTGCGTGATCGCCCACGGCACTGCCAAGGCACGGCACCCAGCGGTGGAAATGCTCTTTCACTACTGGCCCACACTCAACCCCATGTTGAGGGACAAGAAAGGGTTCTCAATCAGGCACTCAGGTTAGTCACCCCCGTCTGGCTAAACACGTCTGCAAGCAGCTGCGTTTCAAAAGCTAGTCTGGCCACTGTGGGTAGAAGATGCATTGCTGGGGCACTAGTCTGGCAAAGGGCCTTAGCAAAGCTTGACTTCATCATTCATCATTGTTCATTGACAGGGCATTTCTTGCCACTGGCCGGCTTCCAGCGTGAGGTTGTTGCCATTATTGCCATGCTTTGACTGCTCCTGCATGCTCAAGGCTGAAAAGGTGCCAAAGCATCATGGAAGGCAGGAAGATTGCGCTGAACATGACGGGAAAACTGAGAGAACGCTTTGTTCTTTTAATCCCGTGAGGGACTAGACGATTTACACACACCAGCTGCAAGATGGATGGGCTCAGAGGCCATACTTGAATGTGTATAGCAGGGTCACTAAATGGCATAACTGTTCACACAAAGAGGAGCTAATAGGTCGATGCTTCTATGTCAAAGCACCTTTGCTTTGTGCCTCTTTTTGTTATGCAATTATCAGGCTTCACTGGTGCAGACACTACTAGATTTTTTGACCATCTCTCTTAGTCATACTCTGATTGTCACAATATGGGTATTGGGGCTACTTCGACAGTATTATCCTTGAACACTTGTTCATTATGGTGGTTACCTAGCTAAATTCTGTTGGAAGCACAGATAAGCCTTTGGTGTCGTTAAAAATACGATGAAAAATGCATTTTATGTGAGTGGGCAGAACTATAGTGCTTATAATGGATAGGTTGTAGTCATAAAACAAATAGCAGATGATTAAAGGCTGCAGTGTGAAGAGCTGGGGATTTTTTAGAGCGCAGCTCTTAGGGGCCCGTTCCCGGCTTGAGCGGCGTCGCCGTCGGCGTAACTAAGGTCATCCCAAGGTCACGTGACCCCTCGAGGTCACGCGACCCCTCCCAAGGTCATCTCAAGGTCACGTGACCCTTTGAAGGTCACGTGACCCCCAAGTCACGTGACCCCTCTGAGGTCACGTGACCCCCGAGGTCACGTGGTCTCCTCCCCAAGGTCACGTGACCCTCGAGGTCACGTGACCCCCAAAGTCACGTGACCCCTCCCAAGGTCATCTCAAGGTCACGTGACCCCAAGGTAACCCCCCGCGTGACCCCCAGGTCACGTGACCCCTTGAGGTCACGTGGGGGTCACGTGACCTTGAGGTGACCCCCATGTGACACCCAAGGTCACGTGACCCCATGTCACGCCTCCCCGAGGTCACGTGACCCCCCTCCCCGAAGTCACGTGACACCCCCCCCGTGGTCACGTGACCCCCCCCCCCCCGGAGCATATTAAAGAATGAGGGGAGGAGGAGGAGAAGGAGGAGGGGTCTACCCTCCCCTCAGTACCCTTCACTCCTCCTCCTCAAGAGCTGCGCTCCAATTCGGCGTTACAGGGATTTGTAAACGGCTTTCACTTTTTTTAATGTTTTATTTGTGTGGACAGTCAAACGTCAGCGATGTTTCTGTGCAACAGTGTACCTTGGTAATTTACTACTAGGTGAACTTGTACCCATGTCCCTTAACCAGTTAAAATTTGTTCATGTTGGTTTATCTACTCTATACAATATGAATTTAGGTAACAAAGTATGTACATTTATAATGCAGATTTTTTTATCTGTGATTCAAGTTGTTCTATCTCAGGTTTTAACATGCTTCCCAACCATGCTCAACTCACCCTTATTTTTTCACTTCTTGCAATTGGTCTTGATTTCATGTGAGATTCATCATAGGAAGTTTGCTTCACTGCATCATATCACTGCTATGCCATGCAGCCTACTTGCCATGTCATAAACCATTGACTGTAAAATGCCGGGCATGCGCCCATGCCAAAATACATACCTACTTGGAAATGTCTGGAAAATAAGCAGAACTTATGTCAACCTCCCACCCAATACTTTTAACCAACATATATCTAACCGACATGCTCCAACGCTTCAGCCACTTCTCCTAACACACTGGTGCACGGCTGTGGAGCCCACCCTATCATGTGCTCCTCCTGCAGTTTTTCACACCTAAAAAGTGCCTATCCCCATTTGTTCAAGATATTATCTCAAAATTTTGGGTATGTGCTTACTCGGCACTTTACGGTAGTCACGGGAAAAAGTGATGTACGCCAACTTGTTTAGGAAACTCTTTCGATGTAATCATTATTACGTTGCTCCTTGCACAGTGATTTAATTTAAACTAAGAATGACAAAATATCTCCGCAACATTTTGTGTTAGTGCTTCAAGAGAAGAGACAAATAAGTGAATCTTTTTGTGACTCACAAATCCTGCATGACTTTTGTGGTGACCCTTTGGCTCCTGTTTGTCCTGCTTGCATTTACAATGTTAATAAATCTGGGGAAGAAAAAAAAAAGGTAACATCGGTAGCAATGTATTAATAGATCTAAAAGGAAATAATTTTGTAGCCTTCTTTACGTAATTCAAGATCTTTGCTATAAAACAGAGATGTTCTTAGAAACTATCATCATGCACTTGTATAAGTGTCTCAAGAGTTCGACAATAGATACAACAAACAAGTCACACAAGGCAACACCAAATGGAGCATTGTAAAGGCAATTTTCCACATGGTACATTGCTACTATAATGGCATGTATGTTGTCCCGTTTCCCTTCAGTTTGTCTGCATGCATAATATAAGTGTAAACTGCCTCTCAAACAATCAGTGGTTCAATAGTGAGAATCATATGCAAAGCCCCTGCAGGAAATCACATGCGTATATTTACTATATTGAATTTGAATATACATTGAATTCAATCTTGCCTGGTATACGAATGCAAGATGCTGCGTGAGGCTGTGAGACCATCAGAGGGAACTGGTTTCAGCCTGGCATGTTGCTGTTTAATTATCACAGACATTCTTTTAAATGTGAGCTTTATGCTACATGTAGGGTTCCTTGTTTTCAGATAAATCCCAAACACCCAGAAAAACACTCGCCGGTAAAATTTTCGTCAATTCAAACTTATCCGATAAACTCCTAATTTTCAAATCACGCAAAAAAAAAAAAAGAAGTATTTTACTACTAAGTTTGTCCACAGCATAGGGTCATTGGTTCTGAGGAAAGACCACTCCAGTTTTCTTTCAAATCTCAGATCATTGACAAAAGAAGCTACTTCTGGGTGACGACAAAAACCACGCTGCTTGGGTTTCCGATTTGGAGCATACTATTTTTGCTTCTTAGGTGAAAGAGGGGTTGGTTGTATTTTTATATTAGTCAAAGCTATGAACCCATAAATTTTATTGGAGTGAGAGAGGGGAAGCTGAAAACTTTTATATTAACCCCTTCACCTCTCTCCCCGGGTCTGTGTAGCTGTAGGGTGCGGTAGCGGAACAGTATCGGAAGAAAATTAGTTTTCCCGCAAATATGTCCGTGAGTTCAAAAGATTTTAATGTATTTAGTGAAGCACCACCTGTGCACGAGCTTTGTCATGGGGCAGTTAGCATTATCAATGTCAAGGACATTATTGATAACGAATTGAGCGCAAAATTCAGAAAAAATTGGGAACAGAATGAAATTAAACTCTTAGTTCCAGAGGATTGAGAATTTAATAAAAATAAATATCCAACAAACTTTGCATTCCCGGCACGAAATAAACACCGACAAACAGCCTCCGAATTTCACAAAAAATAAATTCTGAAAACACGGAACCCTAGTTGATGTCACCTGTCCCTCACAAGCAAGGATGTTGCTTTCCGTGCGTGACCCCGGATGCGACTCAGACATTGTTTCTTCTCTTTCTCTCGTCTTCTGTGCCCTACTGTTCACCTTGTGTCTTCCTCCACCCCTCCTCCTCACTCTGTCAGGATCTTGCCCCATTGGTAAGAGGCCTTTGCCCTTTTCACTCTATCTCTTTTTTCCTCAACCTCTACCCTCTTTACACTCCCTCTCCCTTGCACCTAGCTGTTCGCCGCTCCCTTTCCTAACTAGTACTAGTGCCGTTTGTAGTCGCTTCGAACATGTTTCACACCAGTGCAACACGGATCAGAAAGTAAGCAGAGAAAAAGAGAAAAGACAGTCTGCAATCTTCATATGCAAAGTAGTCAAGGACATAAGGTGCAAATGCCAAAAGAGTAATGTGGCTAAACAAGCTCTTGGGGACTTCTGTGGTTTAGATGGGGAAGACTACAAAAAGCTGAGTGTGTGGTCTTCTAGAAGTCGCACAACAGATTTCTAAATCAGGCTGCTGTCCATACGCATGAACTTGTGCCCTGAAGCTTTACTGCATATACCTAGTGCCAACTGTGGTACATGGTACGGGACAGTAGTTGCATATAATTCATATATCTGAGAATTATGAGGGTAAGAATCACGTGAGCACAGAGCTTGATGTGACGGGAAACCTAGCTCTTGCAGTCTAACTAAATAATGTTTATTTTATTTCCATTCTATGAAGTACTGCCTTGCATCACTTTTCGAACAGCCATACCTGTCATAACCACAGAAAAATATGTCTGCTAACATTATCATGTCGGCGCTTCACAACTGTTTCTGTGGACGTAGTAAGTCCTGATGACAATTCAACGAGAATATTCTGCAATTAAATCAAAGATTGGCCATGGTTTTGTTATGTTTGACTCTGTGATGCACTGTTGTGATGCGGCCTTAGGTCATATATCGTCTGTTTACCAGACTGAACATGTGATCCGAGAGATATTTTTGGGACATTCGTAGTACCTTGAGACGTTCAGGAAATGTCTGCAAGACCACATGTTTCGTCAGGATAGAAGACCTTTAGCTGATTAGTAGTATAGAAGGTTGTTACAAGCATAGAGAAAAACCTTTAATGTGGAATCACATAAGCATGCTTGGAGTCTTGACCACTTATAGGCTGGAAGCCCCTGACATGCCAACGGGAAAGCTGCGTCAGTTCGGAAAACAAGGAAGCCTACAAGGTAAGCTTATTGCATTTATAGCAGTTGAGCTTTGTCTAAAGTATGCGTGCTTGAAAAGAGTATAAATCGGAGAGTTTTTCGCCAAAAAGCATTCTGGATATATACTTTTAAGTTAAAGCAGAAAGGAGTATATTTTGGAGGTTTTCAGACTGCACAGCATTCAATCAACAAAATTATTCCTAGTCAAGGTAAAAAATAATATTTTTGGGTTTTTTCAAACTACAGACCGTTTATTCAACAGACTAGTTCTAAGTCAGAGCACTAGTGCTTAGATAAATATACCGTGATATCCCAGAGATAGCCCACCTAAAATTAAAACAAAATCTGATGAAAATGAAGAGTAAACTCATTTTTGGTGTGCGCTAAAAAAAAAGTTGAAAAGTGCTGATTTTAGATTTTGTGACCAGCAAACCTTGTGATTGCAGGGAGTAGCGATGAACCAAATTCGACTGTGGTTCCCAGTCAGCAGTGTTCGCTTATCACCCGCCGTGGCTAAGTAACACCATTTATGCCGAGGTCACCATTGGCCAGGGCCCTGCAATTACTAAAAAGAAACCATCTTTTGACTTTAAAAAAGAAAGAAAAAAGCAAATTATGTCAAAAATATGGGTGGTTATCTTTCGGGGGTGGAGCATCTCCCGGGATATTACGGTACATATCTCAGTAATCATGTGATACAATTCATTTGTTTGTTCTTCGTAGTCGCTTTCTGACCCAAAGGTTTTTATATGTAGTATCTGCTTACATATGCTTGATACAAAAGGCGCACCATATTTGTTATCGCATTAATTACATTACAAACTTTGCAGAAGTGGTGCATATGGACATTGAAATCAAATCTAGCATAATGACTCAATTAGTGATTCTCGAAAATTCACTACAAATAAAACAACTTGTTTAAAATTACTCACTGGGAAATCACTATAGATTCGAGGAAGACTTATTGTAAAACTTTACTTTGTCCAATAGCAGAAATAGAAGTGCAGAAGTGTCCAAATATATCACTCCCGCAGGTTTTCTTGAAGATTCTATAAGCCAGTTTCTATCCCTCTTCCTCCCTACCTCATTATCTCGTGCAAAACGCAGAGCTGATCACATTAGGGCACCTCCGACGATCCCTCACATTTGATATCTCTCTCTCCGCCCCCTTCGTAGATGTGCCTGGACCACTCCATCGCCATCGCCTCGGGCGAGCGTCCGCCGCCTCTCTTCGTCTGCCAGGGATGTGCCGACCAAATCCGCCGAGAGCACGGCCCCAACCACCTGATGGACGTGCTGCTGCCCATGCAGGAAATTGCCCTCACCTGCGAGAACAAGGTGAGCTCAGGGCCAGTCAATACCCAGAGCTACCCAACAGACCAAGAGATGGCGCCAGTCTTTCCTCGTTGCTAGAGAGCCTAGATTTAAGAAAGGAAGCTTCTTGGCTCGACAAACTTTTGACAATGTTATAATTGACCATTTTTTATAGATAGTATGTATGTTTGATCTCGCAAACACCGCAGAACCTTTGTCCTTGTGAAATGCAGTTTCATGGTCACCTCTTAGGTGGCACCAGCATGCTCTACTGTCGATCGCAATAGCTCAGTTTTAAGCAGACGCGAGTGTGTAAACCTGTGACCCTGATCAAGCGGTCAAAAACACTCCAAAATCTAGGCCCACCACTCGTCGTAAGTGGTTACGAGGAAACGTGATACACTCGAGCGCATTCAAATGACAATCTGCAAACCGATGTTGAGAGGGAGTTGTTCGATTGGCTGCAGAACTGCAGCACCCGGGACAAGTCGGCCAGCATCACCTGCTTCTCAATGGAGTGTGCCAGCTACAACGGCAACAAGCCCATCCGCTACTGCAACCCCTGCTTCCAGGCGAGGCACAGCGGCAGCAACGAGCGCGCCAGCCAGCACGTGGCCCTGCGGCCCATCCCCAGCCCCTGGAGCATGGACCGCGAGACACAGCTCTACTTCGTTGAAGCCATTGTCAGGTGGGGCCGGACGACTTATACTTAGAGTGGCCTAGGGCCGAGAGTTGAGCAAAGCGTACGTGGCAATTGCGGGCTAAAAGAATTCCGCTCATCAAAAAGCACATAGGTTTGCTTTACCTGTGACACTTTACAGGGTGTACAGGGTTTCACTTGAAGAATGCGAAGAAGAAGGCATCTAAAAAGTTCTCAACCTAGCTCCTCAGACAACATAATGATGTTTAGATAGAATCCCCATTCTTGATGATACATTGGTTGAAAAACGTCCGCTCAGGTGGCACATTTCAAGGAGATAATAGCATTGTCGATTGTGGAGGTCATATGCCTACATTCAGTGGTCAAACAAGGCGGGAAGGATGACAGCAGTTGGCAGGAGATACTCAAAAAAATCTTAGAACGGCAGCCATTTTAAACCATTACTTGTCAGAAAGCTAAGGCTCCCAGCTTTTTAAGTTATAGCTATGCTAGGTCCCTTGCCTTCTTTAAATCCTAGCAAAGCATCAGCTTCAAGGAAGCTAGGCTTCTCGGCGAAATGTTGCCTGTTGTCCCGAGGTGTTCCCTGGGAACTTGCTCGACTATTTCAAAAGGATTTATTATATGACCAGTTAAAGTGACTGGCAGCTTAAAAAATGCAGGGTTGGCGTATCTTGTTTACGCTCCTTGCTTCGTAATTCTTTACGTTGCAATGTTGGGAGAGTCGGTGGTACATTAACAATCGAATAAACAGTGCCAAAAAAATCAAGGACAAGAAGACGAAATATACACGCGAAGCGCTGACTCTCTACTGATTCATGTACTGACTCTAATCACTCAAAACTGGTAAAGGGGGCGATCGCAGTGGGGTGCTTGGGGAGGCATTGGTGAATCATCATGCTGTATGTTGACTATACTTTTTTTCACCTCAAGAATACTAGTAAAACAAATCCGTCTCCTCGCGGAGCCTTACTAATTTCCCCCTTTATGTGGATAATTAAGCTATATGAAGGTGCATTTTAGATTAGATATATGTTATCTTATCAAGACGTACACATTCCAAATGCCAAAAGCATAGCTTTTTCCTCCGACAACCGAATCTTGTAAGAACTACTTCGTGCCGCGTATGAACAATGCGCAAACCTTGATTTTTTCTTGAAGTGAAAACAGGTATAGTTTTGTTAATCGGGCAACAAAGCTCACGGACGGAGGCTGTCCATATGGCTCAATGGCAGGAGTGGCGGAAAGCCCGTTAAAAGGTCTTCAAGACCCCCGTAAGGTTGCCCAAGAAAAGCCTAAAGGGAGACCTATGGGTATGCCATACGTACATAAGGTTTCGCACAGCTTCAAAAAAGTGGCGCAACATCACGATGTGCAAGTAGTTTTTTTCGGTGCCTTCGAAGTTGCGGTGTCAATGCGCTAAAGTTGACAGAGGAGCTAGCGGATTTGTATGTGAAAAAGAAACACAATGTAATGTATGTGCCGTGCGCCTTCGGTGTAGTTTACAACGTTAAATTGTTCCACGGGAAAATGTACGCAAGTAAAACTGGGACATGTGTTAATAAGAGGTTAAGAGAACTTGCTCTATTGATGAGATCATCGCCATCAGGCAACTCGGCAGTACACTGCGACAGCTGCGATTATAAACTCATAGCAGATAAAACAATCTTAGGACGTCACAGTCAACGGACAACACAAAAAAATTTTTAAAATCTTTTTTTTTTTTTTTTTAAGCAAAAAGACAGATGCGTTGCATTGTTCGACAAAGAGTTGGCATTCTTGAGCAGGTTCGAGACATAAGTCGGCCGAGAGTCGGCGCTCCATGTGTGTATGCTTTGTCTTTCGGTCCTTCGTTCTTCGGCACCGTTTATTTCATCATTGGCTTCGTAGTTCGTTCTTTGGCATTCTCTTTGGCGAACGTCGCAATCTCTTTAGCTGCGGAGTGATGATGGGATGCTTGGGACTCGCTGTGCTCTGCATTTCTTAGAGGCTGGATTGTACACCTGTGTTTGACTATGTTTGCCTGTGCTACAATTACTTATGACTGCTTACAAGGAGCAAACGCACTAACGCCATCTATAGAACAGCTCAGAAAGACTTCCTGATGCGTGTATACTTCAGCATAATTTCTATCGAAAAAGTCCAACTTGGTCGAAGTTCGACCTCTGCAGGTTTGCGACGTCCCTACTTTTGAGCGGCTGCGGAGCTAACAAAATACCGGACGAGGCCTTTTCTTCGTCGGCGGCCCACCCTGGGTTCGAAATAACTCCGACAGTGTTGAACATTACGAGGGACCGTTTCTCGTAGATTTAAAGAAGATCGGCGGCCGAGCGTGTCGGCGCACCACAGATCTCCACGCCTGCCCATTTCTATCCAAACAAGCGCTGCACCGGCGCGCGGTCGCGTGTTGCGACTGCGCGAGTCACAAAGGAGACTCCGTGCCAGCGGTCATACTGCGCTAGCTACATTTCTCGCCTACGAATAAATTGGTGCCACCTAACCTCAAAGGCAGACCGACCTTACGCTGTCTAAACACAAACGTCAAATTTAGTTTCGGCAAGCACATTTTATCTCACAAGTACCGCAAAACCTTCAGTATAGTTATACAGTAAAACCTCGTTATAACAAAGTTGAAGGAGCGGTCGTAGTTATTTCGTTATAACCATTAGTTTGTTATAGCCAATGTCCATTTCTCCATACTATTAGCAAGCAAGGGGAATTATGATTGCTTTGTTATATCCATTAGTTTGTTATATCCCATTTTGTTATAACGAGGTTTTACTGTATGCAGATTGAGGCCTTCCAGGGCTACCTTGTGCAGAGAGCAAGTCACCTGCTTCTTGCGCAGGGGTTGCGGCGACGTCAGAAGGACGCCGGGCTTTGATTGGCTTTGATTGAAAGGATAGTGGGTAGGCCTCGGTGGCTAGATCCGTTGAGGCTCATTTTTGTCAATCAGCCAATAAGAGTTCGGCGTCCCGACATCATCACGACCCCTGTGCAAGAAGGAGACAAACTTGCACTCTGCATTGACGGTGCCAGTACGCCAGTGCATTTCCTCGTTGTAAGCAGTCACGTGTGGTCGTAGCACGGTTGGTCACAGTCAAACGCAAATGTGTGAGAACCAGCTGTCGACGAACATAGTTGCCAGAGGGCAGCACTGCAGCACCAGCACGACTGCTTACCGGTGCAGCCTCCTGAAGGAAGCCCAGCCGACAACGGACAAAGGAGGGGTCACCACGCCGGGCAAGGAGTCAACGACCGAGCGGCACTCCCGCTCCGGAGGCGCCCTCTCGGAGGGGCCCGAGGAGTCGCTCGAGTGCATGGCCCAGGAGGAGCGCCAGCTGCTCAGCCGCTACGGGGTCTGGCTCCTCGTGGGGCTCTGCACGCCCGAGGACAACACCCCTCAGGTGACTGCACGGGCGACCAACCCCTCCGGACAGACCCTTTTCAAAAGTTCATGCGCACCATCCAGTAGCTATCTGTATGTTGCCTGGAGTGTGTCTTCAATTGGTATGTTTACCGCCTCCTCAAAAGTGGTCGCCCGTCTTCCGCCCGACAGTGTCACAGAAGTGTCGCGCCATCGTCTGCCGCGATCCCGGTGGAGGTATGGCGGCGGAGGTGCACGCGGCAAACGTCCGTTCCGCTGCGGGTCGCTCTGTGGCCAGAGAGTCAATGGAAACCGAAGCAAACGCAAGTTGGGACGCCGTAACGACGACAAGCCTCGCGTCCGCTCACCTTTTTCGACGCCAGCATTTCTACGACCGACCGCCTGGATTGCAATGTCCAACACAACGACGGGCCAGCTTCCGTGACGTAATTTGTAGCCAATTTAAGACTGCTTTTGACACGTGGGCGGGATGGAATGATAAACACGCCGGTTGAACACATGCTCTAGGCACCGTTATGCCTACAGCTCGAATTATCCGAGTCCGTCGTCGTTTGGGTATGCACTCTTAGCAGGTTTAGGATACGAGGGTCGCGTCAGCAATCGGCGTGAACTCGGCCCGGCTTGTATCGAGAATAGGTGCCACATTTGCGTTCGGCGAAGGCTCGGATCCGACCGCACCTTTTGTGCCCGACAAAAGGCAACCAACTGTAGGGTACAACACACCCACAGCTCACATCTTTCTCATCAAAATAAAAGAGATGGCTCGAGGCGCAGCACACGCACGCACCTCGGAGAGCTCGTGCAAAAGAATGTTCTGAAGCCGCCATCACAGGCAGACACGTCGTTCTGTTGTCTCTTTCTATGTCCTCACTTTAAATAATGTGGAAGGACCTCGCGCCACCCACACGACGATGGTCCTCGGTGTTTTTCGAAAAGGGTCTAGTATATCGTGGGCTGCTCAGACCGTATACTTCTACGGATTCTTCATGTTTTGGCCTTTCACTGTTAAACCGATTGTGATCGCTTTTCCGTCTTAATAATGCGATGGCGCCGCACATGCAGGAAACGCTGGGCCGCCTCCTGGGTATGCTGTTCCAGTGGTTCCACTACACGGCCTGCCTTCCAGACGGTGTGTATGTCAGGCTGGTGCCGGTTAGGGCTACTGTAGCTGCTGCCGTTGGGAGCAGAGGGATGCAAACTCGAATGCCACCTAGGCAACTGGCGAGAAACACCTCCAATGCTTGTACTCGGTTCAACTCGGAAATTAAAAAAACTTATTATCTCCACACTGTCTGAAAAATTTACGTTATAAAGCTATTTTTAACATGTTGTGCGGGCTTAATAAAAACACTTTTGTTTGTTTTCAAGCTTTGTTCAAGCTCGGAAGTCTTGTTTTGAATTGAAAAGTGATGTAAAAGGCAGCAGTTGTGCAGACGATGAAGCAAGTGGTAAACGCCATTGCGACGCGACTTGCTCAAGGTCACTCATAAAGCATGTGAAACCTCCATTCATCTGACAAGCACCAAATTATTCCGCATGTGCTTTTCTATCAAAGGGGTGCATCATCTGCTACAGATGCTCGTTTCCCCTCTGCAAAGCTTCTTTCATCTGTGTGATGTGACTGCATCATCACTAGACCCGGTGCCATAAGTCTTCATGGTATGGGCAACTTGTTTGTCGGTGGTGGCTCCCCGGCTGTCCTGCGCTAAAATAGATATCTTTATCTCTAGTACTTTACAGAAGCATCTAATGTCCACCACTGGTAGTGCTGGTCTGTTGTCTGCAAAGGAAAGCCTGCATAACTGGCACCAAGACAGTTGCATCATTATTATCATATAGATTCTTTAGCAAAATTGGGCAACCAAAAACCAAGCATCGATTAGGGCTTCGTTGAAGCTAAAAATAGGGAATATATAGCTAGCTTTATGCCATTCCGGCTGCAGGTCTGTATGACATAGAGCAAGTGAAATCATTGTGTGTATTTTTATTTTTGCAGATCAAACTGGAAATGCCTTGGAAAGGCTGAAAACTGAAGTGAGTCTTTTATCTTGTTTATTTTTTTCACACAACAAATGTCTTGTTAACATCTCAAAACTTAATCACTCGGGGCATTACAGCAAAATTTAATCGAATGTCATCAACATAAAGGTAAGAGTGAATATGAGGTAAAAAGTACATCAGCATATACACACTAGGGAGGTGGAGGGTATCTTCATAAATGCAATTTTCAGCATAAAAATTGCAGATATGGGACAGCACATTCTCTTTTTAAGGCACGGTATTCATTTTACTGGTTTATTTTTTCAATGTTTAACTGTCTGAAAGCTACTAAATATGACCAATAAATATATTCCTTTACCCATAAGTATACTTGAGGTACATTTTGTGGGGCTACCTTTATGTTTTTCAGACACTATGGAGCAAAAATATTCTGCAAGCTTGAGAAATTTGCAGGATACTGTACTGAACATGAAACTAAATATAGAACAATGTGTCCCGTTCTCCTGAAAAACGGGAAGCCTAGTGCTTACTTTGCACCTAGCATAGGGCAGGATGCAGCATGTCAGTATGTAATAAAATACTGGGCCACAGCTTCCAGAAGTATAAGTATGGTTCATTCCAATATAAATAATTGTTTGTATTCTTGTATTGCTTCCTGCAGCAATAATATATGTATCGAGAGCATTGACCACTCTTTTAAAGCATAACCTCTTAGTTTAGGGATCGAATTACCTTCTATCGAAAACGCAAGCGCTAAAGCCAAATCTTGCTGTTGGAAAAGATAAAAAAAAAAGGTTATTTTTTTTAAATGGCTTATACTAAACCAAGTATGCAGGCGACCTGGTTTGATACTGACATGGTAGCCCAGGAGCGGGATAAAAACGGGACGAACGCCCCTGTCGTTATTTCGTGAACGGCGAACGAAAAACCGAAACCGAAAATACGCGCCCGACAGGCGACGAGAGCGTAACTCGTTTCAAGCGATGCAGCCCCAACGCGAGCGTCATTCGCCATTCCCCTGCCCAAAATGGCCGACTCGAAGGGCTCCTCGAGCGAAGACGCTGATCTGCTGGAATGGGTGAAGATAAACGACGCCTTTCGGGCCGAAGAAGGCAATTCACCCACGCTGGTGAGGGACAGAATGAAGAACAAGATTGTCTCCAACCCGTTTGTTCCCATCGGCATGTTGGCCACGGTCGGCGCTCTCGGCATGGGCCTGAACGCAATGCGGACTGGCGAGCGTCGAAAGTCCCAGCTCATGATGAGGGCACGGGTCATCTGCCAGGGACTGACCATCGTCGCTATTCTGGTGGGCATTGCGGTTGGAGCGGGAGCGGCGACCGGCAAGAAAACCCAGTGACGTTGGGCTCGAACGGCCGACCGCGGAACATGCAAAGACGGCGGTTTTAGAAGAACCTGCACACTGAAGAATTAGTGCCCAGCGACCTTGTTTGCTCGGTGACTGCGTTCATTTTTCGGAGATGTTTGATCTCTATAACGATTCGTCATGTATCGACTGGCTAAACGTCTTTTGAGGCGGTTCACCGCATGTTTAGGCCCATCGTGTTTCAACGGTGCTACATGCCGGAGATCTAAAGCGCTGGATGGTGTAGCACCTGTAGCGACGACACAGCATTCAATCATTTAACAAGTAGACGCGCTGTAACGGTAATCTGTCAAAAGAAAGGTATCTTTAAGAGCTATTTTAGTTGCTTGTTTGAATTTCGCTTCACAATTTGGGGCTGTACAATTGTTTTATTTGAACTGTGTAGATTTGTTCAGTTCTGCCCCAGCTGTAAAATATGTATGTAGAACGGATATCCACTATTACATTTTTTTTTTCAGGAATCGTTTTGTATGAAAGTGAATTGCATGTTACAAAGTGAGAGTGCAGCATGAAAATAATAAACCCCAATGTTCTATTGACTTGTACCTTCCAACTACTCGTCATTTCAGAATTATGGATTACAAAAACTTCTGTGTCAAAGGGGTAGGTTGCATTATAGACCGTATTAAGGAACAACATTTAAGTCCTGCAGCACTGCACAAATTTGCAGTGGAGGTTCCCAGAACCTGTACACCAGGAATGAGAACAATGATTGTCCCCGTAAAATAATATCCTTTTCTGAGAATCGTGAAGATTGCTGGGCAGAGTGCTTGATAGCTTCCTTCTTTTCTAACAATGGCAGCAAAAATTTGTGTGTTGGTGTATGAGCTACCTACACAACGCTTCAGTTATATTTGAGGTAATAGCTGCATTGAACACATAAGTGATCACGTGCAGAGAGATGAGGGCAATTTTCATATTATTTTAAACATGCAATTCTGTGGAAGTTGGGTCACACTGTGTCTTACTCAAATGTGCAAGTCCTAATATGACATCTGGTGAATATTCGCTGGGATGCTTACTCAGGCCGTCTGAACACCATACCAAGGGTAAACTTATTTAGCTTTAATGATGAGCTAAAGAGTTATAGGTGATTGTTGCATCATCTAAAGGGAGCATTCACTGGGGATAGCCAAAAGAAGAGTAAAATCTAGAAGTAATTTGTTGACTGCAAATCGAGCTCATGAAGGCAAATTAGCTGCTTTATATGGGAGGATTATTTGTATCTGTATATGAAACAGCTGGCTTGAACAAAAAGTAAATGTGCAAACGAGCTGGTGTAAATTGAACACAATTATGAAAACCCCTAGACTATGGCAAAAGAAGGCGACAGCGCAAGCATGCAGTCTTGGTGTTTTTCGTAATTATGGTAAGTTGACTTGTCTGCCCAGCTTTTCTTGACAAATTATTTTTAGACTCCTAAAGGGCCCATGAAACGAATTTTGGGCTAGGATAAATTAATTTAGATTGGGATTTTACTAATTGCATATCATTTAGTGGGCCAAGTGAAAGAAGGTATAAAAGTCGAAGCCTGATTTTCGGTACAAAATTTTGAAAAGACCGCGGACTATTTCATACCTCCTTGCCTTCGAAAGTTCTCTGCCTTCTCGCAGTCATAAATCTGCAGTACCCAAAGTGTGTCACCCAATCCAAACGCACGTCGCACGACGCCCGGACCTTCCTTATTCCCTTCGCCCTTTAGCTGACAGTGCGGTGGAAGCTGTGCACTTGCCGGACCAATCAGCCACCTCACTTTCATCACCTGACCTCAATCTCTGCGCATGGGTATGCGCGGGGGAGCGTGATCATGTGGCAAAAGTGTGGCTGGCCCAACGAGCACATAGCATCCACAGCACTGTCAGCTTCGGTGCGAACGGAGTGGGGAAAGCAACTTTGGTTCGACTCTTGAGCGACGGCGAATCTTCTAGGAGGAGAATGGCTGTATCCATGTACACAAACGAGGGTCCGAACAAGAGGGGATTCCCTCCTTTCCGTCTTCTTGAGCCGTTTGGTACAATGCGCGATTTGTGAGTTAAGGATGAAAGCTAAGGAGGAAAAAGTTGAGAAATCGTTCCATGACCCCTTTAAGGCAAACACTTTGGTGGGCAAGCTTGGCTAGATTTTGCACATGTCGGCATTGCCAGTAATGCTTAGGGTGACCATATTCCTCAAGGTAGAAAACGGGACATCCCCGCGGTGGCGGTGGGAAGAGGGGGGGGGGGGGTCGTACTAAAAATTAAGATTAAGGGAAAAAGTTTGATGAAATAACTGCTCTTATTTCAAAGCGTTACCATATTGCACTAAGCCCTAGGAAACAGTCACACTCGTTCAGTTGCATGCACTCATTTGGAAGGTCCTGCTTCGTGTCCTTCGATGGTGTAAGCGAATTTTGACGACGACTAAGGTTTCCTAAGCAGGACTTTATCCTGCAAGACTTGGTTGTAAAGTCTGCGCACTTATATGGGAAGTTCAACCTCACAAGTAGCATTGCTCGCACGCTTGAGACAAGCAGGCGAGACTTCTAGCATACCCATATGGAGTTCATAATTGAAAAGACGCGCTCCACTGGAGCCGTGGCTCCAAAGAAGCACAGAGCCAGTTCCACGACCTGGGAAATCTCGGCGCAACATACATGTTCTGTTTTCACCACTTTAAAGATTTGCATCATCTCTCACAGACTAATACCTGAAGATTTCCAATCTTCTAGTTTCGTTTTAATGTTCTTATTGACAAGGGTCCACCGGTGAACACACACGTGCGTTTCTTCGCTATTTTCGAAAAAATAGTGTAGTGTTGTCAACCGTGATCCTACATGTGTGCTATATCTGGTAACAAAAAAAATTCTACACGTGCGTCTTTGCGGGAGAAAAGGTGTTTGTGGGCAAGAACAATTCCAAATTTTACTCTCTGGGTAAATATTTTAAAGTACCTACGTTTTTTGCCTTTTTTTGTCAAATATATTTGTAATGAGTAGGCATATTTTCGGCTTGCTTCAACTCGCTTAGTGCCAATTCCGAAACTATGCACCGATGCGAAAACTGGACATGATCCATTATTGGGAAAAAAAGACGGGACGGCAGAAGTGGACCTCAAGAACGGGACTGTCCCGGCCAAAACGGGACGTCTGGTCACCCTAGTAATGCTTGCAAGCATTTCCAGATGATCACTACAAAATAAAACATATCTTATGTGCCAAAAGAATATTTAAAAAATAATACAGCCTTTGTTATGTATTATGTGCCATCATTACCTCGAAAATACCCCGGCTAGTCATGGTCGACAGTGAGAGGTACTATAGTGGCTGCACAACGACCTCATGCTAGATATGAAGCCCCAACTAGTGCTTAATTCTTGCAACATTGAATCATTCTATACTGTCGCATTCATTGGACCCTAGAGAGAGAGAGAAAATTAATTAAGGTCGTGGCAAGTTAGACCCGAGCTCGAGCCTTTGAGTGCCTCACCGTGCCGTGACGCAGCGCTCACGTCCCATTATTAGACGATGGGTGCTGCCCCAATCTAGCCTTTGTGACCACTAGTTGCACTGACTAGCAGCTGGCCATAGTGCCTTTTGGGGCCTTATGCTACACAGCGGGACTAGGTGGGACCGGAACATTGTCGTCTGGTGCGATTGGTCAGTGGCATGGCGCCGACCGATCGCAGCAGACAACATTGTCCCAGTCCCTTGTTCCCACCGAGTAGCATAGGGCCCCTGTTCACTGCTGTGCCCTGTCTGTAGTGAGTGAAAAGTTAACATACTAATCACTTTCCACTAGGAAAGAAGATAAATTTTAAAAAAAAGATAACCTACATTCTCACTGTTCTGGCCTCCAGTACATCCATGGGTGGCTGATGGACATTGTACGGACTCATTTCGACGTGTTTGTGTCCTGTCTCCTGCCTCATCCCGCTGAATATGCACAAGTTGGAGGCCACTGGTGAGTGGACTGTGCATCCATGAAGCACCAACCTTCCTCGAATTATTTATCAAGAGGTCCTCTATAGTCTATGAAAAAGGCATGAACAGCAAATAGTTAGAGCAGTGCGAGTCAACCTGAAGCTGTTGCATGGCTGTTTAGACAGTAGAAGAGTCTGCTTTCTTTTGGCATTTTTTTTCTAGCGATTTGTTGGGTGCGCGGCAGCTGTTAATCTGGGGTCTTTAATGTGCATCGTTCAGTAATTACTCAAATCTTATAGGAACAAGCAAGAGGGGGAATTAAACACAAAAATAAAATTATTTCATTTCACCATACAAACCATCAAATAGTAGACTAAAAAAATAGGAGTAAAATTTTAGGCTGCAAGCAGATGTCTTCAAGGAACTGATTTATTTATTTATTTGTTTACAATAACCTCAGGGCCGTAAGGCATTAGAGATGGGAGTGGATACGTTATGTACAATGATGGAAATTGTGTCTCGACATTTGATGGGGTCCTGGACCGTGATGATGACTTCGCGAAGGTCATTGCAGTCCACAATTGCATCAGGAAGGGGGGCATGCTGGTAGGCTATGGAAGAACACTGCGGTCGGGCTTTTTTGTTACAATGATACAAAGATAGGCCGGAGATAAAAGTAACTGATTTAGAGATGGCGAATAAAAATTTTTATGCAGCAGGGCATAGGCAGAAGATTTTTCGACGGAAAAAAAAAGCTATGGGAGAGAAAGATCTGATTTTATGTGGGAGACACTTGAAAAACTTGAGAAATCTGACTTAATAAAATGTGCAGCACAGTTTTAAACAGATTCAATGTTGTCTGTAAAAGTAACTTGATGGGGGTGCCAGATTGATGTGTATTCTAAAATAACGGAAGTCCTTTCAGTTCAGATTTTGAAGACTTGAGCTTAAATGTGGAAGCATAGTGAGACCATATAAAATGCTGGCTCGACTGTCTTTCTCAAAAATTCTAAGTGATTTCTCAGGTGGGTCAGAGGAGGCTGGTAAATCACTTTTGAACAAAGATGATATTCAAGAAGAAGAGAAGATGAAATTTAAAAGAATGCCATTGTCACCTGAAATTATAGCAAAAGGTGGGCGAGCTAGTGAATGTTCAACATTCTGAAAATTTAAGACCGACAAACAAAAGAAAAGAAACAATACACGAAAGGTGTTTTCTCTACCCTACATTTGCCTTTCTTTGATTTTTATGATGTCGAACATTATTGCTTGTGTCCTTTATTCCTGTTCAACGAAGTGTATATGTTCACACTCTTCCTGCTAACAGGCTTTCCTTATCCTAGTCAAATGAGTGCTTGTAACAACATTTTGTTTTTCCTTGTTCTGCAGGGATAACTGGCCATGTCAGACTGACCAGATCAAGGAGGGGTTCAAGACACTCCTTTGCCTTGTTCCGTACGACATCATTAACAGAGAGGTGTACATCTTTGAAACCTAATTTTTTTTTCCTCCCTCTTTCCTCATATCAGTCACTCCTGGAAACTACAAATTAAACTATATTTAGCATAGCTTTAGCCCCAAGAATGGTGGCCGAGATGATGTGAGGCTAAAACTATGGAGTACTTCTATCGAGTGTGAAAAAAATGTGTCTCAATATTTCACTGTCAATTGGCAAAATGGAAGGTTTGATGAAATAAGTTTTGCAGCATAAGATTTTGAGCATCAGTTACATCTTTTTGCCAAAATTTATCTGAGGCATGTAAAATTTTCTGATGGCCTTAGGAATGGGCTCTCATGACTAATAAAGTTATGTGTAACAAAATCCCAAAATAACAATATTTTTTTCTTCAGGTTTGGGAGTACATTATGCCACACTGGATGGAGGCCTTTCGGTTTGAAATTCCAGAGGAAGAACTTTCGGAGCTCAAGATTCTTCTCAGGTAGGATGGTTCTTAAAGGGAAGATGGGGCACTTCTGCATTTGAGAAAAAACACTGGAAATGCATTCATTTGGCCTTTAGAATAACAGATATCACAATTATGTTTCAATGCGACACGCCGGAGAGCAATCAGGGCAATTTCAAAATGGGGCTAAAGCCCCGCCTCCCTAGCCTTGGGCAGCCAAAAGAGCCGTCGACGACGTCACAGACAGCGACTGTCTTTCGCGTTTAACAATACTTGTGCAGCAAATGGTTTGGGTATTCGGATTCACGGGGTAAAAATACACTATAAATCACTTTTAACTCATTTTTTTTCAAGAAGCTCCATAGCTTCCCTTTAAATTTGTCTGTCTTAGCAGTACAGTCAAACCTCATTGTAACGAAGTCGGTAAAATTCGGAATCTACTTCGTTACATTGAAATTTCGCTACATAGAAATTCGAGGCTAACGTTAAAGAAAGTTTCCACAAATGTTTCTTGGGTGCACAAGACTCACCGAGGACACCTTTATTTCACTTGAAAGCAGTCCATCACCTTTTCCTAGGCCACTCTTAGCATTATTATTGGCATCACACGACGTTCGCATAGCCAGACAACCTGCATTGCGTCTTCGTCTTGCTGTGTGATTGCGAACCGCCTCAAGACATCGATCGCGTCCACCACTTCACGGTCACTGGGCCCATCGCAGGTGTCTTGCTCACCAGGCTCGATGTCGTCCTTGCTTGCAAGTTACCACGAACATCGCTAGCTATCGCCTCATTGGTCACCTCCTCTGTCGCAATGACAGCAGAGTTGGCGTATAGAAAGTCGTCGAGGCCGACGTTGTCAGGGGTGGCTCCATCGCCTTCGAGGCTCCATCGCCGAGGACAATGAGAAACGTATGCTTTTAGTTAGTCCTCGAAACGAACTACGCAGCGCGAATGAAGCTGACAGACGAAACGACGGCGGCTCTAGTGTCCTCTAGTAGCCGTTCTGTACACCACACCCGCCAGGTTCGGCCCGTTTCACCCTTTGAGCTTTATCGGGGGCCCATTTCAGCGCATGTGCTTCCCAAAATCTCCTTTGGGACCCAAAAGTTTGCGAGAAATTGTCCATGAAACTTTGTTACATCAAAACTTTGGCCAACGGGACTTTGTTACATTGAAGTCAAAAATACATGACGTGCATACACCTGCAGTTAGAAAAATTTATGTACTTTGTTACATTGGGGGTTTCGTTACAAGAAGTTTGTTACATCGAGGTTTGACTGTATTCATAAAAGTCCATACGATGTACTAAACTGAAGTCAAATCAACAAGTGAATAAGACATTAAAGCCTGATCGCTGCATTGATGCCCTTAAACAGGAATACCATAGCTTTTGCAGTGATAATTCAACATATGGAATAAAAAATAGTAAGTTGTATTTATGTTCGTCTAGTCTATATTATTAGGAAGATGCTGCTGACAGCATCATCCTAAAAATATTGAATTTAGTACAGTGTGTTGGCATAAATTGTTCAACATCTCCCAAGACAAGACTTGCTGTACTAGAAGAGCAACAGTTAATTAAACAAGGCTTGCAGTGAGAGGAAGTGTATTTGTAGCTGGACATAGCCTTTACTACTACTAGTTGCAAGCATCCTAAAGTAAGTATGTACACTTCACACTTGTGGGCAGTCAGCTGTCCCATAAGTGAGTGCAGTTACTAGTCAGTTCGGCTGGCAAACATCTTAAATGTTGAAAAAAAAGAGGTGCTATACACGAACTCAACTCTCCTACGTCACGCCGCGGTGGTGGCACGCCGGACGCACTTCCGGTCTGGGGCGGTGGGCAGAAGTCGCCGTGCGAGACATGCATTCCTGTGTTCCTTTGGAAGAAACGAGACAAAAAACCTGCCTCCTCGTCAAAATGCTGCGACGGGGCTTTACCAAGAGAGTCTGGAAAGGTTTGAAGATCAGTTTTCATGTGTTTCTGCCCCCTTTGTTCGTCCGAGAAGGTGCATAGTAGCCGTGAAAAGGGCAAACCAGACGCTGTCGAACTACGATTGCGTGAGCGGGCAACACTTTGTGGTCTCCAGATGTATTTGCTTTGTTCCAACATGAGCGAGAGAAAACCGCCAAGTTGTCCGGACCACCCGCGGGTTCAGTGCGTCTTCAAATTCACACGGCCGCCTGATCGTTCGAACTTTCGTCTGCTCTTTCAAACTTGTCCGCTTTTTGTCGTCTGCTCGTTCAAACAAAAGCGGCCCGTAGACCAAACTTTGACCCGGTGATTGAAATAAGAAGTAATTGCAGGCCTGAAGAGACTTAAGTAGGCTCGGTGTAAACAGTAGATACAATATGTTGACCATTGGTACCGGTGGCCATCACCGACTTGTTACGCTTGGTCTGTTCCCTCTTCCTATTTTCAGTATCGACGTCGATCATCGCCGCTACCTTCTACACTTTTGCAGCACGAGCGACGTCGCGACCGAGAATAGCTAGAAGAATATCATCATAGTTTTGGCGTCCATTCTGCGGCGTTCATGCGAATGAATCGTCGCACGACAAATTATTTACTCAAAGTTTAGCGGTGTAACGAGCCTTGATAATTTCGCTCAGGCGATTAAAGTGGTAAGACATTGCGATGACGACGTAGAATCAACAATTTCAACGCTAAAAAAAAAAGTGTAGGCAGACTCACACAGACGCCGACAACGTGACATTCGAATGATTTGACGCAGGACGCGGTGCTTCTTGTCCGTACTCCATGCGTTCGAACTGTCATCTGCTCTTTCAAACTTGGCTGCTTTTTGCCGTCAACTCGTTCAAACAACAGCGGCCCGTAAACAAAATGTTGACCCGGTAATTGCAATAAGAACTAAGTGCAGGCCTCAAAACACTTTTGAAGGTTGGTTGGGGGTATGTAGGCTAAAGTGTAAACAGATACAAGAAGATGTTGATCATTGTTACCAGTAGCCATCACCGACTTGTAATGCCCGATTCTACTTGCGGTTTTCAGTATCGACGTCCACCATCTCAGCTACGGTCCACGCTTTTGCAGACGTCGCGACTGAAAATAGAGAGCAGAATCTCATCGTGGGAATCCGGCTTTAGCGCCCATTCTCCGGCGTCCACGTGAAATGAATCGCCGCACGTCACATTATTCACGCAAAGTTTTGCCTCTTCAGTTTTGCTGAAGCCGCTCAAGTAGTCAGACATTGTTAGCAGGACGCAGAATCAACAATTCCAACGCGAAAAAGAGCACGGGGACTCCCACCGACGCCGACAACAACGCGATTCAATGGTTTGTTTATGGGCGACGGCGGGCTTTTTGCCCACCATCCACCGCGCATGCGCGGCGCCGGTGAAGTCCGCTAGGGGCGCTCCGGTTTGTTTGTAAACATGAGTTGGTGTATATAAAAGGACCAGTATCTCTTTGACAAGACTTCTTGCTATTCTGTGACCTTGCACTTCGTTGATTGTCTTTGAACTTGCAGCAAGGTCCTTGACCCAGACCTGAGCCCACTGGGGTTCAACATCAAGCAGATGTATGGATTCCTGACTGCCCGCTTTGAGAACACAACTGCACAAGTGCAAGAGCAAGCCCTGTACTGGCTACAGGTAAAGAGAAAGCATGTATGTCGGCAAAGAGTATAACAGCGGTGAGAGTTAGTACAAACCCAAACCTTCCGATTCAGTTATTGTACAGGTGCGCTACAAGCACACTAAAAAATAACTATTAGCTAAAAAGAAATGCTTAGACTCACTTCCATTAAACTCCTGTGTACATAAAATATATACCTAATTATATATTCATAGTTGTCATGGTGGGAACGTGATGTCGTGTTACATATGGTAATGTCACATGTTAAACTTCCCCGCTAAATTTAGCAGGAACAGGATGTATGCTCTCTCCGCGACGTATCTGTGATATGGTTGCTTCTGGCTGGTGCAGATTCTGACCATGCTGGAGGTGCCTGTCCCCATGAACCTGCTCTTCTCCATGTTCCCTGCGGGAGTGCAGGCAACACTGGGGCCAGCTCCCTTGTCCAGCGAGCCCAAAGAAGAGGCCCATGTCGCCACGCTGACCCCCAAATTTCATCCGTTGCGACAGGACACCACTGGTAACATTTTAAAGCATTCACATTTGTTCGGCTACTACTTTTACAACATCTACAGTCTATCTCAGGCTGCAGCAGGGGTCGGCAACCTTTTGCTGCGGCGGTCCAAATCGCCGCAAACTGGCGACTCGTGCACCTGCACTTGCAGCATGCTTCTAAATGTTTTCACTTTGCAAAACGTCTATTGGTTTGGGAGTTGCCAACGTTCATATTATTTGGCCATGGCAGTACTCAATAAAAGTTGACCGACGTCGCTTATTGCTGGCTGGGATGAAAGTTTTGCTGTTTGAAACAGCGGAGTCTGGTCGGTTTTAACAAAGAGGTGCGCCCACCCAGGTACCATGCTTGGCAGCCTCGGCCTGGACTGCGACCAGCTTCCAAGCTTTCTGCCGGAGGACGCTCCTCCACGAGAAGACAAGTCAGATGCAGAGCTCTGCCTCAGCTGCCACATCCTCATGGTCGACATCCTCATCAAGCAGGTGACTCTGAGGCCACGTCGGTCGTGGAAAATTGGCTGCCATCCCTAAATGTCTTTTAGGTTTGGCAGGCTGTTTTCCCTCTGATTACTGCTATATCTCGGATCACTGCTCAGTGGGTGCAAGTGTAAAAACGAGGAGTGAGAGCGTTATAGTTTCAGGTTCCAGTGCGTCCGAGCGTGTGAGCACACCACAGCTTGGAGTACACGAAGCAAAAGATTGCGCTACAAAATTTGAGAGATCGTTGGTTTGATCCCAGAGCCTTACCTAACTGTTTAGGTCGTCGAGGATTAGAAACATATTTTAAATTGATTGATCCACGCAGCTAGAGCTGCAGGAGGTGACCCCCCATCGTGGCCTGAACACCTCGGAGGCACGCGAGATCTTGAGCCTGCTACATGCAATGCTGAGATATCCCCGGGCGGAGCACCAGTGTTGCCAGGCGGGCAGCGCCGGCGGAGCGGGCGGGGTGCCGGCCGCTTGCCTCTTCTGTGAGATGAGCGCCATCTGGTACCAGCTCGTGCTCTCACTCATCGAGTTCTTCTGCCCCGTCATGGAGGTGGCCATGGCAGATGTAAGCATGGTGCCTGGAATGCGTTTCGAATTGGTGTGTGTACCGTGTTTACCACTTCTTAGCCTGTTAACAGGACGCAGAAGCAATCTTCGAATTAAGAAAAGCTACGAAAGCTTGGATGTAGTTACAGCCTCCACCAATATGAAAGACCCACTTGGAGCACGTGATAAAGACTAGAAGCTGTTCCGGTGTTCAGGATTTTCGGTTTAATTCCTTACATATTCAATCCCTAAATCGTTAACGTCGGGCGAGGCACTATTTCAGCTGGTCGCAGCTAGAGCCACTGAGTAATTTAAGCCTTAAAGGGAAACTCCGCTTCATTCTCGGTTGTTACCAAACACTGCGACTCTCTTTAGTGTCATCTAGAGAGACTGAATGTCAAATATTATAACGTAATACCGCCTAAAAGATCACTAAACCGGCCGACAAAAACTGAGACTCACGAAGTCACCAAAATCCGCTAATTTAGCGGGCGACATGCGGCGCAGCCAATGTTGTATTTCCGTTGTGGCTGACGTCTGTTGCATACGCAGTTTTTTTTCTTGGTATTTTCTTTTCCCGGGAGAGCTTACCGGGCGGCGCTACGGACGCGCTCCACGTTTGAGCAAGCAAAGAGGCGAGCCTACTACAATAGAGATGAGTGGGCGAGACAAACAAAAAAAAAAAATGAACGAGAACAAGAGAAACAAAAAGAGGAAGAGAGAGTTGTACGGAGATGAGTTTCGCTGACACACCTGCCAACCGGTGCCAACCGACTAGCCGCCTGGGTTGCCGCCTACATAGCCTGCTTCGTTGCTGCTTGCGTTGCCTGTTCACCGCCGCGGCTAGGCCCGCCCTCCCTCCTCCCTCCTCACCCTTCCCCTCGCATCCGCGTCTTTCTTGGGTTACCGCTAGTAGATCACGTGACCCCTTGTATTCCACGTGGGTGCGTATGCAACTGACGTTGAGAGTACAATGTTGCCCGGCTGTGCCGAAGTTTCAGTTTCGGTTTGCGATTGTGGTAAATAACAAGACCGCACGAAAAATATTTTGCTTTTAATGAGACAAACGGTCTAGGGTTGTTTTGAAGTACTTTTCACGTTTATATCACCCACTATCTCGAAATTTCCAAAATCAAGCGGAGTTGCCCTTTAAGGTAACAACACTTGCGCCACCTTGATGCTTAAATTTATTGTTGCCTCAACTTTTATTTCAAATCGCAGGAAATAAAATTACTTTCTACAGATATATTCAAACAGTCCGCGACAGAGCAAAAGAACATCGCCCAAACTTTCGGTGTTGGGGCACGACACATACTGTGGGCAGTTTTACATCATTCCAAGGACAGCGAAACTCGATGACGCAGCAAGACTGAGTTGGCGTGCACTGACGAAGTGCCTTCCCGTCCCTTGGAGTGACACGGGTCTTGGTCGCGTGCTCCGAGTCTGTCTTCGTATTGGTGGAGACTGTACCTTGAAAATGTCTGTGAAGTTTTTATTTTATCAGTAAGAGCGATGTAATACTAAATTAAAATTTTGCCGTAGCTCCTCCTGCTACTGCACGCCATAAGCAGGAAAGTAGGAAAGCAGAGAGAAAGACTAGTGAAAATGATGTCATCGGCAGCGTCATGTGACACTTGCTCGCATTCAATCTTGCTCGAAGATGCCTACAATAACGCAAAGACACCTTTGATAAATCAATAACAAGTGGCAGGGTGGCTCATTGTATGCTTTACGGCATTCGCTGCACGGCTTAGTACATTTAGTACATCTGCCGAATTTAAGTGCAGTATTCATAGCTGGGAAAGAGGATGACATGCAAAGTTCTAAGTTTATTAAGTTTATCCTGCAAGAAATTATGTAAAAGTACATAAAATAAATGCTGCATCCCCCGGGGATAACTATTGTTTAGGAAAAATAATGGTAATGGCCAACTCTTCAACTGAAACCTACACCATGACACCCATGTCATGCAGCTATCTATTTTATTCAGAAGGGGGGCAGGGGAGTGCGTAAGAATAGAGAAGGTAAATAATGTAAGTATATGATTGCAAAAAAAAAAAAAAAAAAAACATTTGAAAATGATTAACAAGGTCAGATAAGTAGACATGGGAAGAAATCATAGAAATAACAACATCATGTACAACACGTGTCAAACTTCTCGTAGCTCGTCACATTCAGTAGTTTGGTTCAATAGTTTTTGGAACTATATGTAGAAAACTTTGAAGTACAATATAAGGTTCCACAACACGTCGTCTGTTCCATTGCAGCCATTACCCACTGTTTTGCCGCCCTATGTGCAGTGTGTTGCATCAAACAATAACCCACATGTCTGCGATCCTCGTGCATCCATTGAAACTCGCCGGGACATCTCAGGTTCCAACAGATCCGACCAACCCGGCAAACAGCCACCCGCCCATTTCGCCAAAGCCGCAGACGAAGGACGAACCGCAGAGGCCGGTGCCGACCGCACCACCCAAGGCCGCCCAGCCTTCGCCGCCAACGCTGGTGCCTGCCAAAGAACCAACAGTCGCCACAATACCCGGAAGTCAGGTTTGTGACAGTTCGGATAAGACTGAAATTGTCTCAAAGCTTGATTGTCGCCAAAGTCACCGACGGGACAAGAACGGCAGGGAGGTCTTCCAGTTGTCCTGCCTTCTATAATTTTTCACCGTTCCGTGGGCCTCGAGCTTGCACGCACTGCCAAAGCACAGCAAAAGGCAACGCACGCAAGCGAAAGGCAACGAGCTTGTGCGGGAGGCCAGGCATCTAAGAGAGATGCCCTGCCATTCTTATCTTGACAGCGACTATACGGTGTGCAAGTTCGTCTGCTCCTTGCACACCTCGTGCATTTGTTTACCGCCAAAATGCACCCACGAGCGCATTCTCTGTGTACTCTTTACGTTGCCCATTGATTGGCATGCCCTCTTTGGCGATCCAATGCACCAAGGACGCATTTTACAACGCTTGATTGTTGTATAAGCATATTTTGCGAGCTCGTCTTGCCCCAGATGCCAAGCAATTAGGAACTATGTTACAAAGAACTTATCTGTAACACATGTCGACAATATTAGGGGAATAATTAGAAAATAAATCTAAGCTATAACTCTTCCAGCAACACCTATGAGGAGTTGTCAAAGGGCAACTGCGAAAGAAATTTTAAAAAATCCACTACCTAGCCTTCAGTCCATGGTATAGTTTCTGACAAAAGTAGGATAGCACCTCCAGGATAAGTTGAAATGTCTACGAAAATGTTGTATACCAACGTATGTCGCCGATGTCATGCTGCAGCGCTGGTGCTGTTGACAGCGAGGTGCGCACACATACACACCTCATTACCCGCAAATATAGCTCCTATGCATGTGCAGCGTCCACTTGTTTATAAACAGTGTAGAACTGATTTTGGATGCTCCTGGAATTCACTTAGTGTAGGATATAAACATTTATAACCGCCTTTGCTCAAATTCAATGCAACTGTATCATTTAGAAGTTTAGAACTGTATCACACTGAATGCCTTATATTAATCTTAAGTATTAAGAAACAATGTTTGGTATTGGGTAATATTTAGGGTACATAATACCAGCCTCATATTTACCTTGGCACCAATTGCGCTTTGGTACCGAAGCTATGTCCTTGGTATATGTTTACTGGTATTTCACATTGTTATACCTTGGAGCTTGGAGCACATGTTAGAACGCGTAAATGGTTGTGTCTGTCCTTAAGGAGCTTTAACAGACATCAAAATCATATCGCTTCCAGCTTCAGCAGTTTTCATTTTCAGTTACACTGAACTCCCAAAAACGTTTTGTTTGTTATGTGCTTAAATAGGACGCATATGCCATAAAATAAACTCTTCTCAAAGAAAACTAATTTTAGTGCGATACTTACAGCGCGAAACATATTTCGACTCGGACATCCTTCCAATATTTTGACGCATCTACCCAAAGTAGAAGCCTCTTTCGGAATCGCTCCTAAAGACACATATAACTTCCCCAAAATTTTTTTAAAGTGCTTGGATTGCAGCCGCATGTCACTAAACAAACATATTTTTGTGCAAGGTTTATGTTGTGAAACTAATTTTCAGTAAGCAGCGATTCTAAAAGTTGCTTCAATTTCGGCACATCCCAAAATATTAGCACATCGCAATGCTGAAAACGGGTCTCGCGTCCTAAATATTGTGCTAAAAACTTGTTTGTTTGTTTGCTTGGTTTTTCGGAAAAAAGTTTATTTTGCGACATGTACTATTTAGACACATGCAAATTTGTTTTCTTTTTAGTTCAGTGTCTTCTTAATTAATGTTTTTAGCTTTATTGCTTAAAATATGAAAGACCCAATGCCAAACAGCAGTTGGAAAGGTTTAGAACTTTGGGAGAGATTTTTTTCACAGAAGTCAAGGACAAGCACCTTTCTCGGGCCTCCGACCGATTGAATCAATCGAAAACACGTTTCTAATTCCGAGTATTATACGATTGTTACCGGCTCCTGAGCTAGTAAAGAAAAGAGAATGTCGGATACCTAATTTCCTCACGCTCGCCTGGTTTCTCCAAGCAAGAATTCAATTTCCTTTCCTTCTCAGGAGAGTCCTGAAGCTCCCCTCGAACACGAGGTGGGACCGGCGCCCGAGGGCCCGGTTCTGATGACGGCCACGGTACAAGAGTGTCCAGGGCAGCTGGACACCGTGGCAATCATGCCCACCGAGCAAGTGGTTACTGCCTTTGCCAGGGCAGTCACTCTCACCGAAGACGATGTCCGTGAGTTGTCTTTAGGAGGCTCCAAATACTTTACTGTAGGAAAGAAGGGTGGGAAGGTCCTCGAGTTGTTGTGCCTCCAGCACGAGCGTACTACCTTTAATAACGCTTCAGCATCTCGCGAGAGCGTGTGCCCGCAGCCAAAGCACGCTGGTGGGTGACAAGCGCGTACTGGACGCTAGGCATTCAAATGATATGCTATGCTGTTCTCACTCTGTCAGTGACAACAGGGAGACAACAGTCTTTCTATTGTCCCCATTTGTCCCTATTTTAGTACAATAGGGAGAACACATTTCACTCCGCTCGTCTGCATTAGACAGTGCGCCCATAGTGCCAAATCCCCCCCCTAGCAGCGTAACTGCCTCACCTCCGACAAATCCATGCGCGTCGTGCCGTCCCATCATGGTACGTACATGTGCGTGCTTTAGAAAGAGAAAGTTACTGCCGGTGCGCTGAGATGCCAGGTCTGCCATCGAGATGGCTCAATGGCACTCGGGTAGCCCATGACGATAGATGGCGCCAGTTACCCATTCCAATTGGAAGCAGAATACTTCGAGGCTACGGTGCATCCAGTCGTTTGAACTATGCCAAACCCGTTCATGCCGAGGCTTTTGTTATTTTTGCAGGGTGAGTTGCACTCCACTAGTAAAGCAATTTGGACATCTGCACACAGTCTCCTGAAAAGCGCTTTCTTTGGACATAAGATGGGCTGAAATATGGTGTGAATTCATTTGCACAGCTGCTATCTTAAGTTATGCATTGCTACTAGAAAACCGATTACTATGCACTTTATATTTCAGTGCCATCTTCTTCTGGGAGATGGCACATAGTAGCACGGGGCTCACACGGTCACACCGAGTTCACATGTTCGACTCCTCTTGCACCGTAGATCTTTATTCACGAGAAACCACAGCTCTCCTTTTTTCTTTTCCTAAAGTGTTTATCAGCATGCAGAATGACTCCACGGCAAAACTTGTTCCATAGAATTTAGCATAGACAGGTACCGGGCACTCATATAAAGTTTTATTATGCCCCCTTTTATGCTTGGTTGCGGATACAAAGTTGGCATATTCTTTGGCAAGAAACATGCCGCATTCATTGCTTCCAATACTGGCAGCATTTTTATTAATATCACTGTTCTCTTACGCTCATACTTAAACATTTCTGGTCCTTTGAAGTTTACCCGAGTTGAAGGGACATGACCCTGTTAGTCCAAACATATGATTGCCGTTGTTTTTTTTCTCTGTTAGAATCAAAAGTCTGTCATCAAAACTACTAGTGTGACAAGATATACTCATTTGGATTACTAACCTAAGCAGATGGTAGAAACAGCAAACAAGGGCACCCAATACGCTTGCAGCCGAAGCCAAGTGCACCGTGGCCTCGGCGACGCTGGTGGATGAAAACGACAGGGCCGTGGTGGCCCCAGAACCCGTGGACGACGCTTCCTTCTGGCAAACGAGTCAGGGGAAGTTCCGCTTCACCATCGACGAGCTCCCGCCACAACTTCGCCTTGTCTATGTACTACTGAGGGTGCGTAAACGAGACATTCGTGACATATGATAGAACCCCTTTATAGTAAAGTTAATGCTTCCAGGAAAGATTTACAACATCAGACCTCAACACCAATTCAGTTTCCCCGCTAAATTTAGCGGGGAAACTTGTGACGTTCCATAATGCAACGCGCGCAGTTATGCTGACCGCCGACACCGCTCAAAGCAGAAACGGGCATCTAAGAGTTATACCAGTCTTATAAGTACCTATGCTAGAGAACTTAAAAAATTAAAGACGTTTACAAAGCTCTGCAATGCGAAATTAGTGCGCAGCTCTTGAGGTATTTTGATTTTGCGATATACCATGCTAAACAATTTGAGAAAGAAATATGTATATATATGTACAAATTTAGATCATTCTCGTCACATACTGGTTCTGCACCCTCCTCCTCTTCTGTGTCCTCTTCCTCCTTCCTATGCTCCTCCTCCTCCCTCCCCTCCTCCTCTTCCATACCCTTACCTCCCACACCTCCGTACCCTCATCTCCATCCTCTTTCGTACCCTCTCCTCCACCTCTGTACTCTCCCCTACTCCTCCTCCCACAGCTACCCCGCTAAATTTAGCTGGAAAAATGACGCCACGTGACCTCAACACCAGTTCAATTTCCCCGCTACATATAGCGGGCCAAATGACAACACATGAATTCGTTACATGTCACCTATGAACAAATTCAGTTTCTCTGCTAGATTTAGCGAGAAAATTGACATCACGTGACCTCAGCACCAATTCATTTCCTTGCTAAATTAAGCAAGGAAACTGAATTGGTGTGTAGGTCTGCGACATCCCATAATGCAACACTGCACCTTCAGTTTCCGCAGCAGTTAAACTGTTGTCACATGACCTCAACACTAATTCAGTTTTCCCGCTAAATTTAGTGGGGAAACTGTGACGTCCCATAATACAACGCGCGCAATTATGCTGACCGCCGACGCCGCCCAAAGCAGAAATGGGCGTCTAAGAGTTACGCTCTAAAAAAGGGAACTGTTGTGCTAATTTAATAATTTGCAGTAAGAGTAAGAATACAGATGAACCCAGTTCTTCGATATGTCATCACTCGCATGGAACTCTTACAATAAAACGGTCGGCAGCATTGTCACCCATGGGGATTGCAAAAAAGCTTTAACTAGTAAACCAAGGATTCTCGAACTTTTCAACCTCGAGGAATACCTATCTCTTCTCATGGATGGCCGAGGAGTCCTTCCAGTCTCGGCATCAATGCAAGAAGACAATAGAGAACAGGCACGCAGCCAGGGGCAGGAAGCCCATGGGGCCCAGGCCCCCCCCCCCCCCCCCCCGCCCCGAAATCTTCCATTTTGCTGGGACCTCCTCTACCCCCTTCCCCCGAAACAAAATCCTGGCTACGTGCCTGATAGATAGAGAAGCTTACAGATCTCGTAGCCATAATGCATATACAGTGAAACACCACTTGAACAGACTCCAGCTGAACAAACTATTCAGATGAACAAATTGTTGCAAAAATCTCCAGCAAAATTGCGTCGTATCCACTGCGATAAGTTGAGTGAACCTTCACTTAAAGCCCGACGTGCGAAAATAAGTTATTCCTTAAGAAGATTTTTTTTTTTTTTTTTCCCTTCTATTCCCCCTTGAATTTTCTTCTCCTTTACGTCCTTCTTGCATGCTAAGCATCTAAGCGGCTCAGAACCCCGAAACCCGAACAGCAGGGATTATTGACACAGGCAGGAAATAAGCACCGAGAGGACCTTGCTATCGTTTGACTCGGATTCGTGGATCGCTCTATGGGCTATTCCGACGTCACCAGCTTTGAAGCTGCACCAAACGGCACCTAAACTCCTTTCTCCATGTGAAGCCGAGCTCCCAGCTTTGAAGTCACGCGAAAAGCCTAGCCAAACAGCGCCTAGTTTCCCCGCTGCCAAAGGAGCGGAGCGTAGCCAAAATCTGATGGATTTCGGCTTTAATCTTATTGGCTGGTGCGCGTCATAGTTTCAAGGAACGAGGCTCCCATTGGTTGCTACATGTCAGTTTCAACAACCGCCACCCCATGGCGCTGCGTGTCCGCGCCACCAGCGCGCCGGTAACACGAAGCATCTAAGGTCAGAGTGGTGAGGAGAGATAGACTTATGTATTTGCATGATCAATTTTTGTCAATTATTTGACACTGAAACTTATAAAAAAATTAGTTATTTGCAAAAATTAGTCTATGTTAGTATTTGACGCTGTTGCTGAAACAGCAAAGATCCATATTTTGTTCTCTAATTAAAAAGAAGGTAAAAAAAAATATATATTTATAATAGAAAACCTACAACCAAAAAGAAAAAAAGATATTGTTAAAAAAAAAAAAGAAAAGAAAGCTGTCAATGTTTTTTTCTTGGTAAAATGCTTTGTAGACAGTTGTTGAAATGAATGAACCGCAAGAGGTGCCCGATGGGGCAAGCAGATGCCAGCATGCAAGAAGAATAGCAGCTTGGCTGTCTTCAGTTTTAGTTTATGCATCATTCCAATATTTACGAGTCCTTGGCCCAGCACGCGCATTTTTGTTGCTTTGGAAAGTGAGCAAACCATGTGCCATACACACAAACACTGAAAATGGAACCGGCCAGAAGCCCTTTTGTGGAGAGGCCTATACTCTGTTTGACCCAAAGCTGACGGTGCAGTGAGAGCCACATGCTGGCTAGGCTATTCGACCGCTTCCTTTCGTCGCCCGAACTCGCTCTCTGCGCGTAGGTATGGGCGGGGGGGCATAAATCATGTGGGGAAGGATAGGCGTACGACCAGTCCGACAAGCACGTAGCGTCCGCGGCACTGTCGGTATTTCAAGCCCGAGGGTCCAAGCGAAGGAGAGCATTACATCAATGGATGGCTCAGATCTTCCAAAATAGAGCTTGAACTGAAAAAACTTGAGGGTGGGGACGGATGTAGAAACCTCGAAGCTCGGGGAACCTCCAAGGGTATCGTGGAGGGATGCCTGGGTCGAACGCTGTCCGAGTACCCACGGACTAGACCATTAATAGCAATGCATTCTGTTTCCATGATCCAAAGGAAATGGCGGTGCACGAGGATGCAGACGTGCTGTACCACCTTCTCACCTGCCTCAAGCTGCTCAGCCTTCATGCCGAAGTGCTGAACAAGGCCGCTCACGATCACCGAGGCTTTCTCATCTGGTGCCAGGAAAATCTTTTAGTGACAAAGTGAGTGGTGTCCATTGCATTCTAATCCCAATCTTTTGAAGTCGGAGCTCGCTATCTTATGGTCGTCACGGGTACACCTATATCCCATCTGTAGTATCATTCATGGGGCCATTTGTTTATATTCTCATGGATGCTTTATGCAGGGAAGTATTATTCTATTGCATACTGCTAATCTTTAAAGCATTCACTTGCAAAATTAGTGTTTTGTTCTCTCGAACCCTATCGCAGTCTTTTTATCGTGAAATATCACTCTGAAAATTCATGTATGGCACAATTCACATGCTATTTACGTAGTGGACACTGCCAGTTACGTAGGCAATTGCCAATGCAATGTTTCGTGCTATGAAGTTTCACCTTCAGTTGCAATAGGTTTGTTTAATTTGCCCGAACTGGTGGAACTCGTTCGGGCAGTCTTGAAGCTGGCGCACTTGATTCAACGAAAAATTGCAGCTACTGGCTGTGCTTCCTTGCTGCACATCTTTAGCACTTCTCTAAACTCGGTCTGAACTGGGTAGTTCAGAACTTGTTTTGCCAAATCAAGCAACCCTAACGAATGCATGTTGCTTGCGTGTGACGGTCTGCAACCAACGACAGTGACCGCACACTGTCCTGCACGCCAGGCACTCATGTAACTTGAGCACGGCCGTTGTTGCTCTGCCGCACACGTGCGCACCGCAATATCAGCTGCACCCCGTGCTTTTGACATGCTTCTGTAACGCGAGTTGTTGACATTCTGCCAATCTAATATACATACCGTAACACCCCGAGATATGCCCCACCCCCAAAATATAGCCCACCTCCATTTTTGGCACGATTCTCTTTTTTTTTTTTTTTTTCAGAAACACCGAAAGATAGCTTACTTACAGTAATTGCAACACCCTGGCCAATGGTGACCTTGACAAAAACAATGTTACTTAACCACGGCGGGAAATAAGCGAACACTGCTGACTGGGGAGGACAGTCATCTTTGGTTCATCGCCCTTTCCTGCTATCACGGGTTTCGAGGGTCACAAAACCTTAAACTAGCAATCTTTCAATTCTTTTTTTTTTTTTTTATGGCACACCAAAAGTTATTTAGCCCTCTTTTTTTTATCCGATTTGCTATTGATTCTAGGTGGGCTATTTCTCGGAACATTGTGGTAGTTTGCAGTTCTAAAGCGACGTTACTACAAGACACTACATAATTTGCAGTGCTGGGTACACTAGTAATGGGTGTTTTTATTTTGTTTTGTCTTTTCAGCCTGTGGAAGTTATTGCAGGCAGAGTTTTCGCAGATAGCACGTCTGTGTGTGCCCCTGCTTCTGCACTGTGTCACGCTGCCCAGTGGCATGGACATGTTCTGGAAGGTGGTCGAAGCCGACTTCCACAGCGAGAACTGGAGGGACAGATTCGCCGCAGGTCTGGTGTCTCCTTTCATTGGGACACGGGGCGCTCACATTGAAGGCAGCATGCTCAATACGACGTCTCATTAGCTCATGCATGATCTTACAGAAAATATGTGGGATCCTAGCCTATAATACTAGTAGCAAAGCTGCCAGTTTATGTACACTAACTTTCTTAACTTACCATAAACACAATGTTGGTGCTTTATCGCATTTTGCTTCGAAAGGGTGTTGGTGGGCACCAAATTTTACCACTTAGACTAGTACTTCAAATGAGCACTTCCCACCATTCTATTAGTTTTAAATGCAGCTTTTCGGTTGTAAGCAAGAAAGAAAAAAAAAAGAATGCAACAACTTTTTCGCACTAACAGCGTCAAGCTTTTGGAGTAATTACAGTAAACTACCAAGCATGCGCTCATGCCACAATAGGCACCCATGCGCTATTTATGAAACCTAAGAAAAATAAGCGAAGGACGTATGTACCAAGTGCTCACCCCCGACATCTGAACCTGCCTAGTATTAAATTGAGATGCTCCTTCATGTCAGCTGCTTCTCTGGGTATGGTGATGCAAAGAGGTGAAGCGCACCCTATCAAGTGCCACATCTGCATTTTTGCACTTGAATCTAACAAGTGCCCATCCTCCAGCATTTCATCATTAGTATCTCTACATATTCAGTGGGCGTTTCCTCACTTTTACTGCGTATAATTTCCTTCTCTGCAGCCTTCATTTGTTAGGGAATAACTGATGCCTCAAAGGCTGCCTTATTTTCCAAGCTGCCTGTAATTGGCGCTACAAGGAAAGATACTGAACCATGACGTGCTCCAGTGTATAATTTGAGCCCCACGAAAAAAAAATAATTTTTTTTTGTGAATTCTGTGAAGCACGTGAAGCACAGAAAAACGAAACTTGGCTTCACTGGGTCTCGGGCTTTGACCAACGTCTGTATGTATTGTTTAATGCTAGTTCATTATCTGGAAAAAATAATGTACATAATGCACATTCTCACAAATTTCGGTGTAGTACAACGTCATTCACATCATTCACTGGACAGTAGGCTTGTTCATTTTACCCACACCTCCCGCACTAGCTACCCTCAGTGCACGCCACCATATTTCGTTTACAAGGGAAAACTATCTTGAAACACATACTAGTGCACTGCCTTACACTTTTCAGCACTGCACTACACTTTCGTGTGCCGGTGTAGGCTGGTGCGGGTAAATCGAACAGGCCCAATGTTCCTGGTATTGGCTGCTCACGCTGCTACACCATTTTTCTGGTCCAGTGGAGAAAGTGACAATGATTGGGCACTTCCTGGAGCCCAACACAGTAAAGAACAGCCCCCTGCTGCAGTCGTCCCTGGCCAATGCTTTCTCCTACCTCATTCACTGCCTCGACGACATCCAGACCGCTGTGGCCGAGAGGGCACTCCTCTCCCTCGAGAGCATCCGCACCGCATCACTCAAGGTCCGCTTTCCTACCCTGTTCCAATGAAGACACAACATGACCAATGTAAACACAATGTAAACATCTGTAAACACATCTAAACACGTTGTAAGGAAGGAATGTAAACATAACGTAAACACCTTTAAACACTATGAAGTCAACGAAAATTAACCCTGGAGAAGGAATCATGTTCTTGTTCCCCTTCTCCAGGGATCACTTCTGCATTCTTGTCTAGCTCGTGCGCACCTTTGCATTTAATTGCATTATAATCGTAACAGCAAAGTCAATGTAAATACCTTAGGCCAATGCGCTGTTTACAAACCTCCCCCTCCCCCCACACTGCGTGTGCAGAAACTAGATTTGCGTAGGGTGAAACGCCTGCATATGCACGGTGCCAACATGTGCGCCGCCACAGCGACGTGACCTTCATAGCCGTGTGTTGGTGTATAAGCACATGTCAACATCTGTAAACACATTTTAAGCAATGTAAACATTGTGTAAACGCACAAAAACACACTGGAAACAATATCAATACAATGAAAACATTATTGTAAATAACATGGCGGACCAATAGAAATAAGGCGTGCAGATCGAAGTACAGCAAGTTCGTTGACGATGTTGCAAGAAGTTTGCATTTTTGAGAGCTAATACCCTGCAGTGGCTTTTCTGTTATTGGAGTAGTACGCCGAGTGCAGCTGATGATTTCAACTCTGTCAGCTCGTTTTCCTGTCATCATTCTGTCAATTAATCATTTTTTGTCAGAATATGCGGAGAGACTTCCTGGAGCTCCGACCCCGATGGTTGATGATCTAAGGCAGAGAGCAATATATGCATTGCAGTGAAGGTGTCTAGCCTGGATGATTCCATAAGAAGGATAGAGAATGTAGATACATATGGAGCAGAAATTTTGTTCTTATTCCCGCAACATACTCCCGATAACCAGAGCAGAAAGGACTGTTTGTGGAGTACCAAAACAGACGGCCTTTCCCTCCTTCGCAGCTGCTGGTGTGGTGCCTTGAGGCACAGTTCGACACGGTCATCCTAGATCGGCCAATGATCCTGCAGACCGTGTACCAACTGTACAGCCACCTAAGCGAGCGCCGTTTCCTCACCTGGGACTTCTTTCTCAACCGGTTTGACGCCCTTTTCATGGAGGCCCAGATCAGCCTGGAGAGGAGCGGAGAGATCACATACACCCGCGGTGCGTACAGATACTATTCGTTCAGTGCAATGATGTTGTAATAGCGTCTACTATGTCTCACCTTAAAATGGACTGCAGGTGACGCTATGCACCATTAGAACCACTATGATGTCAAGCGAGTATCAAAAAACCTTCACGAGGTGGGCAGCGATGCGCGGGGTGTTTAGTCGCATGATAATTTCACAGCACTGAATTGGCTGGGATGGCTCGTATTATCCGTTGTAGTCTATACAAAGTATACCATACTACCCCGAGTCATCGCCCACCCCACTTTTTGGGCGAATACCGATTTCCCAAAAAACACAGAGTGAATGCCCACCCCTACAAATAAAAATGGGGGATGGGCACTTGTCCGATCATCAATTTTCAAGGAACGCGGACTCCGCGATCCTTGAAAATTCGTCCTACCCGAATGACGCAGCTGCAGACCTTACAGTTGGAGGACGTCTGTGACAATGTAAAACAAGGAAGGGAAGGACACTTTACTTTGTTTACAGATTTCCTCCCCATTTCCGTAACCCCGAACCCGGGGTACATTTGTGCTAAAGGAAAACGATTAAGATAACAAAATGAACCTTTGTTATACTTAATAAAAGTTTTGTGAGACAAAAGAAGATGGAAAGTTAACAGAAGCGGTAACCTATCCAGGGATCGCGAGGTAAGCGAACACCCCATATCCTAGAATGTAACCGCAAAGTGTAAGGTTAAAGATGTAAGGCCAAAATCTACCTCCACCGAAATAAGGTCACCGCCCACCCGCTTCTTCACCTGCAACGCCGCGACCGCGGTTCGTAAGGTTGTGCGATGTTTATGACAAAGCCAACGGGTGAATAAAGATTCGCTAAAACACTGCACACAGACATTTGTAAAGCGGCCCATTTCCAGCTCTGTGTTCGTGGTGCCGTCCACGCCACGCAGCGATGCCGCCTTAGCCCCGCGTTGATAGCACACCGCGCACAAGAAGCCTCCGCCCGCGTTGAGAGCACACTGCGCACGGACGCACACATGTATGCACCAAAAAAGAAAGTTGCACAAGAGCCTGATCCTTGTGATTCACAAGGCACCCAGCTTGGCCCAACTCCAAAGTTTTCCAACGCAATTGCCGGCTTTCCCACTTTTCCAGCATTGCTCTTTGTCACTTCTTTCGCCCGCGCGCTCGCCCGTTGCACCTTATTGGTATTTCTATTTTCTTGCCGACTTATTTCTCTTACTTTATTTATTTTTTTAATATGCAAATCAGCAAAGGTTAGGGAGCCTAATGAACGGAACATTGCGGTTTTAGAAACATGCTTTCACGGAACAAGAATTCGGGCTGTATGACGATCGGCGGTGTTCATCGCGCAAATGCAAACATCGGACTTCACAATAGTAAAACATTCTTTTATGAGCATTTCTTGCATAAAACAATGAAACTAATTCGAGTTTTTAGCTTATTGTGTCTCCTGTGCAGCAACGCTAGATACGAACAATGGGTGTTTTTTAAGCTTTTACTAAATATTTCGTGCTTACTCACCGAGACATGGCCCACACAACTTTTTTTTTTTTTTAAATTTCAGGCAGCAGTGGGGTGGGCGATGATTTAGGATGTTACGGTAGTCAATTGTGGTTCAGTAGTGCATCGAGGAGTGCAACCTGAAATTGCCCAATAGAGCAAGACGTCATCACGAATGTCTAGTTGGAACCAGTGAATAAGTCTTTGGTAAATGAGTACTCTAACTTGTAGGTTCTCAAACTTCGTGACTTCGAGAAACCCCTTGTTGGTGGTTGAGGAACATTCTCGGTCTCGGCATTGATACAGGTAAAGCGGCGCAGAAGCCTACAGGCCCTCTGAACAAGAATTTACGTACCAGACAGTGGTTGGATCATGGTTATGCATCAGTGGGTTGCTCAGATCTTCTAAAATACAGCTCAAATAGGACGAGCACTTTTCATAAGGACGGACACAAGTGAGGAAATTTGGGAGCTCACGGAAACCTTGAGGGTACTCTGGGAAACACAGCTAGGGAACCCATACTCTAACCGATGATTAAATGCATGGTTTTTAAAACTAGACAAACAAACTTAAACTCTCTCGCCTCCCCGAAAACGTGATGTGCATGCAATTGGAAATATATATGCTGCTTCCTGAAAGCTGTGTGCCCTATGTCAAGACATACAGAATCTGACATATTAGAAAATTACATGAATATAAGTTAACCTTAGAAATTTATCGAGTATCCATATGACAAATGGCTATTCAATGATAATTACCACGAAAACCCAAGCCCATCTGAATTAAGATGCCCTACATGGTTCTACTTCGAAGCTACAATTTAATGTTTGCCAGTTCAATTGCATTACTTTAACTTAACCTTGTTGATGACTTCCGTCGTCTCTTTATTTTTGTTCTGCAACCTAAGATTTTCTTTCAGCTTATGTAATTCTGTATTTTTAGTTTTAATCAAGTTGCTTAGTTTTTTGCGAGTGATCTCCTCTGTATTTTCTCACCTCTGTTAATAGCATGTAGGTGTGTTATGTACCATCGCTGTGGCTGAAAGGGTGGCAAGGCCACATCGGGCTCTAACTCTGCCTTTAGCCATGTCACCGAAGACAATGCTGTAAACAGAATTGTCTCGAATAAACGCAAACTAACAAACAAAAAGTGCCATTTGTGGGCAGAGGTAAAACTTCCATTCTAGTGGGACGGTTTTTGTTGATATTATGCTGTCAACCTATAAGATGAAGCCACGTTAGCAGTCATACTGCTTTGGTTAAAGTAGTACTCCACAGTGGAAACGTCCGATGCCATTTTAAGGCAGACTAAATTTCCACCGTTTGCACCTTCATACTGCAAATCTGACTTTTGTCTGCATTATGTTCTCATGGGCTTCCAAATTGTTTGGTAGAGAAGAACCGTATTATGGCTTCCAGCAGAGTGATGGTTTCAGTTCTGGGCAGACGGTTTTGAAAATGGACTACTAATTAATTTATTTCTTGATTATGTAACTTCTAATTAGTGACTGTCATACTGTTGATGGTCAGCAATTACCTAAAAAATAATTATATTTTATAAATAACTAGTTCATTCTGCAACCACTTCAGGTAGTGGAACATTTAGGTGCCTGACTTGGCACCAACTCCTAAAAAGTTAAATTTAACAGATTGTGTTTTTTGGTGCAGAATCAAAATTAGACTAGTGATTAACATCTTGCACTTCGAAATTCACCGACAAAGTGGTGGAGTTCTCAAGGCTCAGCAAGTGTCCTCACACATTAGCAACCACCATCAACAAGACATTGATGCTCCTTCTCTTTTGTCTCATTTGGTTCTCTCCTCCCCTTAGACCTGAAGAACAGCAACAAGAACAGCGAGGTGTACCAGCGCAAGCTGAACCGTGCCCACGAGGCGCTGTCACTCACCCGAGCAGGACGCACCCTCACGGCGAGTCTCGGCACCAAGTGGCCCTACAAGAGGGCCATGTCCGCCCCCGGCGGCATGATCTCCAGACAGGACAAGATGCGTACGTCCGCTGTCTTTCCATCTCTTAGATAAATGGAGGCGAGTGGCTATACCCTTTATAATGGGCAATACCTTGCACCACCTATCTAGAAACTTTCCTACTTTAGAATAATTAAAGATTAGTTAAAAATTAAAAAGCATACTTTAGTATAATTGAAGATTAGTTAAAAAATTAAAAAGCATGTGGTATGCGGAGTGCAAGTTCGTCTGCTTCTTTCACGGGAGTTGTGATGATGTCAGAATGCCAAGCTCTTATTAGGTGATTGAACAAAATAGTGGGTAGACCTCAAGGCATCTAGAATTGTGGTGTACCCACATCCTTCCAATCAAAGCCAATTGAAACTCTGCATCGTTTTGACGTAACTGCAACCTCCGCGCAAGAAGCAAATGGCTTTCTCTCCGCATAGGATGGACAACTGGACAGTTATGCCGGTCTTGTCCTGGTTGGCTGGTCAAAACTTGGAAATCGTAAAAATATTAAAAATTCATCTTGGTGTAATGTCTTTCTAGACAGCAGAGTTCTCTGGGCCAGAACCTGATTTCTGTCTGCGAATTTTGGGCTTTGAAAAGCCCAAAGAAGTCGAAGTGGAGCCAACCTTGATCTCCTCTTGTCAGAGCTAGTCTGGTTATCTCGGCCCTAATTTGCTCGGAAACAAGTGTCAAAGTTGGGCTTCACTGCCAGTAGTTTGGCTCTCATATGGTATCTTTGAGCCTAAATCGCGAAACAAGTGCCGGAGTTGGGCTTCACTTCTGGTTTTTCGGTTTTCATGTGGCAACTTTTGGCCAAAATTTGGCCTAAAAAAAGTGGCATCTTTTGTTCCAGTCTGGCACTTTGGCAATAATGTGGCAAACCAGAGAAAAGCCATAGAAACACCAAAGAAAAGCTCTAGCACTAGCTAATGACTTGGAGCAAAATCGTATTAGGCCCAAGTTTGGCCCCTAGGATTGCCAAGCTTGAGCCAAGTTAGGTATTTCTCATGGCATGCTCCTGGGTTAAAGCCTAAAGACCTTAAAATTTGATGGCTACCTTAAATAGCCAACAAAATTTTCATGTCAAGAAATACCAAACTTTTTTTTTTTATTTTTCTGTCATGAAGCTTGAGTTTTTCAGAGTACAGACACCATACTGTCTGCTGGGGAAGAGGGCGAGCTCATTCATTGGTTGCCCGCCACCATACTGATGCCAACTGGCTTTATCAGTACTAATGATGAAGCAAAGTTAAAGTATGCTCGTAGCACTGGTAAAGGCATTTGATTTCCTGATACCATGAATACACTGAAATAGCAAATATGCTTCCTGAAATAAAACGCTGGGTCTACTGCAGAGAAGATGTACTGTAGTTTTAGCTTCCTCAAATATGCCAAAGTGTGTGCTGTCTTCCACTAGGAAGACGTGGTTTTGCTTTGATGGCAGCCAGGAACTAGCATCATTAAATGGCAGTGAGCTGAAGATAGTGAGTTCCAGTACTCTGACTATCCAGTAACTCCATATATCAGTCCTACCAGGCTGTGCTTGGGCAAAGACTGCAGATCTGTCGGAACATTCTATATCTTTCTATGCTGCAGTTGTGGACAAGGAGAAGATCTACGGACGCCAGTCTTCAGCGCCGGTCCTCAAAAGGAAAAGCTCACGGATGAGCGCTACTGGGACGTTCAGTGGATACCCTTCGCTGCAGCATTTCCCAAACAGTTTCTTTCCAGGTAATGTTCTGGGAAAGTTGCCTCGCTGCGAGCCCAACCTAGAGGAACAACACGGAGCCAGGGTTTCAAAACCAAGAAACTACATTCAATGTTAGATGGGTGGGACAGTTATTGAAGCACCGAAGCATTCGGTGCTTCATCAACAACTGGCGGGGGGGCGTCTGGGTCAAGGCTGCCTTGGCCAGCCTTGACCCAGACGCCCCCCCGCCACTTGTGCCGGTGGCCTTTTATCAACAGGGCAATGCCCCCTAGTTAGCCGCAGTTTGTGCACGTGCCACACGTGCCAGGATGCACCCTGGTCGTCACTGAGTGGTGGCGCCGGGCCACCCATAAACCATGATGGCATTAGTATAAATCTCCACTTTTCGAGATATGGAAGCTAGCTGTGACGAGGATAAAGAACCACTGTAGCCGACAAACTCGTAAAGGAAGCTCCTGGGAGGCTTAGCTTCTTGAGCCATTCTGAGGCTTCCAGGGTTACTTTTCAAGTTCTTCCTACGTACAAGCTTCTTTCATTGCATATATCCTAAAGTATGGAACAATAGTCTCCGACTGCTCAAGTAGGCGTGGTGAGTTGCATGCATCTTACCACTCTGCAGCCGATAAGAACATCGAAGAACACATCGTGAGGCAAGAAGCACATTGCATTTTTTAGGCTGTCAGTGACGGGCAGCGGAGAAAAGCTCGCCAGAGAAAAGCTCACAGCAAAATTGTTCGACACGGAAAAAATGCTCAGCGGCTTTTTGACGAATAGCGGGGGGGAAATATAACCAATGTAGAAAGCCAAGGAGTTCCTTTCTGAATTGTTTACATTAAATTACCTTCTATGTATCAGCGGATCCTACATTTCCAAAACTTCACATTTTGACATTTAAGAAGGCACGCTTTCAGTTCTAACCTCTTCTAATCAGAAAATAAAGAAAATTGATGTTTTCTCCATCCCGGCCACATCACAATTAAATATGGCAACAGTCATGCAAGAACGGTTGACATAAAAATGAAAGACAATTACAAATCTCTAACGTGAAATTACAGCGCAGCTCTTGAGGAGGAGAGGGTATGTCCCCCCTCCTCCTATGTACCCTCTCACCCTCTCCTGTTCCTCCTCTCCCCTCTTCACCCGTGTCCTCCCCTCCTCCTTTTGCATACCCTGCCCTCCTCCTCCTCCATACCCTACCCTCGTCCTCCTCCTCCATACCCTCCCCCTCCTCTCAGTTTCCCCGCTAAACTTAGCTGAAAAATTGACGCCAAGAGACCTCAGCACCAATTCTGTTGCCCCGTAAATTTAGCGGCGAAAATGACGTCACGTGACTTGGTGTCACATCACCTATGAACAAATTCAGTTTGCCCGATAGATTTAGCGGGGAAATTGATGTCACGTGAGTTCAACAGCAATTCAATTCTCGGCTAAATTTTGCGGGGAATTGAATTGCTGTTGAGGTCACGTGATGTCAATTTACCCGTTAAATTTAGCACGTTTATGCCAACGGCGGCACCACGAAATACGCAAATGGGCGTGCAAGAGCTGTGCTCTAAATGGGAAATGAGGTCTGCAGCAGAGCGCCTTGCTTTGAAATGTGTACCGCCTGCATGGGGACACGCCTGTAGATTTAGTTTCACTACTGCTCCTAAAATGTTCAACCTGATCCAAGAATACAGGAACAAATCGTTCACTTTACCAAATAAAAATTGAATTGATAAAGACTGCCTTGTATAAAAATTTCATTCTACGTGAGCTTTTCTCCGGGTCTGTCAAAAGACTGGTGAGCATTTCTCCAGACCTGCACAAATGTAGGTGGGCTTTTCCCCGGGATTCATCAGTGACTATAGATGGCACAGTGGGTTATTTGTTTCTGGTTTTAATATGTATCTGGCATGACTGCAGCCAGTTTCACTACTACTGCTAAATCAAGGGACTCTATTTGTAAGGTACCTGAAGAGTGGAAGTCACTGAGGAATTGACACTACCTACTTGCATTTTTCCCTTCCACAGATGGACATCTCAAGGACATGGCCCAGGAAGAAGGACATTTCCTCCATGTCCTCCATAGAGTGATGGATATGGAGGACCACGACAAGGACACACTGCATCTGCTCATCTTTTTACTTATGGAGGTTCGTGGATTCTGGCCAACAAAGGGCATTTATTACATTCGTATATACACCCGACAGTATAGAAGAACAAGCTTTCATACCGATCGAAAAACTGCAATATTTTGTGAAAAATGTGATTTTGGGTTTATCTTTGAATCTTCATATTTTATCTATAAAAATATTAAGGACTGATTATGATTATGAAATTAATCAAATCAGCATTTGAAGAACTCTAGGCAACCCAGAGCGGCATAAATTTGGGCCATTTTCGTTTGTGCAGTTGTTTAAAGTGTGACGTCGCCTGCGATCATATTTATGTTGAAAAGTAGGCCTAGCGATCTTCTCTCGATCACAGCAGTTTTATAACTTCAATTTCTTGCAGAAAATATCAACAAACACTTATTTTTCCCTCCACAAAATACTGTCGCTTCATATCTATGGTAATATTCTAACACATTTTTCTCTTTACGAAATTTTGGAGCATCTTCACAGTTATGCAAAATAACTTTTGCTCTTAATATTGTCCTACCACAACCAAATTTGGCATGCATATGCTTAGGATATGTAGAACGCAACTATGAAGGTTTGGATAGAATGTATATTTTCTATATTTATACAAAATTTTAGAAACTTTTGTTAGCTGTTCAAAAATGGTGTTTTTGTGATATTTATTATTTTGGAATAACATGGTCTCACACCCATTGTCTTTGTGGAGATAAATGGCACATACTTCATCAAAGGCTATGTATTTCTTAGCAGTTAATAAACATGCAGAGCATATAAGTTTTAGCTGAAAGTATAAATTAAGAATTAGGATAACTCTAGCTCTATTATCTTTGTGAAACTTTCATTTATTAAAGAAAGAAGAGCCAGCTTTATAGCACTACACTCACGAACTTAAGAGACAAACTTGAGTAACTATGCACCATGATTTTCCATCTGCCATGGCAACTGATTAAACCTGTTTCTTTTTGCTACCCTCCTCCGCATTTCCCATTTTCGTTCTGTTAATTTTTGTACATATTGCATCTTAATTTCTCCTTTATTCAATGCCTAATTTTATTTCTGGCTTGCACACACTTGTTACTATTTTGGTTGCATCTCTGTTCCTTTTCTCTCTCTCTTCCTCTCAATTTTTGGTTGGATGCTCTCTTTCCCCCTCTCCTGTTTTGCTGTTGCTTGTTTTTCTGTTACGAACCCCCAGTTTCTCTCCAGACCTGACCAGTCTCATCCAACAGAGGAAAAAGCAATGGCCAGAAACCAGGTATGAATGTCTTTCTTTTTTTTTTGTACTTTGCACGACACTGTTTGTACAAGCACGACTTTGATACTTTTTGACATTTTACTCCGAAAAATACTGGCAGGCATCAAAATTTACCACTTAAGTTAGTGGCCTAACTAAGCACTTTCCATCACTACAGTAGATTTACAGCGGGAACTGTTAGTGCTCCTTCCCGGCAAAATATGCTCATGTACGAATGCGAAACCCCACTCTAAAGCAGAGGCACTGCTCTCCCTCTCCCCATCGTTCATCACACACGTTCCTCACACACGTTCCTCACACTTCCCACAAGCTTAATGTCTTTCTCAAGATTACTGATTTAGTGGTTTTTGATGATGCTCAGCAAGTTTCTAATTGGAAATATATGTCTATTTCCACTAATTCATAAGTTAATTAACAGCTTTAATTAATTAGCCAAATTATTGTGGCAATTAGCCCCCTATATTATGTACCTCTGGCTGTATGTATAACCCATCTGCATAGGTCACATTGGTATAGTTTTCATGGCAAAAATAAAAAGAAAAAAAACACACCTTGTATACACGTTTGCAAGTCCGGTCTCAAAGCGCCGCCATCTTCCTCAGTGGTGTGCGCTCTTGGGCGCGGCCATAATCCGATTATGACGCCTTAGCAAGGCTTCGTAATCGGATTGTGACTCGTCCATGCGCACCCCAGCAAAGCAAGATGGCAGCGCCCTGAAGCCGGACTTGCAAACGTGTATATAAATAAATTTTGACTTAACAATATTCTCGATGTAACACACTTTTTGTTTTTCAGATTCTGGTCATACTTGCACTGAGGGCCATGCATCTTTTTACCTCCATTTACTGATGCTTCAGTCACAGTTTTGCTTTGAAGTTATTCGATCCTCAGATACCATGTATACGCATATCAATACCTTGCATGATAAAGAACAAAAAGGAAACCTTAGCTGAATAAACCCCAAGGCTTCATGGAATACAGCAGTACCTCAATAACCTAAAGTCAAACATCTTGTCATATTTCTTGTGTCACTGAATGATCAAGGCCAGGAATCAGAAACATATCTCATAAAGCTTAAAAAAAAAAAAAGAAGCTCTGCATCTTGAAGTATGATTTATAAACTAAAAGTAGAAAAGACCCAGAGATAGAAAAGTTTAGTAAAAACTGACAACATAAAAGCACAGTCATAAGCAAAATTGTAATGAGAGAAGATATGCAAACGAAAGTTGTGCAAGCACTCACTCAAACAACATACTCTATATTTATTTTTCTAAAATCTAACAGTTGCTTTGGCTATATTGGTGGTGGGCTACAAATATTTGTTTGGAATAAGCAAGCAGACAAATATGTATAAAAGTTAATTAGCAAATTTTAAGCAATTAGTTTGCTAGTTACTATGGCATACTCGTGCCTTGACATCCACCACGATGGTGAAGTTATATTTAAGTGCTGTTTTAAAAAAAAATAATTTCTCTCCAGAAGGACACTTTGTACAAACATAACAGATAGAAACTGCTAATGCCTCTGCAAATTACTGATGTCTGTTCTCTTTTCTTTTCTGCTATGGAACAGCTCATTGTTCTCAGACACATCAATGTCCTGCTGGGATACAGCCAGTCTGAAAAAGGATTCCTTGTTTCACCCGGCAAGCTGAGGTACTGGTCTAGCCTTTTGTCTGCACCGCAGATCAAAGTGCACTACAGAAAAATTGTTTATTTAAATACTTATTTCTGCAACACTGAACTAGAAAACTTGTTCTACAAGCAGGAATAGGTCAACCAATCCATTGTCATCCCTATGCAGTTTCTTCCCATTTAGTATTACTGCCAATGCCAAGGAGGCACTAGTTCAGAAGGCTACAGGCTTGGTTAGTAGTCAATAATGCATAGATCTTAGAGTGTTTGGTTCCGATATGCTAAAATAGCACTTAAACCAAGGACACTTTATTTTGGTATAAGGACAACTCAGAGAAATTGGGCACCCAAGGAATGACCAAGTGTCCTTGAGAAACCCATGGGTTCGCTCTCTGTTTAGAAATCTATTTAGGGAGCCCATGTAAATATATTTGAAATGTTCAGTTATGTAAAAATATAAAAGAAATCGGCTTTACCGTAGGGTAGGTGAAAATTGTCACATCTCACGGACGTCTCGTGACCACTCGACGCGGAAAACAAAGAAGGTGCCACAATATTGCACACCGCAAAAATAATGGTCACAGCAAACATGCCTTTTGGGTCACAGGTTTACGTAGATTGAAGATGTTAAGGCTTCAGGGTGACACTTTATTTTGCTTGCATGTTTCAGAATGTCCCCAGTGTTTAACGCCTTCTTGGTCTCAATGCCAAAGGTGAGTTGCCGCGTTTTGTCAAGTACAGAGTTTCTACTTCTAGTAATCCTGAAAGAGGCACAAACAATTTGTGCCTTTGCAGGAAATCATGCCTCAACTGGCATCTGAATACTCTTACTCTTGAACATCCGTAAAATTGAGGGTAGTTGCCAACAAGAATGAAGGCAATTTTGGGACAAGCATCAGCTCACTGCATGCATGCCTTCCCCAGAAACAATAAAAAAAAAAGGCAGAGCCAGATACAACTATGATGAGTATCGGCCCCCCTAAAAAAAGAAGGTGATACATAATAGTACCATAAAATACCAGGGGAGCACCCATCTATCATTCTCTGAAACCTAGGTTAATCTAGACATGGGCGCTTGTCCAGTCAAATCGGCTGCCTAACGTATAAGTTGCAGAATTCCCAAGTTTGGGAAATGTCAGTTGTGAGTGCTTGAAGGAAGTGGGCACTTCGGCGGTATTTTGCGGTATATTAGAAATATTGCTTTACTGGTCATATTCAAGTTGCGCCATTGGTAGTGATAATGACGGCAACGTTCCTTCACGGCTTTCCTCGTTATCACCGGAATAATTTCCAGCCGAGTGAGATTTGCAGTGATACGATCAGTCTTAGTCATTTTGGAACACCTTTTGGAGCAGCCAGGAGTCTCTTTTAGAGCAGCAAAAGTAACTTTTGAAGCGTAAGTTTACACTTCATTTTCATCCTTATCAATGCAAATACTATGCGCTAAGATTCATGTGTTGGCCTGTCCATCAAAGGACATTGTCTCCTTTGCCTTCCCACTTCTGTGCAACTTTTGTTAGCATCACTTGCATGGCAGTTTTGATTCCCTCGAACACAGAACTAGCTGTTGAGTGTAGAAATACAGGCACAACAATATGCTGAATGAAAGACAGTATGAACTGCTGTAAATAATTATTTTAGGTACGGAGCCAAAGGTAAACCAAATACTATCAACAATTTCAGTTTTGCAAACTCTGCGAATTGAAAAATATTGCAAAAAATAGATCCCATGAAAATATTGCCATACGGTAGTTATAATACATAGCGTACCACTCCAAATCACCGGATATTGTACCCGCAAAATATTCACAAAATTCACAATCTGCCATATTCGCGAAATATTGAGCCCGCAAAATAAAGTTGTTTACAGTGGTGAGCACCTAAATTGATGTTTATTGAAGTCCTAAAGGTTTTAATAAAACTGCAATTATTAATTCATATAAAAACAAATCTTTTATCATTTGATTATTAACACCAATGACAATTTAAATGTAGGACTTCATGAAACAAAACTTGGCATGTGAACAATAAACAAAGCTTTAGGAACAGTTCAATCGAACTCGTTAAGGCTATTCCCAAACTTCCATTCACCCCTCCAGCTAACTGACTGACTTCAATATGTGCCATTGCACAGATTAAACTTATGTAAAGTTTAACCAAACCGGAGTACTGACATAAAAAAATAAGCTGATAGAGAAGTCCATATAAACCTTCCCGCAATAAACAAGTACCCTTGCCTCAAAGTTGGACGAAGGACCATCAGAATATGACACTTTATCATATATACTATACTTGTTATCACCTCAAGAACCATAGTAAAAGGAGTATAGCCTCTCGCGGAGCATTACTAATTTCCCTCTTTTTACCGAGAATCGACATATATGTAGGTGCATTTTAGATTAAATATATGTTAGCCTATCAAGACATACACATTTCAAATGCCAAAAGCATCACTTCTGCCTCCGACAACCAAATGTTGTAAGAACTACTTTGTGCGGTGTATGAACATTGAGCAAGACTTCCTTTTTTTTTTTTTGAAGTGAAAACGGGTATAGCTGCATCTTTACTCTGAATTTTTTACGGCGAAGTACAGTTGTTACATCAGCACTTACCAAGTTCATCTTTTTTAGTACACCGGACGCTTGTGTGTGCAATGCCTTACTCTAGAGGAGTGCTTTCCCCTTAGCACGTGGCTGCACTCCGGCAAAGTCAGACACGAAAAATCGCGATGCCTACTCCGCGATTCTCGCTTCACTGCAGTGCTCGAGTGCATAATGAGAAGCACACTCAACGAAGCTATCTAACCCACCAGAACAGACCAAGTTCTGGAAATTTGGACGAGACTACCGTAACGATTAGGCCGTGTTGCAAGATAGTTTCAGTATTAAGTAAAATTACCTTTTAGCGCAATGTTGCCGCAGATTCATCACATCATAGCGAAATGTAGCAGGATGTAGCAGGCTAAGCACTTTAGTGCAGCTTAGTGCAAATGGTGCAGTAGTCACATTGCTGAAATTGTGTGGCTGCAATAGTTCCTCGCAATAATTGCGAACTGTACCTGGGTCGATGGAGGTTCTTGTTCTCAAGGAATCGCTCAATAATACTATTGCAGTAAAGCAGTTTTTGGAGGACAACAAACTTCACTAACAGCGGTACACACACACAAGGATCAGGGACGTAGACATTGGAATTAATCATGCGAGCTTTAACGACCCGTAGAATTCCCTCGGGGACGACGGGAGTGAATTTGGGCAGACGAGGAGCGCCCAAGGTTTTTCTGCCGAACTCCCAAATTCCTCTCAAAATTTCTTTAAAATAACTACCATCTTTTTTGACACGCAAGTCTCACTTTTTCCCCCATATTCCTGCTAATGCGTGTCATGTAACGGCGCAACTTATGTATATTTTTTTTTATAAAAGTATGAACCTTAAGTGAGCAAGACCTAAGCCGTATCAACATCTACGAGAAAGGCGTCTGAAAACAGTCCAAAGGTCCGCCGCTGCAGCGACTTTGCGCGCCAACTGTTGTGGCACTCCATAAACACGTGCAACTTGTATATGCCGACTTTTTCCAGAAAACGGCCGTTTGTGCGACTTGTACGACAGCGTGACTTGTAGACTAGATTGTCCTTCCCTCTGTCACGGCTCTTCCAAGTTTGCGGCTCGGCTTCATGTTGTCGTCAACGGCACGTCCATCCTTTGCCACGCAGGTGCTGGACTACAACTTCAGAATCGGCAGCGTGCTGCTGAGCACGTGCATGCCCGTGCTCATCTACTGCCCGTCGCCACAGCGCTACTCGCACGAGCACGCTTCGCCACGTTACTCCCTCTGGCTGCTTGATCCGCCAGCGCGCCACTCGTGGCTCATGGCTGTTCTAGTCATTCTTTACAAGGTGGGCGAGCACCGATTTTCCCAAAGACGTAGAACAGCTTGCATTCACATACATGCATTTGAGCGCTATTGACTCTGTTACGACGGTTTGTGACTGCCGCCAGTGAGAAGACACGCCGATACCATCTATCGAGTACTTCTGGAACACTTCCAATCTACGTTACTGTAATGTCCCGAGAGATAGCCCACCTAAGATCAAGAGCAAAGCGAGTAAAAATAAGGAGCGGGCTAGCTTTCAATGTACAATAAAAAAAATACAAAAGAAATGCTATCTTTGGATTGTGTTTTTCTACCAAACTTGTTATTGCGGCGAGAGATAACAAAACGAAGACGACCTTACTCCTCGGTCGGCAACGTTCGCTTGTATCCCGCCATAGCTAACCAGCCGCGTTTACGCCGAGGACATCGTCGATCCAAACACTATGGTTACTAGGGGTGGGCTATCTTTCGGTGTTAAAAAAAAAATAGAAAATCGAGACAAAAGTGGGGGTGGGTTATCTTTCGGGGGGTGGGGCATCTCTCGGGATATTACAGTATATTTTACGTGTCATTCTTTTGCAGTAGGCTTCAAACGATTCTATGTTATAAGCAACCATTTTTCATAGATGGTAAGTAGATTTGGTCTCACAAATACTGCAATACCTTCGGTCTAGTTATACGCAGATAGGAAGTGTTTCCAGGGCCTCATGACGGAGGGCACCATAATGCTAGTGTGTTCTCTTATCGTAGGCGGTCGTGTAAGGTTGCAACACGGTCGATTACGCTCAAACGCAAAAGCAATGAGCCTGCCTTTGGATAAATGTATTTCTACAAAAAGTTTACCATATTTAAAATTTTTACAGTTTTATCCAGAAACCCGGAATCCCACTTACTTGGCAGTGGTTAGCAAACAATAAATTAAATGATAGTAGCGCCTATCCAGTTATGGTCTGTCCCCAAAAATATGCTCCAAACAGGACCCCAGATATTGTGGTTCATCTTAGTTTGGCGCCCCTGACACACTGATTACGACCTTAAGAAACAAACTCTTTGAATTCATACTAGACAAGACTTTCTGGTTGCAGAGATTATGAAAAGCCACGAGAAAAACTGGAAGAAAGCACTTAATGTTAACGCGTTAAAAGAATCAAAGAGTGTGGATTAACATTCTTCCTGACAGCTGGAACGTTTCCACTGTGTTCAATGTACATGTACCGATTCCTTCCACTAAGTGTTTACTACCTTTATGTTAACGGAGATATTACTATCATGTATGCTATATCTAATACATTTTCCTGTAATGGACCATGGGCCAACAGTATCTCAAATGAATCAAATTCCCCTTCCATGTGCTGTCAGTTTGACTACGAAAGCCCGCCATTGTCGAGGCAAGTTCAGATGCTGGTGCGCATCATGCTGAACACTCTGGATGCCCAGAATCACCAGTGCAAGAGCATTCCAGAGCCCTTCCTGAGCCCTGTTCCCTCCCGCTCCCGGGGTGAGTGAAAGGAGCATTTGTTCTCGTTTGCGGAAGGTTATGGGCAAGACAGAGCGCTTAGATGGGAAAAAGAGTGCAAAGAAATACCTTCAGACGCCTTGTTAGAGTCTTTCTCAGCCATCGTTTTTGCCCACCCTCAAATTTCTGCTGCACTTTTCTGCACAGGTTATCCTAAGAAGCAGACATGACAAAGGTGTTCAGTGGACTGGTACAAGTCAGTGAAGGTGTCGACAGTTAGCATAGAAGTTTTCAGATATCCAGCATGCCTTGCCTTCATGCTACTTGCCAAGATACAATCTAATAGGCATGAATGGATTCGATTATAAAGAGTGATAAAGTTCAGCTAAATCAAATGATTGTGTCTAAGAGCAGAGGTGGGCAAGTCCCACAAATAATGATGCAGGAATCAACGACTGGTACCCACCACAAACTGCAACCATCATTTTATGAAAATGCAAACTCACATTATTAGAATCCTAAAGATCGGTCAGAGCCACATACATTAATATCCAGATCAGAGATGCTAATGCGCCAAAGCCTCCCCTGGTATAGATCTAATCAGACAGCATGACCTTGAGCCTTCTTATACTGACTAGTCGTGAAGACCTCACTGTCATTACCTTTTTTTTTCATATACTTTGCTTACCCTTTCAGATCTAAGCACTGCATCTGTTGACTTAGAAAACATCCAGGAACACGACGCTGGCGCCCCGCTTGACCTCACCCTTGGCGGAGACGAAATCCGATTTGCTTTTGGAACGGGCGTCGGATCGGACACAAAGGCTGCCTACCACAAGCCGCTGATAAGAGACATTCACGACCCAGAAATGACCCGCTCCGGCAAAGATTCGGCCGAATGGTCCCAATGGAAAGCTCTCAAGATAGCAGAGTTCAGCTGCTCCGGCGACGAAGACGATGCGGAGCCAGAGCTGGAAGCCATTCCGGAGAGCCCAAAGTCCGAGACATCGGACCTGGCAGAGTTTGGAGGGGAGCTCGAGGTCCTAGCTCCTTCTGTGCCAACCGCAGAGCTAGCAGAGCAAGCCAGGGTCCGTGTGGTCAAGGATGTGCTTCCAGGACAAGAAGCCATCACCGTCATGGACCCATCATGGCAGCTGGCGGAAGAACCGGTTCTTGTTGGAGCGGGAGATATTGACACGCAGATGGCATCACAGCTGTCTTCTTTCTTGTCCTCAACATCCGAAGTCCAGAAGCTGGAGGAAGGACTGCAACACATGGAGAAGTCCGCCATGGAGTCGATGGAGAAAAGCGAACTGGTCTCGCCAGAGGCTGTGAAGTCCGACACGGTTCGGTATGAGGTCGTGGAGGTACAGAGTCTAGTGGTAACAGATCCCAAAGGAAAGACCGCTGCTGACAGAAAAGACTCAGAGGCATCGCAGAGCCCTTCGGAATGGCAGAACTCTTCCAATGTCCTGACAGGTTCACCGAAACACTTGCCGGACCAAAAGTCTGCCGAGGACACAGAGTCTGGAAAGTGTGAGACGCCGCAGCGAAGACCCGAAGTCCGCCTCCCCGACGTGCATCCAAGCGACATTAGGGGCAAGGTTGCCGCTGTGAAGAAGGTGTTTGAAGCGAGAGCCACGTCGGACGCCGCAGCCGCGTTTGCTTCCTCCCGCAGGGACGCCATGTCTTTGGACATCAGACCGACCGCAGGACCAAGAGATCGCGCCCTCCCTGTCTCCAAGTCCACCACCGATCTAGACGACGGCGATGACCGCGTAGCTCCTCTGAGTCCAAGCAAGTCACCCAAGCCCCGCATCCACCGCATGGGCGCCGTGGACCTCGGCTCGCTGAGGGTCAAGCCTGCCCCGCTTGTGGAGACGGCTGCGGTGGAGCAGAGAGCACTCCAAGCGAGCCCAAAGGAGAAAAGCCCCAAGAAGGCAACCAGGGACCCTACGACACTGAAGCAGCTGCAAGAAAAAGAGCCCCAATTCAGCCCGAAAAAGACAACGACGGAGCCCACAGCCCCTCCGAAGCCGCCACAGCAGGCAAGCCCGAAGAAACCCGCGGAGGCAGCCCAGAAACCGGCGCGGGGATATGTCAAGGAACCGGCGACGGCCCAACGATCCCTCGACATGCTGACCGCGAAGCTGCGTGGCGCCCCCAAGGAAACCGTTCACAGGACCAAGTCGGAAAGCAGCCAGGCGACTGCTCCCAAGCCGTTGTCCTCTCCTGCTTGGAGCACCCAGCGGCACAGCCCTGTGGTGCTAGAGCCGCTCATGGTCAGGCCGACACCCGAGCGCCTCCTCCCCATCGGACCGCAGCCCAAGGCCTCCAAGCCTTTCATGTCCAAGCAACTCTCCACCGGTAGCCTTGGTCCCGGAACTGATTTCCGGCACAGGTCCGAACTGCCACTGCGTCAGGCCGACGTCTTCACACTCGATGCCAGCAGGGCCCTCCGGGGCCTGCCCCTGGGGCCTGTGCCACCCAGGCCCATAGAGATCCCGTCCTTGGAGAGACTGCTCCCCGTCGGACCGCTGCCCACCCGGCGAGAGGCTGCCCTCGACATCCGCAGCATCCCGAGCTCCCCGGCGAAGCGGCTCAAGTCTCGCTCCCAGAGCACAGACACAACCCTCGCTGCGAAGCGGAGCGAGCCAGACCTCCTGGCCTCCGCGCGTGTGCAACTGGCCAGCGGCGGCACGCAGAGGGACCAGGTGTTCACATTCCCGGACGTTCCGGCGGCAGCGGCGGAACAGCACCCCTCCGAGAAGCCCCCGCAACGGCAGCCCTCCTCCGACGCCGTGGTGAAGGCAGAGGAGGGCGGCAAGGGCCGTGGCGAGGACGCGGCAGCGCTCAAGGACAGGGTGCGTCCTCAGGAGCACTCGATCAGCGGGGGCCTCATCGACATGCTTGTGAAGGACGTCATCCTGGACAAGGTGCTCAGTGCCGCCGGAAGGGTGGAGACCGCCTTCTTCACCCACGGGGGCAACAGCCTCGAGGTCAAGGATGACGAGGAACCTGCCACGCCGCATCCCGACAAGGGTGAGCTATGTCGCCCTCCTGCCGGCAATTCAGCTACCAGAAGCCCTTCCGGCAGTCGGACACCTTAAATTATGCATCGGTTTCAATTCTACTCTTTCCCGATTCAGTAGATGATACATAGGCAAGTTTCTAGATGACATATCAGATTTGTTTTTAAAAGTAGAGTGTGTCAAAACAAGGTAGTAAAAAAACAAAAACTTCATCCAGGGTGTGTACCACATGCTCAGAGCTTGAAGGTGGTTTCCATACTGACCCGAGACGAGAGAACAAAATCTGGACGCACACACGCAACGTGTCCACAAGCACCGAATCAAAAGCTGCTAGCAAAGGTCCATCGTCATACACTTATGTTAAAAGGACTCGCTTGCACTTGCAAGTTACTTGTTGCAAATGGAGTATGTGCTGTTGGAAACCCCTCTAAAGAAACTTTTAATTACTCTTTGAAACTTTGGTTATAAGCTAAGCGACTTATTTAACAAATGTGTGAAGCTTAAGTGACTTATTTAGCAACAGGAGTGCCCTTTTTAGAGAGCAGCCCACGGTAGTGCCATAACTGCTCACGACTGTTGCTGTACCCCTGGCCGCAGGGGCGAGTGACGAAGCACGATCGCGGCTTCACTACCGCCCCCGGAAACAGCGCAAGTCTGGCCTGACCACCGTGGAGATCCAACGCACCCTCGAGTCTCGTGGAGGCACCGGCAGGTCAGTGCATTGTCAGGTTGTGGCATGCCCTGTCAGGATTTTTTGCATCTTGTGTCAATATGCAAGTGGTAAACATGTCACACTAATAGAACTATCATAAATATGTGTTTAGACATGGTTGTCGGGGAAGTAACTTTAAGCTGAATCAGACTTCTCAGGGCTTGAGGTGACACAAGCGAAAATTTTTAGCTCGGACCCGACTGGTCCTAGATTAACAAGGTTTTGATTAAAGAATACCGTAACATTCTGACAGATGCCCCGTCGACGAAAAATAACCCATCCTTATTTTTTGCAGGATTTGCTATTTTTCAAAAGCACCGAAAGATAGCCCACTTCAAGTAATTGCAGGTCCCTGGCCAATGGTGAATTTGGCAGAAATGGTGTTACTTAGCCACGACGGGACATAAGCGAGCATTGCTGATTGGGAAGGACATCATTGAAAGAAACATAAAAAAAACGACAGCAGAACACAGAATCTCACATGCAGATGAGTTTATTCACAGGAGGATGCCAATAAATACCCATCCACACGAAAACGGGAAGAAAGGAAGAAGGAAAGAGACAGCCCCCACGAAACTAGGCAGACAGACCTACACCATCCCCACACTGACAGAGCCGCCGCCCGGAAACACCACCGGTTCCCAAGGATCTGAACGATAAGCCCCGTCAAGGTCGCACGAGCCTTCCACCCACATGAAACCCCCCCCACACACTCACTCTTGCCACAAACCCCTAAGGTATTGAAACAACACCAAGGCCAACCCTTTTTTCCCATTTCCTCAAACGCCCAAGGTATTAAACCACCACCAACAAGGCGACATAAAATCATTGAAGCAAGAAAAAGCCCCTCGTGCGTTCTCCCAGCACCAAAGACAGTTGACTCACAAGTTACCATGGTCACCCATTTGTGTGTCTTTCTTTAAACAAATTTGAGGTCTCTTTCCGCAAGGGGGAACATGAACTACATTCACCTATGTGTTTAGCCATTTCTGAATTTAGGCACTTATTTCTCACATTCCTCTTATGTCTCTGTCTTTGGTCCTTTGCCCCTCCCTGCAATTGCAAGTTTCGCAGGCCACAAAAACTAAAACTAGCATTTTTTCAACTTATTTTGATTGCACGCCGAAAGTGAGCCTACTTCTTATTTTCACCTGATTTGCTTTCGATTTTCGGTGGGCTATCTCTCGGGATATTGTGGTAGCTACCATACTTACCCAATTATAAAGCGCACATTTTTTTTTACAAAATATACAATCAGATACAAAACCGAAATCAGCGGTATGTTAGGATTATTATTCCAGAGCAGTGGTTCTCAAATGGTGGTCCGCAGAACTTTTGGGATCCATGGAGGCCTTTTGGAGGCTTTCTGGAATTCCCCAAAGTCCTCAACCATCAATAAAAAAAAACTAATGTTGGTTGTTTTTCAAGGCTAAATAGACAAAACCATCTATCTGTGCCAAATGGGTAAAACTGATTATTCTCAGTTTCAGGGGGTTCATAGTTGCTTTATAATTTACTTTTGTCATTGTGATCGTCCAATAACCCCCCTCCCTCCCGCTGGATGGGATCTTCCATCACTTCGACCGATTCAGAAGGTGTCCCGAAACTTTAGTGGTTGAGAACCACCGTTCTAAAGTATAAAAACCGGGTATGCATTAGAATCGGGCAACTATGGTACTATGTCTTTTAAACGCATCAGTCTTAGAGGTGCTGCCATTATCACTGCATGTAGAAGAGAATCAGTTTGTTCTTTGTTTATTGCCGTTAACAGTGCCTGATGTAGTCGGCAACTGGGCTCACCAAATTCATTCAGGAAAAAAGAATGCAGAAAAACAGGTCATTCCCTGTCATTTTCTTAAACTTCGTTAAAATGTTAAAGGGCAACTCAGGTCAATATTTCTTAATTTAGGATTATGACTGTTTTCAGCTAAGGCAGTGCCCTGAATTAAAAGGCATCATCTTTTTTTTTTTCTCGATATTGTGTGTAATTTTATTAATATCACGGGTCAAAGTTTGGTTTCAGGCAACCCGCTTGCCGCTCGCTAAAGAGCAGCTGTTTGCATCTTTAAAATCGGGTTTGGTGGAGTATGCGGCTTCACTTTGATGTAATATTTTGGCTGGGATCATCATAATTCATGTCGCTAGAGAGATAACGGTAATTTATTTTGGTTTCGTCTACGGTCAGAGTTGCCCTTGAATAAAGTCACTGACAGGATTAGAAGAAATGCAGAAACGTCTCTTTAGTTGTTCGCCTCCAGCGCCAGCTTCTGCCTTCGAGAACACTTTGGCGCCTCGTGCATTTTGAAAGTGCACGTGCGGTCAAAGCACGATGGAGGGCAACGAACAAGCGCTGGAGGGCAGGCATCCAAGGGGGATGCCCCGCTGTTTTCATTCTTTCAGTGACTGACTGTAACAATTCGAATGAGCACAATGGTAACAACTGTTGGAACTTGAACCAAAAGAGGCGTATTGTCCCAGCCATCCCCTAGCTCACTTTCAATCTGTTCATGAACGTAAGCATCTTCAGTGTTTCTTTTTATAAAAAAAAATTAAAAAATTAAAATGTAAAGCAGTTATTGGTTCAGTGGCTTTCCAAAGTCCCAAACACTACCATGCATCCACGCAGGCGCGCTCGCAAGACCGATCCAGGACCCGGGCCCACTCCGTCGAAGCGGTCCGGCCGTCCTTTGAGCTCGCGATCGGGCGAAGACGCCGTGCCGGACCGCTGCCCCGAGTGCGCGGTGGCCCTCGAGCAATACAGCGACGAAGAGCTGGGGCTATGCGTGGTTCTGCTTGCAACCTTCGTGCACCGCCAGCCCTCCCTGGCCGCGCCACTGCTCCCCGAGATACTCCGCGTTGTTGCCAGGTCAGTCGTTCGGCCGCCCACAGAAATATACAGTTTGTTTTTCACAGTCTGCATGTCTTTTTGGGCTTGTATCACAAATTACTAGGGCTGGACAATTGATCGATTAACCTACAGGATTTATCAATTAACACTTTAAGCACAATCAATTATTGAAATGGTTGGTCGGTTGAGTTTTAAGTTAGAAATTTTTGGGAAAAGTAAAAATGCTTGCTTTACTATCTTAGTTTAAAACAGCGCAACAACTAAGGAGAAAGTGAGGGCAAGACAGACGACAGCACTTTGTCCTTGTTGCATTGTTTCAAACCAAGATGCTCATGAACCAACAAGCCCTAACAAATTTTAGCTTGCTTTACTACTTGGTGCATGATGTATTTTAGAAGGCGACACTGGTTTATTCCACGGTAAAATGCTAGCATTTCCTACAATTGTAATCCAGAGTATCATCAAGCTTAGAAAATATTCTAAAAATAGTTTGGTTTTAGAACTTGCTTGTGTGTATGTATGTGCGTGAGAGCATTTTTTTATGGGTGCATTCTGCCATGGACGGCAAGTAAGAAATAGAAGAAAAGTATCTAGTTTGGACACTTTTTTTTAGACCTTTTGCTCTGCTGTTGATGAACCGATAAATAATTAATTAAAAGGTGGCGATTAATTGGGTTAAAATTTTTAATTGATGCCCAGCCCTACAAATAACTATTAGTATTGTATTTTCCGAACCAGAGCCTGCACCTTGTGCATGGTCTGCACCACTGATCTCTATGACAATTGCTGGATCGCGTTTGCCCGCACCGCGAATGCGGTCACTGGCGGCCATCTTTAGGTAGAGTTATATCACCTCTAGCCAATGTAAGCTGCTGCAGCCGCTATCATCCATCCATGGCAGATAGCATTTTGGCAGGTGGGTTGGCAGGCTGCGGTCAAAATAGCGTGGGTGATATTGCGTGCTTGATTAAAATTATTTGACGAAACATGTTTTTGAAACCCGGCGTGAACAGTAGTCCGGTTTTTGAGGACCTGGTAAAAGTTTCACAAAATCGCAGCACCGGGAGAAAAGCAGCACAGCACGTATCGACAGTCGCATCGAAAGAAGCATCGAAAGCAGACGACGGTACGGAGTCTGCTTTTGATGCGAGCTGCGCTGCTTTCCCCCGGTGCTGCGCTTTCGTAGAACGTTTGCCGGGTCCTCAAAGATGAGGCTACCGTTCACGCCGGGTTTCAAGAATCTGCTTCGTCGAACAACTTTAGTCAAGCACGAAATGTCACCCACGGTACAGTGTACTAGATCTACGGCTATTTTTATGGCAGCCTGCCGCCATTGCGCTGTCCGCCATATTACTCTGATGGCTAGAGATGATATAACTCTACCTAAAGATGGCCGCCAGTGACCGCATTCCGGTCCATAGGAGGAGCTGGTCAAACGCGATCCAGCAAATAGACATAGAGATCAGTGGTCTGCACATAAAAGAATGAAAGACGTTTACAACTTTCTGTAATGCCGAATTAGAGTGCAGCTCTTGAGGAGGAGGAGGGAAGGGCTGAGGGGAGAAGGTGGAAAGTCCTCCACTACTAACATAGGTGTGGATCGACGTGTGCTTAACGCAAGTCGCAGAAAATGCACATCTTTGGTGAGAGCATCGCGTGTAAATTTGTCGGGAATTTAGCGGGGCAATTTTTTTCCCAAACTTTAGCGGGGAATTTTTTCCACTAGATTTAGCGGGGAAATTTTTCCCGCTAAATTTAGTGGGGAAATTTTTTGCGCTAGATTTAGCGGGGAAATTTTTTACGCTAAATTTAGTGGGAAAGTTTTTCCACTAGATTTAGCGGGGAAATTTTCTCCGTTACACAAGACGTCATTGGTGACGTCACCAGTGATGATGGCGATAACATCATCACGATGACGTCACTGGTGGTTCTTATGATGTCACGTGTGACATCACGTGACGTCATCGTTACTGATGACGTCATCAGTGATGTCATCAGAGTTTAATTTTTCGCAAAAATTAAACTCTGAATTGAACTGAAAAACTGAATTTCGCAAAATATAAACTTTGAAAGTACAAAATTTTCATTTATAACCATCAATCATTCCTCTGTTGCAGGGTTGCTTCTCAAGTATTTTACCCATGGCAACACGAAAGGTATGCAAACTTCATGCTTCCAGGAGTGCAATGCCACCTGCATGACTTCTTCGCTTGTTTGGTTGCAGTCTGCTATAAAAAACAAAATGAAAGAAAAGGAAGCTTCATGTGTGTGGCTTTAGAGGTGGAATATCTTTTATTTGTACTCTGGCCTGCGGTCTAGCATGCCCATACATACAGTAGTGAAGCAGCTTTTTTTCTTCCATTGTAATATTTTTTTTGGCTAAAGTTGTATATTTCAAAGGAAGCTTTTGTTGTTGATTCAGACATGTGGATTGCATAAACTTTGGTTTTGCAGTATGGTTCTGCCTTTAGAGTTTGTAGAAGCACAAAAGGTTTCAATCGCTTTTTACGCTTCAAATACAACAAAATTTTGCTACAGCGAGCAACGTCTCGGCAGTCTAGAAAGTTGACGGCAATGCTCCACATTTACTCTTTTGCACATTTTGAGCAGTGTGCCACAACTGTGCATTTTCTTGACATTTACTTTCTATTTTTTTCTTTGCTTTCTTTTTTATTTTGGGGCCTCGCTGGTGTTTTTTATAATTTTCGGTTGATCAATGATCTTGAAATTGATGACAATCTCTCAACATCTACCCTTTCCCTCAAATCTTGGCCAGCGTGTCGCTATTGAACCCGTACGAGTAAGACAGAGATCACTTTAAATTTTTTGCCCCTCCACCATTTTGAGCACTAAACGATTTGTACCCATTTCACCAAGAGAATGTTATGAAACTATGCAGGAAACTGCAGAAGAACCTCTCTGGTCAAATAAAGACCAAAACGCGCTTCGTTCCTCCACATTCTTGCACGTGCGGGTTCAATTCTACGTCCTCCAGCAACATTTTTGTTTCCTTTCTATTTTTGCCTTGCTTTTTTTAGACCTTGCTGGTGCTTTTTGACTTTTTGCTTTTTTAAAGAAGCTTCTCTCCTGAAGGAGAAGGGAAAAGATAAGCGCTTTTCGCACTGCCTGGACGTTCCTTTTGCACCCTGGGGGCACTCCGACACCCTTTTTGCATGGGCTGTCTCACAGCAATGTACACCTGCCAGGGGGGTGCAACAGTGTGGCGCGGCAGTTCATTAGATGCACCCTACACCAGCTCTCCACCAATGGCATCTTCCAGCAGATTTTTCAAGGAAACTTTGGTGAGTCCAGCTGGGCTTTGCAGCACTCCTTGTTGCCTAATTATTTCCCAATTTTTTAATATTTTTTAATTTCTCTATTAAAATTATATTTTAGTCTGGCCCATACAGCTAGTCAAACTATTGTGGAAGTCAAGAGTAATTGAGTTGGTAAATTTTTGTTGTGCTGGTGACCTGACACTAATACATTAAAGCTAAATTTTGCACATGCAATCTTAAAAAAAGATTGTCCTCATAGGGAGCTTTTACTGTCAACTGGCCCTTGCAGTTAAGGGACAAATTATCAAATGGATTTCAATCTCAATCTATACCAACCATGGCTTTCACCTTATCCCAATACCTGCCCATCTTTTGTAAAATGTGACAGCTTTTGCACTGCTTTAACAATAACAATGTGTCTTTTAATGACTAGAAAATTTTCAACTGAAAGCAATTCTATCTATAAATTTATTTTACCGGAACATTGACAGTATTGCTCACAAATTGGGAATTTTGAGGTACAGTATTTTGTGCAACCTGCCATGTACTCGCTTATGCTATTCTGAAGTTGGGTGTTCCACTGCAGATTCCAGGAATTTCATTGATGTGAAGTGTTTCTCCAGTTCATATATGAAATTCCAAGGGTTTGAAAAGTTCATACATTACAACGTCTCAGCCTTGTTGCTTTAAAGTTCAAGTTTAGAATGACAGCACAATTAACCATGGTGTTTGTTGCATAGTGGTATCGCATAGTCAGTGCCAAAAAAGGCTAGCACAAGTGACTGCCGACTGGAGCGACAGCATCGCCCACATGTGGCACTAGTCCTGCGAACACATTGAGTGTGAGGCTGGTCAAGCCATTCACAAGTTTTATCGCTGGGGGTGATTCGGCAGTTTGTTACCATGTGCAATCACCAAGGACTTACCCCAGCAAATCTTCAACTTTCAGTCCGTTAAAAAAACTCAAATCTAATAAAAAATAGAAAGAACACAACAAGAGTTTATGTGCAATGGTTTCTTGTACTCCAAAGTATCTGAGTGGCAAGTGCCCAAGTGCTCAATTGGCAAAATGTCCAAGTGGCAAAGTGCCCAGATGGCAAGTGCTAAAATGGCAAGTGCCAGAAGGAGCAGAGAAACGATTTGAACTTTAAAAGAATTTGCAGCTCGCATTTTTAATATTGTCTAGCTGTGACAAACAAGTGAGAAAAACCCGAGCCACCTTCCACCAAAAACCACCTATCCCGCTACAAAATCACAAAGAAAAATATGAATTATTTGGCTATCTGTAGCTGCACGTGGCGGTTACAGGAACTACTATGACGCGTCACTGGGAGTACATGGAAATCAACAAAACCAGTCCCCTTCCGCAGCTACACTCGCCGTCAGCACCGTGGCGAAACGTCTTTCGTCTCAATCGCTCACCGCGACCTTTGACGATGCTAATCCTTGAAAAGTCGACGATTGTGGAGGGAGCGGTTGGGGTCTCTGAAGAGAAAACCCAATGGGAAACCAGATGGCCCCGTAACATCACTCGAAAGACAGCGTTAGAGTTGAGGGGTACTTTGACCTTCGACTTGTTTAAGTTTTTAAAATAAAAACTAGCATGCAAAAAAGAAACTGTTTTCTGTGTTATAGGTGACACAGATTAATTCCCACAGTTAATTTGACAAAGTCCGAAAATCGTTGCACTGCCCCTTTAAGTTGCAAGTATCGAAGTGCACATTGGGAAAGGCTACTGTCTGCCAAACCTCCTAGAGTAAAAAAAAGTAAGGCCGGCCCGGATCTGTTGCTCCCATGTTTTCGCAGGACTGCAGTGTCACGTGTCACTTTTTTGCCGGTCCAGTAATCACTCCCTTGTGCAATTCCTGAGGTGGGAATAACACAGTCTTTTCTGATGTCAACCATACATAGCCTACGTTCGTTTTGCAGATGCCGACTTCTTTAAAGTGATGGCCGCAGCTCTGGCAGACTTCAACGAACTCAACCAAATCCAGCCACTGATGATCCTTTTTGAAGTGAGCAATAACTGTATGTCAGCAACCATTACTCATTGACAATAACCTGTACATGAGCCATGTGCATGGTGAATGTGCCACTAAATATGTCACTTATCCAGTTTCTTTCTAGCATGTAAAAATGTTGTTAGCAGTTCCAATTTTAAGTCATAATTTCAAAACTAAAACATTTTTAAAGCGAAATGTATGTATGGGGCTTCACATAATGGAGTCAACAACCATCCTTAGAATGGCATTTCATTTTTATACCTCTCTCAGGAGCCATTTTCTACGGGGGCATTTGTAAAAACTGAATAATGCATAATGTTCTCCTTTGAGACCCCTAAGCTGACAAAGTGGTTGACCAGTCGTACATCACTGTATCACCGTATGATCACGGTCCCACCCATATCCACGTGCCAGGAATGGGGTCATGTGGCAAAAGGCAGGCCGTTGACTGGTCCGACGAGTATGTAGCTCCCACTATCCTGTCAGCTTAGGGGTGAACGAAGCATAGGAAAACGTTCCCTCTGATACGATCCCCTCTAAACTGGCTCTCCCCAGAACCCGCACTTAAATTGATCCAACCCTGCCGTCCGACTCTATACGGCAACTCAACTTTCCGACGACACGCCACTGCAATGGCGCTGGCGTCGGCACTGCGCGCGTGCATGTGCTTCACCTCACGTGAATCTGGTTTCTGCGCACGCGCAGTGCTCGCACCTGAAGCGAACAAATGCAAGCTCGTTTGCAAACGGCGTGTTGGCGTGCGCCCCAGGAGCTGAACGAGCGCAAGCACGTGCCCGGAGAGCAGCTGCTGCAGGTGCTGGGCAATGTGGCCGCCTACCTGGAGTGCCTGGCCCCCGAGGGCAACGCCCTGCTCTGGACCGCTTTCTTGCCACAGCTCGACGCTCTGCTTAGAAAGCTGCTGCTGGCCCTGCCGCCCCTCGCCGCCGGGGCCTCGGGCCCGGCCCCCGCGGCCGCAGCCCCGGCCTCCTCCCTCGAGCCCCTGCTCCGGCTCCTGCTGTGCGTGCTGCGCGTGCCCACCGTCAACACCTGCAAGGTACACAGTGGCGGTCGGAGGCCGAGCACGTTCGCAGTTTGCCGCGGGTTTAGGACAACAGGGCAAGCCCCCCCCCCCCCCCCCCCCCCCCCCCCCCCCCCCACAAGGCTCTCCGCTCACCGTGATTGGTCTGCCCCTCTCCAGCATTCGCTCTGCTTAAGTGGAAAGAGTGGAGGGGCTTTGTGGGAGGTCCTGCTTTCCTTAACTTGCAACGGACTATAAAGCAGCAACATTGCATCACCTCTGATCTCTAGTCTGATATGGGGCAGACAGCATGCCCACCGTCAACACCTGCAAGGTACCTGGGGGGGTTGAATGAGATCAATCAACACCACCTAGAAGACAAGGTCTGCGCCTCTCCCCAGAATTTATCGGATCCACAAATTGCCACCTACCTTGCATCAGCATCGTCGACAGTGTGTCTTGCAGGGTCTCACAACGAGGGCGACATTAGCACTTGGCAACGCCAAGACGGATGCATCTGCCGCAACATCTCTCTTCAAGCTTGAGCATGTTTGTCGCTGACGTCATGCACAGGCCTTGTCTTCGAGGTGGTATTGGTTTAACCGACGCCACCTATAGTCAGTTGCTAGTTACGAACAGCAGGACAAGCCCCTGGCAGGCAGGGTCACGGCTTCTCAAACTAGAATCCTGGGAACAAAAGGGTTCCCCCGAGCTCCCCAATTTTTTCAACCGTTAGTGTCCCCAAGTTGAGCATTTTTGTGGTTTGAGCACTATTTTAGCAGATCTGAGCCACCTATTAATGCGTAGCTATAAGCTGCATTTGTATCATCGCTTACAATGTCTGTGGGCATCTGCGCTGCTCGACTGCGTTAATGCCGAGAATGACGGGGGATCCTCGGTTGCCATTCGAGGCAGTGAGGTCCCTTGTAATCGAAAAGTTTGATACAGCCTGATTTAACTAGTGGCAGGGCTCATCTACGACTTGACTAAAATTGCTCGCTGTCAGACCAGTGTTCCGATTGTTGTGGTATTGTCCCTTGCACAGTCAATCCTGGACCCTTTTTCCAAAATCCTGAGCTACGCCATCCAGCACTCCCTCATTCAATACCAACAATTACTGGAGCTGTGTCATCTCTGCAACCGAAACATGTCCAGGGTAAGCGAGCCTGCAAGCTCAATGCCTTCATAACAATGGCTGCCTTTAGCCTTGCCTTATGGTGCTAAGTTTGTCGTTGTTCTTTGCTTTCCCCAGGAAAGAGACAAGCAAGTGTTCACGAGGACAGTCGTATTTGAGCTGGTGCAAGCACTCAAGTTTAAGTCGGTGATTCCGGATGAGAACCTGCTTGTACTTGTGCAGGTGATTTCTTACTATTTCCTTGGGTGTATGAACGAAAATGTGCTTTTTTTTGTATGAACGAAAATGTGCTTTTTGTCAAACGTTTTAACCACAGCACCTTAACTTAAAAAACAATTTTACATCTATGCGATCATCATGTATAAGAATAATGCCGAAACTGCATTGTCTTATGAAGTGCCATGCTGTCCTTTTTATAGATCTGGAAGAGAACAAAAAGAGGCCATGCAGTAAAAACGATGTGCTAACATCAGTCTCCCAACTCTTTTTATGCAGTTTGTGCTCCAAGATGCTGGAGGCATTCTGTGTCCCAACGTTATTGTTGAGGATCTACTCCTCCCGCAGGACCTCCAAAACACTGTAAGTGATGCTCATGCATTATTCACGGTTGATTTCACCAATAATAAAACAAATATGGAATGTTAGGCATGAACTTACAAGGTGTGATCGAAAAGTTCCGAGACTGATTTTGTGGCATAGAAAGAGAGGGCAACACAGTGATGTGCGCACAGCAGTTGAAGAAAGAGTGCTTTGTATCTCGTTATACCAAAGGGCGTTGCTCTGTGAACATTTGGAGCTGCGTTACACAAGTTTGTTTGACCACATGCACGAGCCAATGCCGATCTCTCCATAAACTGGAAACCAAAGCGAGAGCGAACATCAATTTTACGTCTACCTTGGCAAATCTAAACCAGAGACCTCTGAAATGACTTAGAAGGCTTACATATGTTAAAAAGCAGTGAGGTGTGTGAGGTGTTTTGAGTGGCACTCGCACCTCAAGAATGGCAGAACGTCACCGACGTCAAGGAGAGGTGGGATGAGGTCGCCCTATCGCTTTTTGTCTTGCAGCGATGTTCTGCCTTTCCTGAAGTGCGAGTGCCACTTAAAACACTTCGCAAAATGCACTGCTTTTTGACACAAGCCTGCTGAATCATTTTGAAAGTCTCTGTTTTATATTTGCAGAGTTTGACGCAGAATTGATATTCGCTCTCGCTCTGGTTTGTAGTCTATAGTAAAATCGCCATTGTGCCCGCCCACATGGTCACAACAACTCGTGTAGCGCAGCCCCAAATGTTCACAAAGCGACTCCTTTTGGTGTGACGAGACAAGGTCCCTTCCTTTGACAGCTGCGTGCACATCACTGTGCTGCCCTCTCTTTTTACGCTACAAAATCAGTCCCCGAACTTTTTTATCCCACCTCGTACAATGACATGCATGAAATTACAATAATGTGCATGCATTAAAAAATCCCCCAAACTAGACCAAGGAGCCACACCCATCATCTACAACAGTTACTGTTCATGTCCCAAGTTCTTTTTGCTAATGAGGTGCCGTAAATGACTTTATTTTCATGGGCTCAATATTTCGCAAAATTTGCAGTGTGGGTTTTGGCAATATTTCGTGGGCACAAAGTTTAACAATTATGTTATCTATTCGTTACCATAGGATAATATATCCTCATGAACTATTTTTTACGACAATCTTCAAGTCTCAAAGATTAGGTCCTTGCGAACATTGAGTCGTATCTTGTGTTTGGAATTACCATATGTCAACCTGCAGTGTATGCTTTGGAGCACAACATAATACATATGTAGATTACTGTCACCTTGAATTAAACCACATTTGCTGTCTTTCCTTCAACCTCTCATTCGCAGTATAACACAGGAGCCAGTGAGTGCATGCGACAAAATCTCAACGAAGTGCTGGAATTCGTGGCCGACGTCCATGCGCTCATAAGAATCAAGGTATGGTTCCAACACGCTTTGTACTTTTTCCTCTGTTTCAGTTGGGCGAGACCAGAGCATAGATTTGCACATTAAGGAACACTGTTTGTTGATCTCCTTGATTGATAGAGTGACCGGAAGTCCCATTTTGGTCGAGACAATTCCATTTTAGAGGTTCATTTCTGCCGGCCCGCTATTTTCTCTCAATGAAGACTCGTGTCCCGTTTTCATGAGAACGTAAGTAGTTTTGAAAGGAATAATACTAAGAAAGTAGAAGAAAACTGAGAGAATGTCTACTTGTTAGTCATTAAATTTATAAAACTAAACTTACTATGGAAATGCTACCTCCCACATAAAGTACAATTTTGAGCTCTTTCTGTGGTCACTTCTATCAATATGTTTTGTTTGCACAAATGTGTGAACAGGAAACTTTCTACATGCTACTAAATTTTTTGTTCCACGATTGGAAACATTTCTTCTCAATTATCCAAAAATGGGAAAGAAAGACACTTGTGTTCTCTACGAAGAACCCCGGAAAAATGTGCATTTTTATGTTGAACTGAATTCAGGAATGTGATTGGTCGGAGTCATTTTAAAGCAGCCGAAAGTCCATTTTTGAGCAGGAAAAAGGACTCCTTTGGAGCATAAGCACACACTTCATTTTCATTAATACCACTGCAAATATTATGTTAAGATTCATACATTGACCTGTCAAACTGAAAGACAATGTCTACTTTGACTTCCCACTTTTGTTGTTAGCATCAGTTGCACGACTGGTTTGATTCCCTCAATCACAAAACAAGCTGCTTAGTTGTGCGTAGAAGCACCAAACACGGCAACAGGATATTTACTGATGAAGGACAGTATGAACTGCAGTGCATAGTTATTTTCGATACAGAATCAAAGAAGCAAATAGTATATTCGACTGAAATAATGTTAAAATAGAATAATTTAGAGGACCCAAATTGATGTTCTGTTAAATTTCTGAATGTTATAATAAAGCTGCAATTATTAAATTAGATTTAAAAAAAATCTTTGTATAAAATTATGAACATCAAAACATTATATATGTAGAACTTATGATAACAAAAATTGGCATCTGAATGATAAATATGCCTTTTTAATACAGTAAAACCTCGTTATAGCAAAGTTGAAGGAGTAGTCGTAATTATTTCGTTATAACCATTAGTTTGTTATAGCCAATGTTCATTTCTTTTCACTATTAGAAGCAAAGGGAATTATGATTGCTTTGTTATATCCATTAGTTTGTTATATACAATTTTGTTATAACGAGGTTTTACTGTAATCAATTCCTCCAAACTCATTAAGGTTGTTTCCAAGCTTTCATCTCCTGTTCCAGCTAATTTAGTTTTAATGTACTTTATTGACTGTGCCATCGAACAGATATGGAGTTATCATCATCATCATTTATCTTCCTTGAGGGCCCGTGGGGCAATATACAAGGTGGAGGCAATAAAACAAAAAGTTGTTTTATTGCCACTCCCCTGACAAGAAAGTTGACATAAGAAGTAAACCTATAGAGCAGTTCTGCAAGTATTTTTGCAATTGCCGTCGCTAAATCTCAAATTCAAAAAGATATTGTTAGAATATTGCAGTCCATTATATATAAAATAGCTACAGCCTTAAGCGCGAAACACATGTACGACGAAACCGTCCGATCCGACGTCCAACCGCGCAATACGACGGTCGGAGGCGAGGGTTTTCAACGCTCTCCGATGCTACGAACACCCTCTCCCCCCAAGGTCATTCCGGCAGTCCGCACGTCGGATCGGAAGGTTTTGTCGTACATGTGTTTCCCGCTTTACTCAGAAATTATGCGTCACGTCCTGCTGTGGAAGGGTGCTTCCCCTTAGCATCCGGCTGCGCTGCAACGAAACGAGATACATGAGATCGCTATGTTCATTTGGAGGTTGTCGCTTGACTTCAGTACACCAATGCGAGGTCAGAAGCACCTTCAAGGAAGCTCGCTAACCTGCGAGAACATGCCACGCACACGAAAAATATTGCGAAACTTCCGAGTACTGTCAGCGTTTACATAGATAAAATCAAATGTTACAATATTTGATGCTATAATCAAAAATTCTCAAAAAAATTCACACAAACCCGCTGTAATAATCTGCACATATAGCAGGCCTGAGCTATTATATTTTAAGTATTTTAAGTGATATTGACTATTTGGCGAGTGTTGGCTCAAATTCCTCAAACTTTTGCAAAATGTAGCAGGATGTAGCAAGATAAACACATTGGTGCAGTTTGGTGCAGCAATCATATCTCTGTGGATCGTTCTACCAGAGTTTCTCCCTCTGCATTGCCCACCTTACTTCCTGGATGAATAGATCGACCTAATTGCAGTCTAATTAACTAATCCCACAATCAAAGGAGTCACTGTCGTAAATGAAAGTGGTCTACAAACGGCGAGTCAGTCTGTCGCAGGACCACTTACAGGACGAGAAAGACAGGGCATCCCTTTCTGGTGCCCGACCTCCAGTAGGTGCTCGTCGCCTTCTGCCGTGCTTTGACTGTGCTTGCACTCTTGAGGCTCGATAGATGCCGAAGTGTCATCGAAGGTAAGCCGCTTAAGCTGGAGGAGGAACAACTAAAACATTTCCCTGCCATCCTAATCCTGTCAGTGACTACAGTTGACTGCTAAAACAAACAAACAAAAAAAAAAGAACAAACATATGTGTAACGACTTGAACAGTGTGTGATAAAGAGCCCCAGGCAAAAATCAGTTCACTTCCAGCTGGATTATGGAACTGAAAATGAGGCAGTCCAGCTGGATTCCAGCTGGAATCCAAGTGGACCCAGCTGGAATCCAGCTGGACTGCCTCATTTCCAGTTCCATAATCCAGCTGGAAGTGGACTGATTTTCGCCTGGGGCACCTCCATCTCGTCCATTCTCGTTCTCAGTCCGTCGTATCTTCATGAGCTGTTTTCCGCAACGCAGAGCAACTTCCATGGAACAGCGAGTCGACTGAACGAAGAGACCCTGGGGGGCCAGGCGAAGGCTGGCATGGCCCAGTACCTGGCCCTAGAGATCACGAAGGGCAATGGGAGGGACAACAGGGCCATTGGGAAGTACCTGCCCTGGCTCTACCACCCACCTTCCTCCGTGCAGCAGGGGTGAGTGCAGGGTCACCTTTCCGCGACACTCGCACGTGACATAGTGCTAAAGTTTCATCCGAGAAGGATGGGGGGGCTAGAGTAGGAAGGAGGTAGTACTCAAAAAGAATCAGGAAGCTTACAATGTTGCAGTCAGAATTCCAGTATGATGCTCAGCGAATTCTATGACGACCTCCCATTCGTGTCACTTGTATTAAAGAGGGCACAAAATTCTGTGTACCTTCCCGCAGGACATGCCATGAGTGTCATTAGTGCCGAGCATTTCTTCCTCGGATAAACTACAGGATAGTGACACTTAGTGAATTCCTATTGTTGTAGGATTGAAAACCCTACAAGCAAAACCAGAATCTTTTTGCCACGGTTGCAGATTGACCCAAAAATAAAATGCAGCTCGAAATGAAAAAAATAAACTTCTCCCTCGTTTGCTTGGGGCAGTTGATGAAGCCGAGCCTGAATCGCGGCAATTCCGAAACGTGATCCGCAGCCCCAAGGAGTTCATCGATTGCGTGGCCCACATCCGGCTGCTGTCCTGGCTTCTGGTGGGGGCCCTCATGCACAGCGCCCTGCTCAGCAACACAGCCAGCCTCGTGTGCCAGCCCATCCCGCTGGAGGCCAACAGCCACATCGCCGACCACATACAGGTCATCCTGGCTGGCTTTGCAGAGCAGTCCAAGGTAGGACCTCTACACACTCGGCACTTTGGAGGGTCAGAGCGGCGAGTAGGAAAAGCAAAGCACGAGTTAAGCTGCATCATGCAGCCTGGAATGTGTCTCCAGCTGGCGTGTTTACCGCGCCCTCAAATGCGGTTCCTCGATTTCCACCTGATGACATCATTGAACTGTCATGCTCTTGCCTGCCACGATCCTGATGATGGCAAAGCGGCAGCGGTGGATGTGGCAGACGCCTGTTCTGTTGCACGTCACGCTGCAGCCTGACAGTCCACGGAAGCCTTAGCAGCCAGGAGTTGGGACGCCGCGACGACAGCGATGCTCATATTCTCTTATACCTTTATGCCGAGCGTGTTGGTGCATTGCAGCTGGGAGGGCGCGGAGCAAAAGCACAGGCTGCAGGACCCAGATATCTTGGGTTCAATTCCCACCCCTACCTGTTTCGATCTGGATGAGCATCGTACCGGCATGTGGTTGTGCATTGCTATCGTGTGGTGCACGTTAAAGACCCCAGGCTAGCGATGGCACCGCACTGGCTAAATTTCTCATCTACAGCTGAGACACCAGAAGCCCATTGAGGCTGATTAACTTCCGGCAATCTAAACGTACACGTGAGACAGTTACTTTTAGAGCACAGCTCTTAGGGGCCCGTTCCTGGCTTGAGCGGCGTCAGCGTCGTCGTCGGCTTAACCAAGGTCACCCCAAGGTCACCGCAAGGTCACGTGACCCCCAGAGGTCACGTGACTGTCCCAGAGTCACGTGACCCCCAAGGTCACGTGACCTTGGGGTGACCTTGGGATAACCTTGGGGGTCGCGTGACCCTGGGGTCACGCGACCCCCAAAGTCACATGACCCCCCCCCCCCTCGAGGTCACGTGACCTCCCCGATGACGTCATCGTCACTGATGACGTCACCGGCATCCGCATCGTCATCATCACTGATGATGTCATCAGTGACGTCGCTGATTACCTCGCCAACATCCGGATCGTCATCATCGCTGATGACATCATCAGTGACGTCACTGATGACGTCACCGGCATCCGCATCGTCATCGTCATCTTCACGGATGACGTCATTAGTGACGTCACTGATGACGTCACCGGCATCCGCATCGTCATCATCACGGATGACGTCATCAGTGACGTCACTGATGACGTCATCGGAGTCCGCATCGTCATCATCGCTGATGACGTCATCGGAGTCCGCATCATCATCGTTACTGATGGTGTCATCAGTGATGTCACTGATGACATCATCGGCATCGGCACGTGACCCCCCCAGGTCACTTAACCCCCCCCAGTACCCTTCCCTCCTCCTCAAGAGCTGCGCTCTAATTCGGTGTTACAGGGAGTTGTAAACGGCTTTCACTTTTTACAACGAACTGCCAGCATCATGACGTCCGACGGCAAGCTGTGCTGGCTCCTGTGAGGTCACTTGTTACCCACTTAACGACCACTCTCGATGCATGGGCGGGACTGGATGGTAAACACACCGGTCGAAGATGCATTTCCAGTTGCCACATCTGTATGTGCAAACCTCGAGCAGCAACAGTTCGAAAGAATTTTGTGTGACATCGGACGCGATTCAAGCCAGCTAGAAGGGTTGCTGGATCAGACAATGACCGACTGCAGCCCTGCCTATTCTTCAGGTTGTGGCTGGCATGGCTTTCGTGTTTTGAGCGGATGCCGAAACTGTTCTGGTAGTCGCAACCTTCGAACCGGGCAACACCAAGGTTGAACAGTAATTGAATCCTGCTTGAAATCACTTTGCACCATCACTGTTAGAAGAAGAATGGTGGGTTGCTGTGGAATGGTACATTATATTGTCACAGATGGAAAAGGGCTCAACAAATGTAAACTAAGAATAAAGGTTTAATCGGCGAGCTTGTGCCAAGCAAAATAAAGAGCAAGCATTGGGACAGCAGGAAAAGCGGGCAGCGATTTGGCGGCGTAACAGCAAGCAAGAGCAAGACTGCCTCTACAAAGTCCCGCGCAGGTCCTTTTCTAGTGGGCATCATCACCATTTCAAATATTCAACCCAGAAGGTTCGAGTGTCGCGCATTCAGGACAAGAATGAACAGGCATTTTCGAGAACAAGAAGGCGGGACGAAATTATGAAAGTTAAGAATAAACGCGAATCTTCTAGAAGTGTGTGACCGAGTGTTGCTTGCTCGGCCCTGTGCGTGGCAATTTTGGGGCAAAAACCATTCAGCATTTGGTTGTTGCATTGTCATGCTAGCAATATCAACAAATGTCCAGAGCTACACTTTGAAATTTGACAAGGTAACCCTCCCCCAACATTTCCCCTGTCATGAAAATTTGAATGATTTAGTCTATATGTGCCATTCTTTATGTCCAATGTATTGCAGTCATTTGTATCAGCAGAATATCAAAGAAACCCAATTCTGCACGAAAGTAAATTGAACTACTATGTATACATATTAGATGTTGCTTTGCACCGAGAAGTAAACACAACTCAGTGGCTTTGATATTGTGAATTTTTGTTAGTCTGTTCAATATAAAAGCGTAACTATTTAATGATATGTAAAAGTTTATTTTACGTTTGCCACGAAAATAATGTGCAACATCTGATTCAATAGGCAAAACTAATGTTCACGTCTTTACTTTATCATTTTATTCTGAGTCTTAGAGACTGCTATACTTTCTCAGGACAACAATGACATTCATGTTTTTCCTCTTTTGTTTTTTGTCATTTTCAGGCCTCTGTATTGCACATGTCATCGCTGTTCCATGCATTCATACTTTGCCAGGTAAGGTTGTTTTATTTTATATGTTTATATGGGTGTTTCAGCTTTGCCTTTGATCCTCATTTCTGCATTCATCCTGCGGAGATATTATGAAATCTAGTGACAGTCCAAGCACATACCGTAGAATGCAGTGCGACCGCCCATACCACACTAAGCACCCATGCCCAAATTTGTAAGATCTGAGAAAATATGCACAGTACATTGATGTGTAAAATTGATGACCGGACAAGCGCCCATCCCCCATTTTTTCGCGATTATCTCTAAATCTTGAATGGGCGCTTGCCCGGTATTTTACGGTACGTGCCTTAAAGTGTTCGTGAAACGATTTCTCAACTTTTTCCTTCTTAGCTTTGATCCTCAACTCACAAATCGCGCATTGTACCAAACTAATCAAGAAGACGGAAAAGAGGGACTCCCCTTTTGCTGAGACCCTCGTTTGTGTACCCGAACACCACCATTCTCCTCTTAGAAGATTAGCTCGTCGCTCAAAGCCCAAATGAAAGTTGCTTTCCCCACTCCGTTCACCCCAAAGCTGACAGTGCTCTGGAAGCTACGTGCTCGTTGGGCTAGCCACATTTTTGCCACGCGATTACACTCCCTCGCGCATACGCACGTGCAGAGAATTAGGTCAGGTGATGAAAGGAAGGCGACTGATTGGTCCGGCAAATGCATAGTTTTCGCCACACTGTCAGCTTAGGGGTGAAGGGAATAAGTGAGGTCCGGTGTCGTGTGATGTGGATTTGGGCCAGGTGACACGCTTTGGATACCGCGAATGTATCACAGTGAAAAGGCAGAAAGCTTTCGAAGGGAAGGAGGTACGAAATAATCCGCTCATTTTCAAATTTTCGTACTGAAAATCAGGCTTTTAACTTTTTATCTTCTTTTTTTTTTTGGCCCACTGAACAATGTGCTATTAGTAAAAGACCAATCTAAATTCATTTATCCCAGCCCAAAATTCGTTTCATGGGCTCCTTAAGGAGGGATATATCTTCAATATTAAAATTTTCAGATTTTTTTTATTATTATTATTGTTATATTTATGTATATTTGCTTGCAAATCAGAAAAATGCATTTATAAACATGCAGGATTTATATCACAAAGAATTATTTTCAGCATGCCGGAAAAGAGTGAATTTTACATTTCTTAATTAGGGCTGCTCAGTGCTCGTTTAACATAGCCAGAACATCCCACCCTCACTGGAAGCATCATTCACTCTACATTTAGCCTGTAGAAGCTTCCCAGGTTTCAAGATATCAATGACCAGAAGAACCTCATACATTCAAACATAAGAAAAAATTGGCTTCATGTTTGATCATTCTGCCAAATGCGTTTAAATACAGCATAAAGCTGCTGCATTTAAACTCTTAGTTCGGTAGGTGCCTGGGGAAGGGCGGCCCTTAGTCTTTCAGTGCTTGGGGTCGGTGGTACTCTTAGTTCAGGTGGTGCCTAGGGTAGGGTTTTTGTATGGAAGCGGAATACGTCACATCATTGTCTCTTTGTGATGCTGCGTGCACTTCCCTTCAGCATCACCCGGATACAAAGCCTTTGCACTGAATTTTCTGGGTCACCAAGAGAAAGGAAGCACGCTTTACTGCCCTCTTCACTCATCATTCTGCGCACTCTTTCCACATTACCTGTTTTTTGCTCCTTTTTCTTGCCGTTTGCACCCCTGTCCGCTCCACGCTCTTATGTAGCTGACGTTTCGGAGTGTAGAGTGGGTGGGAAAAGCCTTGGGAGCATATTGTTTTCTAGCCATTCAATCTCAAACCCAGTCGCATGTCCAGGTGACTGCACCACCTGTTTGGGAAAAGGTAGATATTTGTGCTGTGTTTGGTGGATGCATTTTGACAAAGAGTTGCTCAAGGGCGACAGCGAGACTTCTGTTAAATTTGGGCGACTTACCTAATTCTCAACTTTGTGTTTGCGTTAGTCTATGTTACCCAAGTTGCTAATGCCTCTATCGCAGATCACCCATGTAATATGCCTGTTTTCTTTGTAGGTAACCTGAAACCATGCTTTTGATAGTGTAGTTTTGCTTTTCTCTCAGTCTCCACGGTCCTTTGCATTTGATTTATGAGTTCTGCTTGGCATAAGCACACTAATTGTGTTTAAAAATTAATTTTCCATTCCACAGAGAAGTATCACTTCTGTAAATATGTCAAGAATAAGTTGTATGTAATGATAGTTGTGTAATAAACTTCTGGGAGCAAACAAAAACACTTCTGTTTGTCCGTGTATGCGACTGATATGCAACGATTGATGTGCATTGGCCGATACAGAGCAAGCTCATACTACATCCAGCCGGTACAGAGCAGATGCTTTGCAACGTCTGGCCAATACCCAGGCGACAGTCCGATTTGTACAGTGCTCACATGATGTTGCACCAATACAGGCCGGTGCTGAAATGACAGTACACCAATACCGGCCGGACATCAGGCTGCGGTGCAAAACTGGACATTCGGCCGATATTGGGACAGATTTTCGGAAGGCACTGACATGACACTGGCCACGTATCGCCGTGCTGCTTGGGATAGACTATTTTACTTGGAGCATTTAATCAAACACGTTATCGTTGTTCCCATCACTATTTATAATCCCTATGATTTGAGCATTTAAGATGAAGGACGTACGAACACAGAGCTTGAACCGTTGCAGCTGTGGACCATGTACTGCGAACACATGGTCTCGCTGAACCCGCCAGGCAGCGAGCAGAACCAGCTGTGCTCCCTGACGCTGACCGACTTCTGGATCAAGATCACACCGGGGATCCTGCAGCTCGTGTGTCACTCCAAAGTGGCAAGTGGCCAACCCTTGACTAAACGGGGCACATTGCGGAAAGGTGCAATTTCAAAGGCTGGTTCACACGTTTGTGTTCGGCCGGGTGTGACCGAGTGCTTTGCAACTGCTTGTGACTGCTTATGACGAGGGCACACGCAAGCGCCATTCATCGAGTAGCTCCAAAACACCTCTGCCCTGCATATATTTCCTCTTTTTTTTTATGCATCATGCTTTCATTGTGCACTTCAAATAATTCTGACGTCATAGGCAACCATTTCTCATGGACAGTGCATAGATTTGATATTGCAAATACTGCCAAACCTTCAAAAGTGTTTGCAAGACTGGTTTGGCGCCGGTGCGCCATTGTGTTCTCCTGTCATAAGCGGCTGCAAGCCATCGTGATCATGGCGGCTTGTGACCGCTTGTGACCACTCACACACGGATGTGTGAACCAGCCTTAAGGGTCCACACGGAGTTCGACTTGAAACAACATTTTACCCCTTTTCTGAAAGTGGCCAGTATGAAAGCTGATTAGTTTGTACTCTGCACCCCCTGTAATTTTAGATGAACCATACATGATTTAACTCTGGAAAACGTAGCAGGGCATAGATCTGGAGGCCTTAGCCTTTGCCCTCATTTTCAGTTAGCTCATTGCCTGAAAATATCTGGCATTAAATTAAAATACCTTATGAACTGTTCAACACCTTCCACTTTCGAACCTTCTTGATGCCCAAATGCAGGGATGGCCAGATGGACATATGCAAAGAGCCTTTAAAAAAGTATGCTTCTAGGTGAAGAGTCCCCCCCAAAAAAGGGGGAATATGGCAGTTTTTGTTTTGTTTCTCTCATTTGATTTGGTGGCCACAGCAAATTTCTCTCCTAAAGCGATTGCTCATTATGTCACTGACCGTGATTATCCGGTTGGTCCGATGTATGTACGATAGCACAAGACTGCCAGAATGCAAGCTGTCTTCCATTAATTTTACGCTGCTTTCTTTCCAATGTTACAAAAAGGGTAGGCGGTATACTTAATATGGAGCCACGAGCTGCACTTAAACCTGCAAAGAGGCACATGCAGCTTGCGAGCTGCGGTTTGGCCACCCCTGCCCTAATGGTAACAGAGGCGAATAGCATCAGAAAGTGTTTCTTAGCACGAGTGCATTTGCCCTTGCAGCTTTTGCCCTGCTTAGACACGTAAACACATGGCAAGGCACAAATGCTAAACACCTAGAGTGTTTGCAAAATTGGCTTAACCTATATGCAGAAATTTTGCATGTGTCTCTCCAGCTTATGCAAGTTATTTCCACGAAGATATTTTTTTTTTCATTTTTACTATTATTTTTTTTATTATTATTGGACAACTCTGCTTTTTGTGCATCTCTGCTCCTCGCTTTGTCTGTGCAGTGGTGTTCCCTTTCCCTTCACCTTTCTCTCTTTCTCCCTTTTCCCTCTCTTTCTCTCACTTTCTCTCTCTCGCTACCTTCATTCCTTTTGGATGCTTGCAGGAGGGCCAATCTCAGGTGTGCTCGCCACTCTGCCGCTGTTCCTTTAGCACCCAACCTCCATTCCCATTTAAAGGGAATTTGGATAGTTGCATCAGAAGCACTAGACTGCATTATTCACAGCCACATACATAGGAAATAGTCCTGATCACTGTGAACAAGAACAGAACACAACAAATGTGAACTATCCTTTGAAACATCAATGCATGGATCCAGAAGGGTTGGATGGGTACCAGAAGACACAGTTCAGGCATAAGGGCAAACACGGAAGCAGTAACTTCGTTTTATCTTAAGGTGGTACCGAAGTAAAGGCTACAGCAGAAGTGCCTGGCCTCAAGAGGTATCAACTTGTCTGAAATATGAACACATGTGTAGCCTTGGGTCCATTAATGTGAGATATGAAACGGAGTCCAGCATGCCTGTAACCTGTGAAAGGTAGTATCAATGTGCAACGCTGCACAACCATCATGAAATTCCTCTGAATTTTGCACAACAAAAGTGCTAACCAGCAGGATGGCAGCCTTTAGTCTTTCAAGGAACAATTCTTTGCATTGCAGCTATAAAAAAGGCTGTTCCAAAGTGCTTTGCAGCAACCATCCAAACTCACTGCTACTTTCCTCTCACTTTCTCTAACACTCGCTCTATTCACGTGGCAGCTTATCGGTATGTTGTTCGCAGCTTGCAGCGCAATTAGTGGCTTGCCGAATTCCTCCTCAAATTTATTCTCAGGTTCGTTAAAAAGAATAACTCCATGGAATACCTCTCTGAAAGAGATTTTCAACAGCATAGGTTACAACTGGAGGGGATTTGAGAAGCCTGAAGTGTCCCGGTGGTTCAAAGCTATGTGGACTCCATTAGTGACTGTAGCAGCAGAACTCTTTCTGACCCGCTTTCACGGCTGCATGTTTTAGCTAGAAATGAATAAATTATCTCAGGCCATTTTGACAGCTTGATACATTTATCATTGGTGCTATTGATACTACCGCCATGGCTTCCTGCCAGTGCATGAATGCACGAGAGTAGTCACAATAATTTATTTGTGACCACACTCATAATTTAGAACACCTGACCGAGAGACATAAGGCTGTGGAAGCAGAGCACAAAGCAGTTTATCAGGAATCACTAATAGCATGTCTACTTCCAATCACCTTGCAACATACAGAACACCTCTTAGATATTTTCGCCTACTGCATTCAGCAGTTATGTTTCGAAACCGGGACAAGGAATGTTTTGTCGAGGAGGCAATGAACTTCTTCAGATCCTAATGCGGTTTTCCTTTCAACATATACTACTAATCCTAAACTTGCCATCAATAATAGTGCAACTGCCCACTGAAATTTCAGCTGGCGGAAATGGTGAGCCTCCATTTCTTGAGCCTCATGGAAGCCCTGCTGGAATGCAATTCGACGGTTCTGGCCCGGGTAAGTTGCTATAAAAAAGTTTTACTATGTCAGCTAAAGTTACCGGAAGAAGTTGCAAAGTCTCACAGATCTCCAACCTCTATTCCGAAATGTGTAACCTTAATTTTTCATCAAAATTTGACTACACCATGCCAATTCATTAAACAAGCTTGAATAGACCGTTTCTTTGTGATCGTCGCCATGTTGAATTTTGATGTAGCTGGGTTGGCACAGATACCAAATCACACTATTTGTCAATCGGAAGGTGCAAAAATTCAAGGGGTTCCTATCCCTAGTTCTATTTTTTCCCAGCTACACTTTCTTTGGTGTAGTTATGCTTGAAAGCCGATGACCAGACTTGAGATTCTGCAAGGCAGAAGATCCTCATCACCATGAGGGAGGGGGAAACAGGCAATAATGGACAGTCTAGAAGGGGGGAGAGGAGGAAGCGAGGGAAAAGTGGAAAGCGCGAACTGGTCGTCCATTTTTAGCTATTTACTTTATTCTTCGGTAACCCACTAGTAGGTACGTCATATTTCACCATGGCAACTCTCACATGAATAGTGCATAGCACACAGATATGTTAAAGGATAGGGAGATACGATAAATTCAGGAGCTAATGGCGCAAAACAAAGTAGTCACAGCAGAAAAGGGATCACGCTTCGAGGCAGACTGATGGTTACTTGTTGACATGCAACACTTTTTGTCTTAGTTGGCTTGGCCAATGGCTACCAAGCTTTAAGCAAAGCACTTTGTTTTGGTTCCCAATGGACTCAATGAAGTTTGGCACATTCTGAACATTAAATGACCTTAGCAGCAATGAAAATATTTATAGTGGGTGGATAAGTCAAGGAATATTGAACAGCACTTGTAAACCGGCTTATAAAGCTGCCACTCTGCAAGAACGAAAAAATGCAGCGGTTCTTATGTCGGCCCTTTACCTCAACCTGTTGGTCCTCTCATGCGGAGTTTTACGGAAGATATTATAAGTTATCTGTACCCTAAATTATACTCAGGAGGAAAGAAATTTCCAAGGATACCAACTTTTGATAGATGTCCAATATCAGCTTTTCATCCCCGCTTTTCCATTCTAGTTGCTCCCGATGTGGACGCCGGTGCTGTACAGCTACCAAGGCCAGGTAAGGGGAATTCAAAGGGCCACTTTACTCAACTCGCATTGAACGAATAGCAGATATTGGTTTGATGTCTGTTGTTTCCTTTTAGGCTGTCCAGTAGTTGCTTGGGCTTGGGTGATCAGTGCAGGAGCCACTGATCAAACAGTGCAGTGTCGCTTCTTCAGAAACATGTCTCTTGTTTAGCCAGTTGATGACACTAGTGAAGCGTATTTAACCATGAACAGTGTTCATTGCTTGTTGTTCCAAGCCTCCAAGTCGTTCCAAGCAGGTCGAGACAAGCAAGACAAACCCATCCCACAAAGCCCTCCGCTACCCACGATTGGTGGCATCCTCCTCTCCACTCGCCTGGCATTCGCTCCACTAAAGTGTAAAGAGTGGAGGGTCTTTTGCGACGAGCTTGTCTCGCTTCTTAACCTGTGAGACCACAGTGGGTCAAGACACTTAGCAGTCTGTCTGGACAAGAACAGACGGGTTTGCTAAAAGTGCTCCGACATGCAGCTCCCAGGCCAGCTCAAAGTGCGCCTGCAAGCCTGCCTCGACTGGCTGCCGCCATTGCAGACAAGGGAGGAGGCCACCTTTGTGAGCAGCAACTTCCTCAAGTGGCTCCAGCGAATCCAGTTCAAGATGGGCCAGATCGAGCTCCAGTCCTCGGCTGCAACTCAGTTCTACTCCGTCTGAGTTTGCCCACCTGTCTCTCTACACCTCGCTCATGAGTAGTCGCCGCAGAGCAGCAGTGTCGCCAACCCACTCAAGTTCTCCGAGAGCTAGCACAGCGTTTCAGTCGCAACACTCCATACTTTTGTTCCGCCTCCGTTTGCAACAACAATACAGGTGTAATAGCAGGTAAAAGGACACTCCGGCAATTTCTTGAGCTACCCCAACTAACTATATTTTCGAAATCACCGGCCTTTACCCTTTCCGGTATGCTATTTAGTATCGCAAAATTCAGAACAGTTATAGTGAAATCGGCAAGTGAAAATGATGCCAAAACCAACATTCAAATATACCCTTGTTTTTCAATGCCGTGATGTCGGAGGAAGCCAGGCTTGCAGGTCCGAGCGGGCGGTCTATAAATGGACTATGAAAAAGGACTATGCAGATCATTTGTGCTGGTGCGAGCTTCCATGGCATTCATTCGGCACCATAAAACTGCTTGTAATCAGTTGAGAACAGTCTACAGTGCGAAGAGTGAACCCCTGCCTTCCCCTGATGTCACTTTTTCATTGTTGCCAGTAAGAGCCTTTCACTTTGAAAAATATGGTGAGGACCAAAACTGTAAATTTAATAACCTTGCAAAAAAAAAATTTATTTTCGCACATTACTTGAATGACTATTTTAGCTTTTTTGTTTTTTGTGTGTGTGTGCGTGTTTAGCAAATTTTCAGGCAAATCGGGGACTACAAATAAAATGCCGCAGTAATGAAGGCCATCAAGAATGTTTCAGGTCTGCCAATAGATGGCGCTGAGCAATTACGGAAAAGGCCCATTCAGTGACCATACGCAACAACAGGATGTACTTAGGATGGCAAGCTTGAGGGAAGCGGTTTCTCCCATGAAGAAGACAACAACGTCCGAGAAGGAGAAAAGCTTGTCAATAACAAAGATATATTGAGACTAGACACACCAAAACTCAATGCAGAAATAAGCAAGTAAGTCTGTTTCTGCATTGTGTTCGTTCTTTATGTGTGGTTGTTGCATAGGGGTACCCAATCCCCTATGCAGTCGTGTCAAGGCTGTCAATGTCCCCATATTTAACCCTCTTTGGAAGAAAAATTTATACTGGAAAAAGAAAGCTTTGAAATTCAATTACCTTAATCGTTTTATTAGAGTTACCTAGAAACATGGCGAAAAGTACCCAAGGGACGAGACAATACAGGCACATAGTAACCGATTTCAGGTACCTGTCACCATGTTTAGCTTCTACCGACTCATTATACTCTTGCATTTTCTGCCCAGAAAGCTATAAAATTTGTTTATTGCTTTTTGTAAAAGAATTACTACACTTAATTTCAGAGCAATACCCAAGTAATTAAACTTTTGTTTAGGGTTGGCAACACTGTGCAGCAGCTTAGGCTTTCTGCTATCTACATAGGCCAGCAAACTGATGCTGATGATTTAGAGCTTCCCTGAGATAAGCTTCTGTTGTTTCTAATAGCGGTTTGCGCCACTGAGGCTTGTCGAGTAGTGAATAGGGGCGCCTGACAGTCAATGTGTTTGTCTGGTTAGAGAAACTTGGAAAACGAAGAGGCTGTGAAAGTTGAGGATTCTGAGCCTGAAAGTGATCTCATTCATTTTAGGTTGCAAAATAAGTTTTTAATATGTCTTAAACAGTACCCTAGCTGAAACAGCTAAATAAAAAAAGTTAAATCGATGATGAAAAAACTTTTACAGCTAATAGGGAGTGTTAGTATATCGTTCCAATAATAATACCCAACATTCTGCAGGCACCCTCATGCATGCATCGCGTCGTTATTGGGTATTGTTATCAAAGCCCAGATACAATCTACTAAAACTGATGGTATGCCGGAGAAAACTTTGCATGTCTTGTTGGCTATTTCCAACCTGTCAGCTCATCCTTCAACAGAATTCATATTGTACTCTTTAACAAAGCAGTCTGGCATGTTTAAAACGTTTAATATTTTATAGTGGCTGTTAACTTCGCCATTAGTAGCATTGATGGTCGGGTTGGCCAAATCTTGGTAGAACCGTTGGCTTCTCGTTATCTGCTCTAGAGACTACAAATGTTGGTGCTCCGCTTATCCGTTCACATCTTGAATATTATATGTCTGCGTGTGTACATAATGTGCATCTTGCATACAAAGTGTGTCAAGCAAGTATCTGTTTCCCCGGATTGAGGTGAATGATTATGAATGCAGAGGAGAAAGGTCAGATTGGCAAACGGCCAAGCTCCGGCTATGCAACGAGGTTTATTTCTGGCTGCTCCGTAGCTCTGTACTCCAGTACGCCTATGTAAATGCTCCAATAAAACAAAGTCGAAAAATATGTACTGAGTCTTTGTGCCAATTAGGATATTCTTGTACTGTTGCTGGCAGACCTTGAAAAACCCTTTGCATGTCCTCCATCAAAGACACTGTGCCTTCTGTCTCTGTACCATAACCACGAATAGCTGGAGTCCTCGGCGGACAACAATTTCGTCAACTGAACATGACCCACATCAGCAGACTTTCTGCCCTGGATGCAGCCATATTTGGCCTGTAAACCACACATTTCTGCTTTAAATGTCATGTCTTAAGCTTCATCAGCAGTCCTGCTGACAGCGTGCTGACACAACAAAAGGCGCTCCACAGGAATGCAGACACTGGGTGCAGGAAAAGCAATGGCAATCGGTAAACCTTTGTAGATACCACGAGGTCCATGCGTTCCACCAAGACACCAGGGATCTCGTGCCCGAAGTACAAATCGCTCCTCGGACACAAGCGCTGCATCACCCCGCAATTGCTCGCTATCGTCCGTTGCAACGTGGGATTTGCAGTCGAAGCTCCGATTCCAGCTCAAGCTTCCTACATTCGATAACACTTCAGAGTCTTGTGAGCATGCGCAGCCAAAGTATGATGGAAGGCAACGAGTGCGTGCTCGAGAGAAAGCTTCTGCGGATCTTATGTTGCAAGACATTACATACTATTCAAGCAATGAGGCTAGATATGGGTAAGTGCATCTTGCTTTCTTGGCTTCCGCCGTTGCCAGAGCAGCAGTCGCCATTGTAGCCAGCATGCACCCTGTCGGGCATGTGCGGCAAACAAACGGCGGTGAGCTCTAGCAGACGGCTTTCAGGCACGGTAACACCCACTTTCCGCGATGGGGGCAGCAGAGATGCATCTCGCGAAAAATCGCAGGTGTGCGGAATTAGACTGGCACACTGGCGCCCTGTCCTGGAGACGTGAACGGTTATCCCACCCACAAATATTGCAGGAACAGAATATTGGTTCTCAAAATGAGCGCTTAGGAACCGGAAGTGAGAGTCTATGTTTCTCCGACAATTGCATGGAGATTCAATGACAATAGATGTGGTAAATGGTGATGGATGCACTCCACAGATGGTGAAAATCAATATTTACTCGACGACAGGTGCAGACAACAACCATGCGACCTTCTCCAAATAAAAAATTCTCGGAGCCGCTTCGAGTAGCAGCTAGGAGCTCCTTGAGATGAGCACATTTGTGAGCTCTCTGCCCTAGAAAATTGGACAGTGGAACTTCAGACATCCTTACTTCCGTCAAAGCCTGGGAAGAATATTCTTGCGTAGGCAGTCATGAAGATACTGTCAACTACTTTTCGTGATCCCAGAATACTCTTTTGTATGTTCCTTTGGACAAACTCTGCGATACTACATAAGGAAGGCAGCCAAACTCTGCAGAATCGTGGCCTTATGATGATTCATGCAACAGGCTTCCGTGATCGGAGCTATAGCCTCGACCTGGGTCGAAGTTCAGATCGATGAGGCAAATGGTGGGCAGAGTTGCCAGTCATGATGATGTACCATTTTTGAAGAGGTGGCACCACCGGTCTTAGGCACCCACCTCTCTGTTTGCTCTGAGGCAAGTGATCACAAGTCTGACCAATGGCAAAGCCAGGAATATTTTTCAAGGGGTGGGGGTTGGAGGGTTGAGGTGCTTGGGATGTTTATTAATTAAGGTGGAGGAGGTCAAAATGCATGTGTACTACATTAACTTATAGAGATAGCTGGATTTTGGAGGGGAGGGAAGTAGTCTATAAGCATCTTTCCTGGCTATTAGGGTTACCGGGTTGGGCTATTAATAGACAAAATGGGCTACTTTGTAGTGCATTTGGCATTGAAATTTGGCGGTTGGCTATATGGCTATTTTTGGGCTATTTCAAATTCTAACGTGGCAATTATTTTTTTTTTTTTTTTGCTTGGTTTAGAGCAGATGTACAAAAGATAGTTCAGCGTGGACACAAAGCGACAGTCCACCCTTTCTGGATTCCCACTTTCAGTGATTTTCTGTGTGAAGATGTGTGGGTGTGACACAAGAGCCTATTAGCTAAAGTGAGCTTCTGTGACCTAGATTCAGCTCCGAAGACATCACTTTTGTGTTAATTGTGGTATATCTTATGCTCCCAAGTTTTCTCTCCTTCCTACTTGTGTCTCTTATTTCCTTGAGCTCCCCACCATCCTGCTACAGGAGGCACCTTTCCCGATGAAAAAGGACACTAAAGTCAACTCAAGACATTCAGCAGATTTTGATGTCGTCCGATAACGCATGCTGTACCGGATATAGCAAAGGGGGCTTTTCCGCAAGACATAGAAGTTTCTTAAAGCACAATGAGCTGTAACAAGAAGATAACAGATTTAGAACAATTAATAATCCGAACAAGGCCAAGTTCAAAGTGCAGTTGCAGCCATTTTTCCCTTGCTCCCCGAGCATGCCACCGCACTCCTGACACTGCCCATGTCGGATGCCGCCATAGAGAAAGAATTCAATCACGTGTTCCTCACAAAATCAGACCTAAAGAACAGGATGTCCCTTCCAACTCTTCAAAACGTCCTATATGTAAAGTTTGCTTTCCTCTAGAAGAACGAGTGCTGTAAGGAAATCAACCCTACTGAAGAATTTTTGCCCGTTTTAACACGGAAATTATGTGTGAGGTGACTTAGCCGAGCACAAGTGAATGTTTCATGACTATTTAAGTGTAAAAACACGTGGAAAATTGTACCTTTTTGTGTTTGAAATAAAGTTTTCAATACATTTCAAAATGCCGTAGATCTTGCAAGCTGCTCTTAAACCCCAGATATGCATGCAGACGCAGTGTTTTCGAATTGAGCTCGCACATTCGAGCACACGATTTCTTGGGCTCTGCAGAATATGGCTGCTTTTGGGCTATATAAATCTCTTGCATTTGGCTACTTTTGGGCTACACTGTCTGGCATTTGGCAGTTTGAGCTAGAGCCTACCTGGCAACCCTGCTGCCTATGCCACTGGGTCCCACCTCAAAGCTGGCTTTTGTGGTTGAAAAGGACAACAAAGACATGTGACAACCATGTTTTCACTCAGCAATACTCTTGCAATGAGAGCAAGCTTCGTACATTTCCCTCCGACAAATGGGTGCTCGTTAAAGGGGTATTTCGGCCTTTTCTTCATAGTCCCCGACAGGCAGTGGCGTAGGGAAGGGGGGTGTTTGGGGGGTCGAAACCCCCCCCCCCCGCGCGGGCCCGCTTGCTCCCCTGCTCACGCAGTCGGTCGCAGGGGGGCAAGCGCCGGGAAAGCACATAAGTACAGTGCTTTCCCGAAAGCACTATACTTATGTGCTTTCGGGAAAGGTGTCTGTGGGGTAGAGAATGCTCAAATAAATAAAATAGGCTGTATTTCTTCGTTCATGTTTATTTGATGGGATGCAGAACTTGATCTCAGATATGTAGAGAACGGATATTTTGAAACATTTGTGAAGGATGGCAATTTCAAGGCAAAGTATAACAAACTATCCTCACTGAAGTTCACAGTTCAATCTAACCCAAAGCGAACATAATAAAACGAACACGTGGTTATAATATAAAAAAATGTCAGTGATGCGCTAAAGGATTTGTAAAGACAACTACAATGTAAGCAACGGGTGGCGCTGCGCTCACGCACACCTTGAGTATACTCAAGGTGTGCGTGAGCGCAGCGCCACCCGTTGCGATCAGTATACTGATCGGAATTACGTACTTTCGACTAGAAATTATCACGAATAAAAAAGTACGTGTGACTAGTTATTTCAAAAACGAATGTACAGGCTCTCTTGATCATCTCATATATGCCAAGCGCCTACACATTAAGATACAGCCGCCTGCGTTCACGATCAGAGGACGTCCTCCGCTTGAACATCAATGTCGCGGTGAACATTCAAAAGCGCTAGACCGAGCAGTAGCTCATTCGAAGTGGACGCTCTCAGGTATGTTTTCAACCGTCGCAGCGAAGAGAAAAAGCGCTCAGCTCCCGCTGTTTTTACGCGCTTTTGGACCCCTCCCGAAATAAAATCCTGGCTACGCCACTGCCGACAGGCTAAGACAGAGCCAACAATAAATATACTGTGCATGTCTGAAGGTATGCAGAACTGTCAGTTTCAATCGTGTCAAAACAAAACAGAAGGATCGATGGTGGAGTGTGTCAAGGCACCACAGCTAGGAGCGCGCGGGGCGAAAGCTCGCGCTGCGGGACCCTTCTGGGTTCAAACACCCTTGCCCGTTTTGATTTGGACGAGCATCGTACGGGCCTGTGTCGCTACTGCTTGATGCACGTTCAACATTCCTTCTCCTCTACAGCGGAGACACCAGGCTAACTGACTTTCCGTTGACTAAACACACACAGGACACAATTATTTCACTTACCATGGTCCCCAGGCGGTTGAGAACTTGCTGCGCAGCCGGAGGCATTTAAAGGGTTGGCACCGTCCCTGGCTTCAGGTGGAGCGCCTTCGAGCTCTGTCCACACTGGCGCGTTCCGAACGCGACCAACTTTCCGAACAGATTTGGACGTTCTTGTTCTCGGGAACACTCACGAGTTCCCACCAGACGCCTCGAAGCCATCGAAGTACTGAGGGTGGTACTGAAGCTGCTTGCTTCGGGTGACCGTGTCGTCCCTCTTTCCCTTCGGGCACGTCGAAACAAAGCAAGCCTTCGGCATTCCGCGTCGCCGATGACAAACACGGTAGAAATCACGAAGCCGGTCGTGAATGCGTAAAGGAACCGAAATAAACCGCGCAAATTCTCGCCCGTTCGCGCCATCAGGTTGTAGTTGAATAGATGGGCTTTATCTCTGCTAATGAATAGAATAGGGCGGCCGCCTGCGCCATCTGGTTCCGCAGAAAAAAGAAAGAAACTAAAACTTTAACCTGTGCCGGCAAAATTACCTTTCACTGACCCCCCCCCCCCCCCCCCCCCCCCCCCCCCGTCTCAAAAGGGGCTAGGTAAAACCAACTAACCGCCAAACAATACTGAACGCCGAAAGAAACTTTTAATACATGGAACTGGATTTGCTTAGAACGATCTGTCAAAAATCGGACTTGGAATT